GATACATCGTTGAATTCCTTATTTTTTTCTATCAAACCATGTAAAATTCCAGAAATTAAAACGATTTTTGGTTTAAACAGGTTTTTAGTTTTTTTTTAGATTTTTAATGCCATTTTGGAAGACTTATAATTACGCAACTTTTGTCTAATATAACCGATCTTGTAGCTCTTCAAAGAATACCCATACAAATAAGAATACTTGGAGCATCCTGTATACACACAAAATTTTTCAACACATTGAGTTGAGTTGTGGTCAAAATCTGGATACGGTAGTCGAGGGGGCAACTGTGAAGTAATGACGTAACTGCTACGTTAGTAAAATTAGTAAAACATAGTAAATCGATTTTTTTATTTATTTAGCAAATCTACTTATATCAAAAATGTTTTTAAAATTGTAAAAAGATAACATTTTCAATATTGCTCTGTTTGGTGGGTGTTTGAACCCCCAAACCTCCTCCCCCGTTTGTTTGGGAGCTAAATACAGTCTGTATTCTATTGAATAAGTTATAACAGTTATAAGTTACTTTAAACATGTAGGTAAGGATCAGAAGACTAAAACAAGCAAAACAGGCTTGATTACAGGAAAGAGAACCATCAAACCATAGTTGTCAGATTGATTTTGAATCTCAGACAATGATTTTAATTAATAAATAGTTTAATTTTATTTGTTTTAAAACTTAAAAAATAACCAAGAAATAATATGTAACAAATAATCTCATTGCATTAACAGAGTTCATGATTTAGTTGATTTTCTTACTTTTTAATAAAAAAAAACATTTCTTTTGGAAATCGAAAATAGCAAATAAAAGCAGCACTTCAGTCAAGACAAATTCAAGCAATGCTTTTTTGAAGGCACATTTGTATTTTTGTAGGAAATACTCCTGAATAAGTGAAATGTGATAGATTTCAAACAATAATTTGAATGTTTTTGTAGAAATGCATTAAAACACAACAAACGAATTCAATAAAAATTAATGCTTATTCTCAAATAAAAATAATTCTTAAAAAACGAAAATAAAATTACGAAGCGAGGTACTAAAATGCATATAGGTACCTATAACTCATTATAGGAGTTATAGGTATATGCTAAAATGCCATTTCCCACCAGTCTTTGGCGCAAGTCAGTAGGTGGAATTTATGTTAGTTTAATGCTTGGTTTAATACACACTGTAATCTTAATTAATGCTGTAATAATATACATGGGCTAAATAGACATGTATTTAATCCATTCATGTATTATAACGTGACGATAAGATATAGATAAAAACATGTTTGTATGCACTTATGCCTGTGGAAGTTGCATATAATTTTTTGTCAACATTAACTACACATATATGGCTGTAAGGCGGCAACAAGGAATACACAAACGTGTAAAAATTGCCGCCCGGAAGACACAGTCTAACTTTATTGTTTATTATTGCAATATTGTGTTGTAAATGTTAACAAAAATTTATATGCAACTTTTACAGGTATAAGTGAATATATATAACATTTTTTTATCGATATCTTATCGTCATGTTATAAGATCTGAATTGGGGTGTTTAACAAAAAATATTGTTGTTGTAAATGGAAATAACAACATAGGTTTTATAATAAAACCATTATTATTTAAATTAAATTAAAAATAAATTTTTGAACCTAGTAACGATGACATTCCGAAAGATCCCATAAAAATCCAAGCGCATGCGACGTCACAATGTTATATTTAGCGTTCAAACATAACTTACAAATAAATTAATTACATTTATTAAAAAACTTTTGTTTCTTATCTACATACTTTTATTAAACTCACATTAATGCTTTAAAACTTCTGCTGAATTAAACTGAATGTCATTTTTAAGGAAATCTGAGAATAAATATATCCACCCCAGGTATATTATCAAAATTGGCTTTTATGAACCCTTTGATACACGTTACAAAAAATTAGTTGCGAACAATATTTTTTCACTTAATTTCTCTTATTTTTACAGTAATTACAAACATTATAGAAGCCGTTAACAGCTGTCAAGTTTTATCGTCAAAACCTTACATAATAGCTGTTCAATGAAATTTCAAGCGTACATGATAATATTCACCTTCAAGACCAATTAAACATAGTTTCTTTATGGTGTAGCACCAATCAACTTGCATTAAACATAAAAAAATGCAAAATATGTTCATTTACTCGTAATACCGCGCCGATAGTCTTTGATTACCATATTAATAACACTTCTCTTTCACGCGTTGATGTGATCAAGGACCTAGGAGTATTTTTTGATTGTAAATTCTCTTTTAACGAGCATATTAAACATATTTTTCAGTCTTGCATTAAACTTTTGGGCTTTATTAACAGAAACACCACATCTTTTACAAATATGACAGCTCTAAATGCGTTATATTATCAATTGATAAGGTCTAGGCTTGAATACTGCTCGATTATTTGGTTCCCATACTATCAGATTCAAATCAAAACCCTTGAAGACATTCAGAGGCGTTATTTAAAGCTTCTTGCATATCGTACTGATAGAGTCTACCAGAGCTGGGCAAAGCACTCAAAAAAAGTGCTTCGAGCACCAAGCACCAAGCCCTTTGGAAAAGTAATTGCCAGCACCAAGCATCAAGCACTTTGAAAACTTTAAGTGCTTGCAATTACCAATTACCGAGAAAAGTAATTGAAAAATTTAATTACCAAGCACCAATTACTCAAAAAGTGCTTGCAAGCACTTTTTTCTTAAATAAATTACCAATTACCAAGCACTTTTTAGTTTTCCAATTCCTTCCTACCCAATTAATTAACATCTTTATTTTAAAAATAAGAAACATTTTTGGATGATCGTTATATTAAAATAACCAAACCAAAGTTTTTTGTTTTTAATTTATTAGTCCACACAACATGACGCAAAACAATTAAAGTGAAGAAATCATCAAAAAATAAGTACAAATTATCTGCAAGAAGGAGAAAGGTACTGGCCAAGTCGCCCTTCAACCAACCAATCACATTAAAGCTTTTCCCTCTAGAGTCTAAAGTGCTCGGGAGCACTTTAAATGCTTGCAAGCCCTCAAATCTGATAGTGCTTGCAAGCCCTTTAGTGCTTGCAAGCCCTTTAAAGTGCTTGCAAGCCTTTTAAGTGCTTGCAAGCACTCAAATGGCTTGAAATGCAAAATTCAATTACCAATTACCGAGCACTTTTTATAAAGGGCTTCAATTACCAATTACCAAGCACTGTATTTTAAAAGTGCTCGCAAGCACTGTGCTCGAAGCACTATTGTGCTTGAAGCACTTTTTCAAGCACTTTCAAGTCAATTACTGCCTAGCTCTGGAGTCTACCCGCCTCGTGGTATTGAACAAAAATTATTACTGGCACGTTTCCACTTTAATTCGCTACATGTTAGACGGATCATTTTTAGCATTAAGCTTTTGTACAAGTTGTTACATGGCAAAATTGACTCTCCCAATATCCTGGCTCTATTAAACTTTTTAGTACCCAGACTAGAATCTCGATCTAACAACGTGTTTTATTGTCATAATGCTAGAACCAACGTACTAATTAAGTCTCCCATTTATATAATGTGTAACAACTTGAATTTAATTTGCAATAATTGTGATTTATTTTGTGATAGCATTAGCAAGATTATCGCCATAGCTTCTTTATTTTTTTGTTAGTAGTTATTAAGTAGTTTTTTATTTTTATTTTTTTTTTGTTCTCTCATATTTTATTATATTTTTTTTTATAATGTATTTTTATTAAGTGTTACTCATTTAATTTGTCCTGTAATTGGAATTTTCTGTATTCTGTTGGGCAATAAATTATTATTATTATTATAATACATATGTATTAGAGATGCCACGAATATTCGGCAACTATTCGGTATTCGGCTATTCGGCCACTTTTTTCGCTATTCGGTATTCGGCCGAATATTGCAAACTATTCGGCCGAATACCGAATGACAAATCATGAAAAAAAAAGAACTCAAAATATTACTCACAAATATATTTAATTTGTGATAATAATAATAATAATGTGTAATAATAAACCAATAAATTAATATATTAATATTTAAAATCTACTATAGTGGTAAGTTATGATGAATGAAAACAATTTTTTCAGCATTTGTTGTTGACAGACGATTGCGTTTTTCCTTATAAATTATACCTGCTTCCGAAAACAGCCGCTCACTATATACACTGGTACCGGGAGATGATAAATAAATATTAGCAAATTGAGAAAGGGTTGGATATTTTTTTGCGTTTGCTGACCACCACTTGTAAGGGTCTGCTGTTCGATCTAAGCGAACAGATGACATGTAGAAATTAAGTTCATTTGCAACCGAACTTTCCTGTTCCACCGTGGAACTTCCACGCCCTCATCTGAATGTACATTTTCTGCAGCGACTTCCTTCTACGTACTACCGCAGCTTACTTCTCAGCTCCACAAGTCGGAGCGGCGCCTTTGATATAGCGACGAGATTGAATGGTGCGGTCTTTCTTTGACACAGGGTTGCTGTTGCCGGGGCCGCGGTTCGGCCGAACTGAACGACTTGAACCCGCGGAAAGTTCCAAGTGTTACCGAATATTCGGCTGCCGAATATTCGGCGCTTCGGCCAAGAGTCTCGCCGAATATTCGGTATTCGGCCAAATAACTATTCGTGGCATCTCTAATATGTATATATGGTCAAAACATTGCAACCTAAGATTATAACAATGATATCACAAACATAGCAGACAACCATGACGGGTTCATAGTCACGTGATATTTTTTTAAAGTTAACCAGTTTTTAATTTTAATTAGTTGTAAATAAAATTTAAAAGTTTTTTTTATCGATTATAATGGATAATTATCCATATTATTTATGATAAAGTTTTAAAGTTCAATAAAAAAATCGATATTTTTTATTTTTTTCAAACAAGTACCCAATTAATCAAATGTTAACGTCCCATATTTTTAGCTACTTTAATATTTTTTATCGTGACTAAACATCGTGCTCAAAGCTTTATATTTGTACTGAAAACTTCAAACTTACCATCTCAAGAAGTTGCATATCAGAATGTTTGACGTGTCTTCCGGCAGCTATTAAAACCCCAAAACAACGTTCGATGTGCAGTTGTGGTCCATTATCCGAAACTTGACGAATGCCAATAGCCAATTGCTTCTCCAAATTCGCTTTCAATTTAAAGCCACTTTTGTCTTTGCCAACTGAATGAAATGTTCCCTTGCCATCATCTTCCTTGATTTCCAAATTAACTTCAAACACGTACATTAATGTTCGTGCTTCAGATAAAGTCGTGATGGATCCAGTCATCATATCTGCAGCTGAAGCTACTGAACTACTCATTGACCTTGGTACCCGCATAAAAGCTTTAGCAAAGCAACCTTTAAACATAAAGCATAAATTTATTATTCCTTAAACTGAATTTGAAAGATCAAGTTTTATTTATCTTCATGAGGGAATACCGTGTCCAAAGTATTTTTTGTGCTACAAAAGCGGTTACATCAGCAAATTGTAGGCTTTTTTTCACTGATTAAAACGGCACAAACAGAAAAACAATAGAACGTCGAGTTTTAGATATATTCATATATTATATCACGAGAACTATGAATTTAATCGGTTAAACTAGGCTCAGTAGTTTTTTGTTTGGGTTTTGTTGGAAAATGTTGAATGCAAAATAATTTAATTAAATTACGAGACCGCGTAGCGGTCGAGGGGTTTTATTTTTAATTATTTTGCATAAAACTATTTTCCAAAAAAAAAATCAAATAAAAAACTTACTGAGCATAGTTTGACAGATTAAATTTATAGGTTGAGTGATATACGTCTAGATTATTTCTCGAATTAAAGGAAACTATTTGACAACTCATAAAATCTGACGTATGTGTCAAAATTTATAAATATTTTTTTAAAGAAAATTCCATTAATTTAAGCTATGTAATAAGTAATAATTGATATTTCGTAAACTAGATAACTTATTTTTTATTGTTTTTTAAAAAATGTTTGTTAAAACTTGTAAATAACACCATAAAATCGTAAACAAAAATTCAATATGGAGGCTAAAATTTAACCGCTGTTAAATACATATGATTTATTATCTATGGTTAAATAGTTCTAGTGGTTTAATTGCTTACTTAAACGAAATTTATTCGAAAATTCAAGGCTTTTGATTGGTTCATATTATAATGAGGGAAATAATCATAAAAATAAGATATTTTTAATGAGATATCCTGTATATTTTTCTATATTTTGAAATAAAGTTGAACTTGAAACAAAAAATTAATTAACAACCCTAAACTCAAAAATAATTTTCTATAGTTGCCTTACCAACAATGACGATATCGTTTGTGTCGTCGTCGGACGAGTCGTCATTTTATTTTAATTATTTAACTAAAATTTCTATTGCAGCTAAATTGTTATACATCAAAATGCAAATATTTGATTTAATTTAATGAGAAGCTTCTTAACAACTCGTTATGATGACAGACACTTACAAAAATTCCAGTATAGTCATCCGAATCGTCTGACGCGTCGTCAATTTATTTTAACTATTGAACTCGAAATTTATATTAAAGCGAGTTTATTAACATAATTATCAATGCAATTATTTTATTCAATTCTAAAAAAACAAATTTTAAAAACATCTTAATTCTGAAGACTTGTCATGACGATATCGTTAACAATAAAAGATACGTGTCGTAGAGTGTCGGATATGCCGAGTCTAGTAATTTTTTTCGTCTTTTGTGTCGTCATGCTTATTTATTGTTCATATTTAAGTTAAGGTTAGTTTTGTTCTTAATTAAATTGTCTTTCAAAATATGCAAAATATACAGGGTATCTGATTAAAAACTAATAACTTGTAATTATATTTTTTTTAAATTTGCCGCATAGATTCGGCTGAATTTGAGCGATGGCCTGGGTTATGTTGACTTTAAGGGCATCGGTCGATTGCGTCCTATTGGCATAGACCTGCGACTTCAGAAAACCCCACAAGAAAAAGTCTAGCGGGGTTAAATCGTGCGATCTTGGTGGCCAAATTGTTTACGCAAAATGTCCACCGTGGCGTCTGATGTGTGGCACTCAGGGCCGGATTTAGGCATGGGCCACATGGGCCCGGGCCCAGGGCGGCAAATTTTTAGGGGCGGCAAGTTTTGAAGGCCAGTTAAAATTTTGCTAAAAAATCAAGAGCGTTTTATGCAGAATTTTTGTTTTCACTCAGATTTATACACTAATTAAAACTATTAAAAGTGGGAAGAGAAGTTTTTTAACACATTCGCGGACACTTACAGATTTTAGAGGTTACTCAAAAACACACCAACTTTTGTCTGCAATTGCAGACGTCTGCTATAACAGACACGTCCTTGTATATCCCAAAATTTTATATTAAGGGACATGCGTCTGTAATTGCAGACGTTAATAAACTAAATGCCGGTTTCGATAATAAGAAGAAAATCGTAAAAAACATAAACTTTATTCAAATACATAATAAAAAATACAACAAAATTAACTTTTAAATTCTTTTAAAACATATTTTTTGTAAAATAAAAAGTCATCATTGGGAATGGAACTAAGCAGCGCCAGGACGTTTGTCCCCTCTTTTTGTTTTGTGCGCAATACCGGCATAAAAAGTAACTCTTCCTTGTATAGTTTTCAGGCAAAGGATTTTTTCCAAAGTATGCAAAGCTGCAACTGAAGATGAGTTTGTGTTTCGCATAGGTACCTACTTACCGAGAGTTAAAATCGAAAAAAACAACTTATAATAAAATAAATAAATAATTTAAAAACAACAACAAAATAAACGAAATGACCTATTCCATTGGCCGTTATGAAGCTACTGTCTGCTTTTGCAGACATGACGCTTTTCGTGAGAAAACAATCTGCGCGGGAACTATATATTTAACCTTAAAATGTATCACTTAGAGGGACACTTTTCTGCTAAAAAACTTGATGTACAGGGACAATATGCTTCCATTCATACGTATTTAATAGTAAATAGCGACTGCTAATGCAGACATGCGTTTTTCTGTGGTTTAAAATTTGTCTTCAATTGCAGTCGTGTCCCTACACATGTGTCTGCAATAGCAGTCGTGTCCAGTGATGCCAGATCTTTAGCGCTGAATATCCGTATTTGACCTAGTATTATGGTGGGGATTAAGGAAAAAAATCCGTATAATTCCGTATTTCGTATTTTACACTTATTACGTAATTTTTTTTATCAATAACACTGTGATACAAAATTAAGGTTTGCGAAAGGGAATGGAATAAAACCAAAAGCAAATTAAAGTTAATACTTTCCACAAGAAAACCCTATCAGGGTTTTTTATATCACGTCTCAGTTTTTTTTTGTACGCATTTAAAGATGGTAAATTTTTTGACACCCTATAGGAAAAACATAAGTAAAACTATGTTAATTATTCAAAATAATTTTGTCAATTTGATCGAGGAATCCATTTGTGATGTTAATTTTTACCAAAGACCCTCAGAAGAGGGCGCTATCAAAAAATTGTTACTAATTTTTACTATTTTTGAAGGTAAGAAATCCATTTTTGTCATCCGTTTGTTGTAAAATATACCCTAGGTGATATTCAAAAGCAATTTTTAATATTTTGGATTTATTAGTATAGAAAACTAGTTTTTTTAAGAAAAAATAGCATTTTTACTTCTTAACTAAACATTATTAAATTCGCTATTTTATTTTTATTTAAAAACTATCACTGCTGTAACCGGTAGTAACACGAGCTTAAGTACCAGAAGTTCCAGCTGTTCATCCAAAAATTGATAAAAATGCAAAATATAATTAATATAATCAAAAAAACCATGTTTTAGTATAAAAATAAAAAAATACCTGAATTATACCACAACATTGGAACACCAAATTTCATTGACTTCTTTTTCTTTTGTGATCATTTAATTAAATTGTTATTACAAGTTTTGCAAACTTTTCAACATATTCAATTATATGTATACCGTAATATTGTAGGTACAATTTTTTATATTTTGGAACTAAGTTTTGTATTATATTATATTGTCCTTTAAATAAAAAAAATAATTTAATTAAATATATTAATTAAGAAAAACGTTTTATGTTGCTGTCACTGATTTACTATATAGTACATAACCTAAGTTATATTATGTGTTTTTAAGTAAAAAAATCAATTTTACCTTTAAACAACCTCGTTTTTGCTACAAAAACTGCAATTTTTTGTAGTAATAATATTTTTTCAAAAGGGCGAATACGCCGAAATACTTTTTTTTTGTTTTTATCAAAACAGGAAAATGGCATATTCGCCCTTTTGCAAAAATACCATCGATATATTACAATATATTACCACAAAAAAATGTAGTTTTTGTATACAAGTATTGTTTTGATTAAAGCATTAAAGAGAATATATTTTTTTATAAAAATGCCCAATTTTCTAGTAAAAATGCTCTTTACTTGGAATGGATTCCTCGACTATATTGCCAGAATAATTTAAAAAAATTAAAATTGTTTTACTTATTTTTTTCCTATTATAGGGTGTCCAAAAATCTACCAACTTTAAATGCGTATAATAAAAAACTGAGACGTGATCTAAAAAAAACCTCATAGGGTTTTTTTGTAGAAGCTATTACCTTTCATTTGCTTTTGGTTTCATCCCATTCCCTTTTGCACTGTTGCACTGTGTAATTAGACTAATTTAGGGGAAATTTAATTTCCATGTTGATGATTTATTTTTTAGAATAAAAAACGTAGTATAATTTAATTTTTCAGTTTGAGCAAGAAGGCAATTCTTTTAATTTTTTTTTCTACTCCTATTATATGGAATATAACCGCTCTAATATCACTTTTTAATGTGGAATGACATATATTCCTTAGAGTATTACAGAATGAATTATTCTATCGGATGACGGAATAAACACTGGTGGCGACATCTCTGTGTTTATTATCTAACAAATTTTAGATAAATCAAACTTCACTTTCTGCTAATTAATAGTATATTACACTAAAAGGGCAGAAAGTGTGAGATTCCTGCACTGCAGGGCTCTCACACTTTCTGCCCGTGTAGTGTATACTATTTTTCTTACTACCTCGACTGAAAATTCACTATTCACTAGTCTTAAATAATATTCAATATTAACAATTAGTTAATTAACTAATTGAAAACAAATTTTGAGGTTATATTAGTGTCGTAATCAGAGTTGCATATGTTGAGTACTAGTGCACACGACTAAAAAAATTTTACTCCCGCTATTATATAGTATAGCTTGACTAATGCATCAAACGTAAACTTTCTGCCGTGGAATCGGGGACGAAACAACGTATTTTCAGTCGAGGTAGTAAGAAACTTATTTTTTAATGGTACACGTTTGGAATTGCATATTCCGCTCGAGTGAAAAGTTTGTCACACGAGCCGAAGGCGAGTTTGACGATTTCACGTATTCCAAACTTGTTACAGAATATACTATTCTCGCCTTTTTTATATAGAAAATGTGAGAAAAAGAAGTTAAGAAATATTTTTTTTCTTCTGTTTGTTCATACTCCAGTTAAATAGTTTCAAATTTTAGAGAAAGAAATGCAGTACTCAAATTAATTAATTAATTAATTTACAGATAACTGTATTTAGTTCAGTCTTGAGGATAAGTAAAACTGGAAAAAAAAAGATTTTTAACCTAAAAATATTCGGGGAAAAATCAAAGAACGAAAGACTGTAACTACAGAGTTGGCGATAATTTAGGTATAAAATTTGGATTTGTTATAAATCCGTATAAAATCCGTATTGCCCCCAAAATCCGTATAAAAATCCGTATATTTTCCCAATACACTCGAAATTCCGTAGAATACGGAAAAATCCGTATATCTGGCATCACTGCATCCGATGTAGCCAACCGTCCATAAGATATTAATTCATGGCCCAATAATAATCCAACATGCTTTTGCCTATAGGATTCCTATCGGAAGAGGCAGCAGAGGCCCGAAATAAAATTTTCAGAGAATACAGGAAAAAATATTCAAGAAAATTAATCGGTTTCAGTGCAACAAGGATGATATAAATAGGATTTTGATAACGTTAGATCCATTCTTAAGCAGCATTAGGCCAAAACCTACCAAAAAATCGAAACTAATTAAGCCAGAAACTATAGATTTGTTGCTTTCGTGGGAGGCCTACGCCTACACTAAAGAGGACGACGAAGCCGAAAGACATTCAGATGAAGCTTCCGATAACGAAGAGTGGGATGCGTCCTAATCTTAGTTATTTTTGGGAAAATTATTCTTATTAATATTCTTATTTTACTATTTTTAACTCATATTTATAAATTTATTTTACCTTATAGAATAATATTATAGGAATAGGAATGGGAATGAAATGGTTAGATAAGTTCATATGATGCAGATATGATTTCAAGTTGTGTTTTGAATTTTTGCCTTTATATATTTTGTAACTTTGACAAATAAAATAATTACAATAATGTAGTTTTATTATGTTTTACTATTCCTCTTTGAACTTTCCTAGAAAAATATTAGAATTATTTATCTAGTGGAGGTAAAAAAAAGGATCAGTACCATTCAGTAAAAAAATTTATACAATAATTTTAATATATATTTTTGACTACACCCGCTAGATGGCGCAGTAGTTAAGGAACAAAACTTAAATACTAAGTTGCCTATCTAACTAATCCCCCGCCCACCCAACCAATTCCTTGTCTATGGGTCAATTTTCGGTCGATCTCGCGTTTTTATGACGTACGGGTGTGGCTGATTGTTTACCGAACCGGTCGTCTCGAATTTGGCCACCAAACGTTAAAGAGTCGACTTTAAAGGACCACCGCTTCTGCCGAAAAATGGGCGCACTAACCAACACTCATTATTATTATTAATAATAAACAACAGCATACGTTAATTTCCCAACGTACCGTGCCAATCAAAATCATTCTGAACCGAATGGCGCTTCTTCTTTTAACAATTTATTTATTATTATTATATATAGATATATATATATATATATATTAGGGTGCTTTTTTTTACGACTATTTTTATTTTTTCGCTCCCAACTCAAAATCTTGTTGAAAATGTTAAAAAAAAATTCCCTAAAAATTTGAGCCTTTAATATTAACTCAAAGTACGTACTCTACCAAAGCGTATAAAGATTTCCCATTTAAAATATATGTAAACTTTTTTTTTTAATTATCTATATCTCAGCCGCATTTTATGCTATTGGATTGTTTCAAAAAAGGATTTACTCGTAATCAAAAGTTCTACAAAATTGCTTTATGTGCCAAATATGGCTGTAATCTGCACCTGTAGGATGGTATTGGTCACTAAATCTTATTTTAGTGAAAAATTCTCTTATTGTTGAAGATATTTCAAAAGTGACATTTAAAAAAATGTAAAGGACAAACTTGACAGATTGATATTTGTTGAGATATAAAGCGTTTACATTGACATTTTATGAAATTTTCAGGATTTTCGTACCAAATTTTTTATACTTAAATGATGATTTTCAATTGTTTATGACTACAATTTCATGTAATTACGTTTTTTCTACATTCGGGTGATTATAGAAAAATAAATAACTAAAAGAATCAAGCATAATTATTAATAAAATAACATGTATGTAATACACCTCGTTATATCAATTTTTAGATTAGATATATCTTTTCTCTTTAAAGTTATGTTATTAATAATTATGCTTGATTGTTTGAGTTATTTATTTTTCTCTAATTACCCGACTGTAGAAAAAACATAATTAGATGAAATTGTAATGATAAACAATTGAAAATCATCATTTATAAAAAGTTTGGTACCTACGAAAATCCTAAAAATTTCATAAATTCAACAAATCAACCTTAGCGATTCAACTGATAAGACCTTTTTAAAAGAAAATTAAATTTTCTACAAGTTTGTTTTTTACATTTTTTCAAAGAATCCAGTCACTTTTGAAATATCTTCAAAAATATGAGAATTTTTCATAAGAGTTTGAGTTGAGCGAAAAAATAAAAATAGTCGTGAAAAAAAAAACACCCTAATATATATATACATATATATTTTATTACCTATCAAAGCATTCTTTTTGTATGCTTAAACATTGTATAGATATTTAAGTTGTAAATAGGCAGGACCTAGGTTGTTCTTTGGTTAAACCAATAAAGACATTTTGTATTGCCTAGAGCTGACACAACCATGGGGCTTGAATGTTTGTTGAGATTTAGAAAGTGTGTTTGCAAAGTTCTGTATTATTTTGAATATTTTAATTCAGTATCTTTCCGCATTTTTTATTATTAAAAAATAATTTTACAAGGTTATGCTGTGACAGCATTGCTATCATTTCGGTAATACACATAGATGACCAAAGGTAATACATTTATATATTTTTTTATTTTAATGGTTGGTTCCCTGTTGCATAACACCATTTAATTAAACTAGACATAATAAATAAAAGACAAGAAATAAATAAAACAAAATATAAATAAATAGTATACCTGATACTCTAGAGACTGCTTCAACAATATCACATCTGAACACATGGCACTGATAAATAGCAGACTCCTGGGTATCCCCATGGGACCAAGTGAATGCAAAACAACTGCCTTCTGGAGTCTCTACAGAACCACGAGTGTAAAACACAATCCTATGAATCTCATATCGTGAAATTACAGAATTTGTGGAGGCATCATACAACCTGAAAATTTTGAATTTAAAAATTTAAATATAATAAATTTCGCTTATTTACACAACAAATCCCTGGGACATAGATGGCACAGATACAGACACTTTAATTCCCAGCTCTGAACTTTGTTCATTTAAGATGGCCATATTTCTTTGAATTTCAGCTTCAGATTTAGGCGCATTTATAGCAGCTGCACCCAAATAAGTAACACCAGAAAATATAGTGCATTCCTGGTCAACATCTGAAACTTTAATGATGACTATTTGTAATTTAAACTAGACTAATAACCAGAAATCATAAATGCAAAGCAAATTAAAATGGAATTAATTAAATACCTTCTTCTTCTTCACTTGAATCTGGTTTCATTATATCCTGTTTTTCAGTGGGCGACAAACTTTGCTCCATTGTTAAAGGATCCTTTCCTGGTGGAACTAGGCTGTAAAACGTTGAATGCCCGATTTGCTTAACCTCCTCGACAACATCGTTCATTTTGCCGTCACTTTCTAGTAATACTTCAGTAAGAGCGTCCTTTAGTTCATTTAAACCTCCGTTCTTAAAATCCAATGTAGGTGTCCTGCTAACACCAGGTTTTTCGCCAACGAAATCAAATTCCTCACTAGTAGCTACAGACTCATTTGATTTTACGCTTAAACTATCCTCCATAACGAACTAAAAACGCTAAATGTTTTTATTCAATAGCTATATTTTATAGTTTACGTTAATTAAATTGGTTTGTATAGGGATTTTATAAATTTTACTGACCTAATATTTTACCGGACTATAGTATTAACGAAATCCATTGCATATTCTACATTTTTATTTAAATCATTATCCAAATTATTAACAAATTCCAGCCCCAAACATGTTTGCAGTTTGACAGTTTGAGAAATAAACTTGCGCTGTTGCAATGTATACAGAACAATATCCTTTATATTAAAACTAAATAATAACTACCTTTTTAAAATAAATTTAAAATGCAAATTTAGATATAAATATACAAAAATAATTTAAACAAACACGAAAAAGCTTGCAAAGCTGCAAAATTAAAGTTTTTATAAATATTTTAATTAGGCAACATGGCCCAGTTAAAATTTTTATTGTTAATTAAATGTTTGTGAATGTAAAATAATTATTTAAACTTTAAAATTTTTTTTAAAATTTATGACGATTTTTCCTTAATTATCAGATTTAAAAAATATTCTTTGTTAACATAACCTTACTTCTTATTGCCAAGTTGACAGTATATGTACCAAACATCAACAAACAACAAAAATGGTTTACATTCATTTTCCAGTTAATTTTACTGAAGAAGAAACGATGCTTCAAAACAAATACGCAAAATTAAAGAAGAAGAAAAAAGCATTGCAAGCATTAAAATCTCCTAAACCTGAACCAGAAAAACCCATAATCCCAAAGAGACCAGCAGAAGCAAGGGATGCAAGGGAAGTGGCAAAAAAACTACTAAAATCGGGGGCTATTCAACCCATATCTAAACAACAAAAACAACCAGAGCAGGGTTTTAAAAGACCCAGGGGTTTGGAGAGGAAATTAATTTCTGAGAAAATTGTCAGTGGGTATCAACCTTTTTCTGCAGTTCAGATGGATGAAGGGCCAGACAACCCAGAAAATAAACCACCAAGGATTAAGAATTTGTATGATACATTTGCTACAGCAAGGGATAGAGAAGAAAGAGGTAAATATATTTATAATGTGTGCATTGATGTGCTCATGACATAAAATAGTATATTCTGTAACAAGTTTGGAATACAGCATATTCCGCTCGAGTGAAGAGTGTCACACGAGCCGAAGGCGAGTTTGACGGTTTCACTAAAGCGGAATATGCAATTCCAAACGTGTTTCAGACCTTACTTTTTCTAAGTTTCCAAAAAATACCATAGAAAAATAATTTAATTGAAAGAAAGTGAGGTTGGATCAGTCTAAAATTTGTTAGATATTAAAAACAGAGATGTCGCCACGTTTATTCTGTCATCAGATGATAGAATATTTCATTCTGTAACACTTTACGGAATATACCTATGTCATTCCTAGTGTTGTCACTGAAAAAAAACAGTCTTGTTTTTTTTCAAAAAAAAATGTTTTTTTTTAGAAAAAAAACAGAGGACCTTGTTTTTTTTCAAAAAAAAATGTTTTTTTTTCAAAAAAAAATGTTTTTTTCAAAAAAATGGTCAAAAATACTCAAATTATATTAAGTGACAGGATTTTCGAAATGTCACTGCTGAGGAAAGAATTTTTGGCACATTCTGTCACTAGAAGAATATAAAATACTAATTATAGTTTCTTACTTACCATTAGTAATATTCTTAAACAAATTGTTTAACGTTGTTGGCTTTCGCCCTGAGCCTTCTCTTTTCGGCATTTCTACCAACTATGCATCAACCTATAAAGCCGCAGGTCTTAACTCTTCTATTATAATACCGTATAGACTATACGATATGCTAAGTCAGCATTGCCGACAGCGAGGCGCCCTTTTACCATGGGGATGAAAAAAAACAACTTTTGTTTTTTTTCAGTGAAAAAAAACATGTTTTTTTTCACGTGTTTTTTTTTCAACTGAAAAAAAACGTTTTTTTTTACAACACTAGTCATTCCAAAGATAAAAGTGATTTTAGAACGGTCAAATTTTGTAATAGGGGTAGAAAAAATTATTTCTGACCAGATTAAAAAGTGGATTATGATCACTATAGATTAATTATAAGTCTATATTATTATAGACTATAATGATCATAATTCAGAAAGTAGCCAATCAGATGCAGGCTTTAGCTTGGGTTCCTGCTGGTTCCTTTACCACCAGTTTTCCTACCACACCTCTGATAAAGAGCAACTCTAAATGGCTACTTTTAAAGTAGTACTTTATTTAATTATTAACTAATTAGGAAGCGTCAGATCAAAAAACGCTAAAGGTCAAATAATAATATATTCTGTAACAAGTTTGGAATACAGCATATTCCGCTCGAGTGAAGAGTTTGTCACACGAGCCGAAGGCGAGTTTGACGGTTTCACGAGAGCGGAATATGCTATTCCAAACGTGTTTCAGACTATACATTTTCTACGTTTCCAAAAAATACCATAGAAAAATAATGGTAGTGTCTCCCCGACCGTCGGACGGACGTAGAAAAGTGTGTGCTCGACCGTCGGACGGACGTAGAAATGTGTGTGCTCAACAGTCGCATATTTTAACCTCATTTTCAACTAGAGGCTAAATGTAGCAAAGTATTCCTCAAGGTTATGACGAATAGAAACTTCTAGTCGGTGACCCAACATCGATCCCGACTTCTCACGAGCTGGCACGAACCGCCTTATAACGTGACGTCATAATAATAATCCGGTTTTGTTCCCCGAACATACAAAATTTGTTGTCAAACTAGATAGCTTAGATGGTACGGCGTTTGCTTTGCATGCGAGAGGTCCCGGGTTCGATACTCAGAAGTTGTCGAATTTTTTTTACTTTTTTATTTCATAAATTTGTTGTTCCTTTGTTAAAAAGTGTTTTATTTTTATCGTAACATAAATTTGCCCATTTTAGTTGGGTTTTTTGCTCAATGGGGCGGGGGGGGGGGGCCAATGGGGCGGGGTCGGTTGGGTTGTGTTGTTGAGTTTGGGTTGGTTTGGTTTTATTACGTAACTAACGTGCCCTTAACATGTATACAGGTACAATTTATTATTATATTATTGTTGTGCCGTCAATTTTAAATGATAATGATGCATTGTATAATATATAATAAATTCTTTGTCCAGTCGGGATCGATGTTGGGGCACCGGCTAGAAGTTAGTATGACGAATAGCTGTCATTTTGGTTATGCAGGTACACTGCATTCCCAAGCAGCATTTTAAGTAAAAGCGTAGAGCTTTGAGGCAATATTACTTAATTTAATATTTTGTTAAATTAACTTTAAAAATTTACTTTGAAGTAAAACTTTTTTTAAAGTTATAATATAAGTTTTATTTATGTTATTTTTACCTATTTTAATAACCCTTAAGTTTCAATACTTTAAAGTATTATGAGGGACGTAATTTTTACGAAATAAAATTACTTATAAGTGTATTTCACCTAAAGGAAAATTTAACGGTAATTTTAACGTCAGAATTTTTACTTAGTGGTAAATTTTACTCATAAGTCATAATTTTACGATATTAAGACCACTTTATAACCGTAAATAATTACTATTCGCCTGGTATTTTTTAGGGTTATTAGTGGGTAATAAATACTAATAATATTGACTAAACAAGGAAAAATAAGCTTAAAGTAAAAAATAAAACTTTTTTTTTAGGCCGCCATAATGAGTTTTTTAAGATGGCATCCATTACTTATCTAAACATTTATATAATATTTTTTCATGAATATCTTTCTAAAATATAATAAGAAAAGTTTTAGTTATTAAAAAATGATTAAAACTAAATGATTTTTAAAAGATTTTATAAAATTTTGTAGGTTTTAAGTTTTGTTGAATTTTTACCCAAGCAATAATTTTTCTTATAACCGTAAAATATTTAGAGGGCATATAATTTTTAAGACGTACCTATCGTACCTATTTTTATCAATAAAATAATGTGCGTTTGAGTTTTAATGCAAAATATCAATGGTTTTCACAATTTAAGTTATATTTTTTAATTTTACTCTAGGGTGGCCTTTATTACTTTGTAATTACTTAAGTTCCTACCATTTTGTAAAATATAAATTAAAAGAACAAAGAAATTACGAATATCAATGTTTAAGAAAGAGAGAGCAAACAGTTAGTAATTATAGCGTTATTTTTACGTAAATTTGTGGTATTTATATTGTTTTTATTACGTAATTCTCTTAGTAGATCAAAAAGGTTTTTATGTGGGTAAAATAACGAAATAAACCATTCCCCAAATTTGGTAATTTTTCGTATCTATACCGTTATAAAACCGTTTTGGTTAACCGTAAAAAATACTTTAAAGTTGACTTAGTAGTAAATTTGTAGTTATTTAAACTTAAAATGCTGCTTGGGTTGTGCCATACCAAACTAACCCAAACTTAACAACCCAACCCAACCGACCCCGCCCCATTGGGCCCCTCCCGCCCCATTGTCACAATCCAGCCTGCCCTTAGATATATTATACCTCTATTGCTCAATGGCGCGGGAGGGGCCCAATGGGGCGGGGTCGGTTGGGTTGGGTTGTTAAGTTTGGGTTGGTTTGGTATGGCACAATGCAGTGTACCTGCATAACCAAGATGACAGCTATTCGTCATAACCTTGAGGAATACTTTGCTACATTTAGCCTCTAGTCATTTTCACACGTTTGTACGTCCGTCCGACGGTCGAGCACACACATTTCTACGTCCGTCCGACCGTCGAGCACACACTTTTCTACGTCCGTCCGACGGTCGGGGAGACACTACCAAAAATAATTTAATTGGTAGAAAGTGAGGTTGGATCGGTCTAAAGTTTGTTGGATATTAAAAACAGAGATGTCGCCACGAGTGTTTATTCTGTAATCAGATTATAGAATATTTCATTGGAGGGAGGACCAAATCGGATTTCAGTCCTAGATAATATTCCTCGTTTTGTCCTTTTTTAAAGGAATAGAGGAATTTATATGAACATATAAATTTCAAGGTTAGATAACCTATATGTGTGCACGTGTTTTATCCGACAATTGTAGTCCAATGATGGATGGATGCTTAAATCATTGGACGTTAAAATGAGCACCACTATAAAAGGCATGGAATAATCCAGACGTGTCAAAGGGCACACCTTTTATTGAGCACTTTTTTTTTGGGCGGCCGTCTCACGACGCGAGTCCATGGTAACAAGGAAGAAGAAGAATATTTCATTCTGTAGCACTTTACGGAATATACCTATGTCATTCCATAGACAAAAGTCATACTTATTAGAACGGTCAAATTCCGGAAGTAGGAGTAGAAAAAAATCTTTTTCTACTTCTATTATGGAATATGACCGTTCTAATATCACTTTTATCTATGGAATGACATATATTCCGTAAAGTGTTACAGAATGAAATATTCTATCATCTGATGACAGAATAAACACTCGTGGCGACATCTCTGTTTTTAATATCTAACAAATTTTAGACCGATCCAACCTCACTTTCTTCCAATTAAATTATTTGTCTATGGTATTTTTTGGAAACGTAGAAAAAGTATAGTCTGAAACACGTTTGAAATTGCATATTCCCCTCTCGTGAAACCGTCAAACTCGCCTTCGGCTCGTGTGACAAACTTTTCACTCGAGCGGAATATGCCGTATTCCAAACTTGTTACAAAATATACTATTCACTACTCACCCCTTTTTTGCTGTCCATGTCTTTTGGGTAGGGATGTAAAAAAGCGGTTTTTTTGTGATTGCGGCTAGAGGTGGACACAACCATTATTAACTTTCAGTTTGTGCTCTTAACTTTTAATACAGCTTTAGTAAAAAATATTTTCATATGTGACTAGAGTTGGGACAGTTGAAATTTTCAAATGAAAATTTCAACTTTGAAAGTTTCAAACTTGAAATATTTCATTTAGTTGGAAAAGTGAAATTTTTAAAAATTTTAAATGAAATTTTCAATCCGAAAATTTCAACATTGCCTGTGATAGTTTCAGAAATTTCATTGAAAGTTTCGCAATTTACTGAAAATTTCGCATAAATTTCACATGCGGCCTCCCCTGGGACCTTTAATAATAATTTACAACAGATTCCGAATCGACCAATAAGAACGAGTTATCAAGCGTCTGGCCGTTTTTGTTTAGTTCGGCTTGGATTTGAATACACTATAAGTAATTATTGTTACTTATATGCATAAATTAATTTAAATAATTTAATTTAGTTACCAATTTAATTTGTAAATTAAATTAGACTTCAAATTTTTTTTTAAGTCATGATTAATTTAAACTTTTACTTTAGCTATAATTGCATCGAAAAACGGATAAAAAATGCCTTTGGCTCATAAAATTTTCATAAATTTCATGAAATTTCAGAAATTTAGGAAATTTTAATAAATTTAATAAATGCAATGAAAATTTCAAGTGAAATTTCAATTACAAGCAGAAAGTGAAATTTTTCCAACCCTATATGTGACGTTTAATTTAAAAATGCGTAGCTCGTAAAAGAAACGAGATGGACAGATGATGTTAAAATTTTAACTTAAAAACAAAAACTCGGAACACATCCAGATTTAAACAGTTTATAAAAAGGTTGATTTGCATGTTTTTTCCACAGGGTGTTTTAAACTTAATGATAAAAACAACATTTTGATTAACCCTGGTATATAAACCTTTAAGCATCCAAAATTTCATCAGGACAAACTGCAGCGCAATCTAAATGAATTGATCTATAGTCCAGAGAAAAAATCATTGCAATAAAATCAAAAATAAAAAAGTTATGACATGTCAAAATTGTCAAAAAAATTTAGGTGCCGGTTTTTTTTGTCGGTGAGTGTAGAAGCAGAATCCATGTTAAATAAATGGGAAAAGCATAGAAAAAGGAAAAGTATCGTCATTTAGGCAGGGTTAAGCGACATCGGAAATTTTTGTTTTTATACTATATGTATATATAAATATATAGTAATAATATAGTGTATAAAAATATCGCAAGAGGGCTCTCGTGTAGCTGCGCAAAACCAACGAGGTTGAGACGCCATTATAAAGAAAAAACAACACAAACAAGTCTTTGGAGGCCATTTATTAGCGGTTTTTTTATTAGTCGATTTCTGTGTTAAGTGCCTAGTAATAGTAGTGTACTTATATCTTAAAAAAAATGTTTATATGTGTAAAGTTTAGGGACGATGGCGTAAGAATGGTCGTCACAGCGGAAAAAATAAAAAAAATTGACATAAACAATATCGACTTCGACCATGCCTACAAACATCCTTTGCAATAAAGTCAAAAAAATGATTATAACCGAGTAATTTTATTTATTTTTTATTACTTTTTTTTGATAGTAAGTTATAGGCAGGTGAGGCAGTGCCTCATAATAGAGAATAAAAAAATTAAGTATAATTTAAATATTTTGCTTTCTATAATATAGATACTATAAATTTTTAATATTTGGATTACATGAATTGTGAAATAGTCAAATGGATTGATTTTATACGTGGAATACCCAGCAACATTCATCATCAACATCACAAATTATAAAGGCATAGATGACCGAAGGTATATAGGTCAACATCATACGATGGCGGCCATTTTTGTTGTTTACAATTCTTGTGCTTTGGGTTTGTACAGATTAATAATCGTTTTAAACGTTGTGTTTCTTACACAGAGACTTGCAAGCCTTAAAAGAGACCTCAAAGTGGTAAGAACAATCATTTTACTCCTCTTTTGTAAAAAATGAACCTTATTTTATCAGGGCTGTCAAATGTTAATTTGAAGGTAAATTTGTGGGTTATAAAATAACCTTGTTGTGATTTTTAGTATTTTTAATACGAGATCAATCGAACAGACCTTGTTGTGTGGATTGTGGAGAAAGTTACAATTAAAAAAATAATAATTTACCATGATCACTTGGATAAAATATAGGCACATAAGCGTTAAGTTTCTTAATCAATGGTGTAGGAAATAATAAATCGAAATCGAGTACCTACTAAACCAATCTTTTGCATTTTTTACTTTCAACGTGAAAAGCAAATAACGTGGGTGATTTAGCTGTGGAATTAAAACTTTGCGAAAAAAAATTGTCGAGTAAGATTTCTGCCTTCATATATTTTGTGAAAAAACTACTTATTTATTTAAAAATGATGTGCAGTTCGTATGCTTTAAATGTATTGTTGAGAAATCTTGCAGTTCAATATTGCTATCGGGCGCCACCAGATGGAGCGCGCGTTGCGAAAATACGATGCTTCTTTATCGTATAACTCGTTATAGATATATCACACGAAGACTAAAGACAGGAGTACAAACTTCCTATGTTTGACGCGTATTTTTATGAGACAAAATACTTCGGCACAGAACAAATAAAACTGCAGTGCGCACAAACCCAATATGATTAGGACCAATAACAATCAAGTATAAAGTATGCCGTTCTCCATGTGTTCGAAATTAAATCGCCCATGGCGTAATGAGAAACTCATTGTAGACGCGTTTTGCCTCTCCCCAACCATATTGGTTTGTACTCCTGTATCTAGTCTTCGTGGCATATCCAAAGCAAGTTGCTTTCAGCAAAGAAGAAGCTTGCTGTATTTTCTTTCGGTTCTGCATGATGCTTTCTCGTGCTTTTCTTTACAATAGCCGTTTCTTTTACCACAAAGATAAAATTATGATTGGTCAGTCAAAAATCGAGGTGCCTAAACCACGCCCACATCTCTGAGAGTATACGTATTTGTACATGGCGCAGTATAGAAAGTCGAACATCCTGTGTCCAGTGTTGTAACAGTTACAATATTTTCAGTATCTAGCTACAGTTACAGTTACTTACCAAAATTTGTAACTAGATACAGATACATATTTTATTGCAGTAACTAGTTACAGATACAGTTACCTTCAAAAAGTATCTAGATACTTTAAGATACATACAAATTATTTTTTGCTTTAAAAAATTTAAAATAGAAAAAAAAGGGAATTTTAAAGTGACAACAAAAATATATGTATATGTTTATTATTTTTATTTTTTTTATATTTAATTTAAAATATCTTATTTTTTATAATATTTTTTTTTAATAAATTATAGTCGCAGTTTAATTAAAAATGTATCTTTGTATCTTAGCACACCTAGTTACTTAGAATTTGTAACTAGTTACAGTTATAGTTACTAGATTGGGATAAGTAACTAGTTACACAAATAGATACATAAAAAGTATCTAGATACTGTATCTAGTTACTTGTAACTAGTTACGTTACAACACTGCCTGTGTCTATACATTCTTAATCTAGTTACTTTGTTTAGCTGCTAGAGACCTTATTTTTTATAGCATTACAAAATGCAAATAAAAAAACTAAATACATTGAAATATCTTGAACATTAAATAAAATAATATAGTTCACCCATCCCAAAGGACTTAAACCAAAAATAATTTTTATCCTTTTAGGATTAACTGACAAGGCACGCGAAAAACCAGAAAAACCACGTCAAGGCAATACAATCTATGTATCTGGTTACAAGATAAGTGAAGATTTCTTGAAAAAGCATTTCACTACTATAGGAAATATTGTAAATATATCAATGGAAATTGAAAAGAACAGAGGGTTTGTTACTTTTGATAAAGTGGAAGCTGCTGAAAGAGCCATAACAGAAATGGATGGATCTATGGTGTCTGGAATACAATTAAAAGTATCACTTGCAAGAAGACAGCCTCAGATTGAGCCAATCAATGATGTGACATCTTCAGCAGCTTGGGCCACATTAGCTTCAAGTCATTCCCAAAAAGGCAACCACAGGGACAAACGAGACTTGGTGTCATATGAAGATATGTTTGAATAAAATTGGTTTTATTGGAACAGTTTATTAATTATAATCTAATACTAGTTGATTAGCTTCCTCTTTCTTCTCCCCTATTTTATTTTTAATTTCTGTTTTTGCAGCCTGAAATAGTTGGGACGTTTTAACAGCTGCATACAATGAAAACAAAAAATGCAATGATTGCACTTTGTTTTTCTTAACTGGAATGTTAAAAGTGTTACAAACTAATGTTATGTAATCTGATAATTTGGCGTCTGATTCAGGTTTAGGAAATCCGTGTTCTAAAAGGTGAGTTTCCATTTCCTCTGGCCATTCTTGCATGAGGTCATCCAAATCTGGCATAGGCCTGAAACAAAAAAGGTTACAAACATCCTTTACTAATGAAAACAGCAAAATAATCGACCTTAACCTAATTGGTCAGGTCAACCTAACTTACTCAGAGTATCTAACAACTGGCGATGATTTGCTTTTGTGCAAATCCGATATGTCCTTAATCCATTTGTCGATAGTTTTCGTATTTTTCTCTACTTTATCGATTTTTTTGACCACCACGTTTAGGTTTTTGTCGCTAGCTTTTATTGACGAAGCTCGCAGCTGCAGTTGTAGCAAAGCAGGATCACTTTGGCTTGCAGCTGGTTCATCCAAAACCTCTAATCCCAACTTTAGGTGGTCTTCAAAAATATCGCCATTTAAATTTTGATGGGGTGGTATTACTTTTAGAAAAGCGTCAATGTCGCCCACTGCTGGGAGGAATTCTGGTATAAACGGTTTGAATTTGTGGTCTAAATTTAAAATTTGAGGAATGTACCTTAAAAAAATAATGTAATTTATTAACACAAGTAACCAAGAAGGGCCAAGTTTTGAACCCAAGAAAAAATTTTCTATTTCCATTCATCACGTGTAATTTCAGTGGAGCATACATGTTAGCACCAAGAAATTAGCTTTCGCTAAGGTTGGCTTTGGAATGATGATGTCATCAGAATGAAATCATGTGATTTTGCTACGATTTTTATGATTTATTTATCATACAGACACCATGCTGCAGCATAAAATTACGCGTGATTTTTAACTTTTATGCTTATGGTAAATTCTCATATAACTTGTTTCGATGCTGTATCCACTTATTTTTGTGAAAACTAATTCTCGCTCAAGGTTTTTTTTAGTGTAACGAGCATGTAGCATTTTAAGGTAATGGGAACTTAAATTATGACAACCCTAATCTATTAATTTTTTCCTAAAATGCAGGCTTTATGTTGCAAATGTCACGTAAGTTACCGGTCACCAACTGCAATATCCTAACATTGATGAATATTTTAACAAAATGGCTGTTGAAACAACTAATGTTAGTGCTTGATTAACTAAAAATAGACTTAAGATTGACTAAAAATTATTTTATCCGAAATCGGCAGTAAAGTAGAACTTTACTGCCGATTTATTTTAATTTACGATTGTTGACTACTTTACTGCCGATTTCGGATAAAATAATTTTTTGCCAATCTTAAGTCTATTTTTAGTTAATCAAGCACTAACATTAGTTGTTTGAACGGCCATTTTGTTGAAATATTCATCGATGTTAGGATATTGCAGTTGGTGACCGGTAACTTACGTGACATTTGCAACATAAAGCCTGCATTTTAGGAAAAAATTAATAGATTAGGGTTGTCATAATTTAAGTTCCCATTACCTTGAAATGCTACATGCTTATTACACTAAAGAGAATTGACCTTATATGAAAATCACAAATTGAAAAAAAAATGCAGAAAATCACAGATGCTATCTGGTAGAACCCCAACCCTGTCTAGGTCCCTAATGCCAAGTGATTATTTATCACTATAACAATAATTGTTGGTCTCTCATACATTTAATGGTCAAGAAAAAAGAAACGGCTCAGTTTATAGGTTCAATGTTTTTTTATGTTTTGTTAATAGGTATACAATTTATCTACGCCAGTGAGATAAGAACTTCTTATCCCACTCATTTTGAGTGAGATAAGAAGTTCATTAACGCACGCGTTTTTCTCTGCTTTTAACCAATCAAATAAAAAATTCAAAATGTCAAAATGTCAAAATAACCCTAAATTAAGTCTTAGACAAAAATAATTACCGTTTATTTTTTCATTTAGAAGCGTAGATAAAAATTTGTACAATATACGTGTGATAACGCTTTATTAACGTACTTTTGCGATTGCCCAACGAGTGCGTAGCACTCGTTGGGCAAATTTCGCATGCGTACGTTAATAAAGCTCTTATCCCACTTATATCGTAAATAACTATTATGGTCGAAAATTGATTATAGCCAAATATTATAGAATCAATAGAATGGATGCTTGGGTCCAAAAGTCGAATAAAAAATTACCTACTTTGTAATATATTGAAAAATTTCTTGGATCTCTACATCCACATTAAGATTTTCAAACTCCTTGGGATCATATTGACCCGGCACTATTTTTTTATCATCATCGTCGGCGTCACTATCGCTAGACAGATGAGCTAATTTTTCCACTTTGTGAGGAGACTTAACGTTTTCTTTTGAAGTAGAAGATTGCGGAATATCTTTATTAATTCCATGTCTTGGTAATGGTTGGGGTACAGAAGGGGCTGAAATCTTATTTTATTTATAAAAAAAAATGTTAATTTTATTAAAAATAAATTACTTCATCATGTCTTTGATTTATCTTCTTAGGACTGGTGCTATTTTCCTCGGAATCACTAACGATATCGGAGTATTTTTTGTCGCTTGATTGTCTTATAAACTCTTCAATTTTTAATTCCTGCTCGTCCTCGTCATCCTTTTTTGAAATAATTATAATTGTATAGGTAATACATTTATATTAAATAATAATAAATATATTATATATATATGTATATATATATACCTATATGTACTTACATTTATGATTGAAAATGATCTCTGCATTATTTGTATGCAAAAACAACAATAATATTTAAATGTTTGTATGTGTCCTTAGCAACCATAGATAAAGGATAGCAACCACAGGCAGTGTTGTTCCTAAACCGTCTAGACTGGTCTAGGGTGTTGTTTTTGGTACTAAATTTATTGCATAAGATTTCTCAGGAAAATTTAATGGATTTCCGGAAAACTGTAATAAAGCAACGGTTTACTTACTAAGCGCAAATTCAAATATTATTATAGGTGCCCAATTTTTTTTACCAATAAAAAAATTAAAAACACCCCAATAAGGGGCCGTTCAAGTATTACGTAAGCAGATTTACTACAATTATTAACCCCCCCTCCCCCTTGTCAGCAAAAGTAATCAAAGCTCTTACCCCCCCTCCAATGCTTACGTAAACATTCAGTGGCGTAGCTAGGTAGGCAAAGGCCCCGGTGCATAGAGAAAAAATCGGGCCCTCACCCCCTCTTTCACGGTAACTTCAACTTATATTGGCCTTCAAAATTATAGATAGGATAGATAGGAAATAGGATATAGTATACAGTGAGTTGAACTTGGTAGGCTTAATCCATACGTCTTTATTATACAGATGAGATCAATAGATGACAAAACAAAACGATTTTTTAACAGAGTTCCCTGTCCAATTCACAACCTCTTGCGCGCTTTAATTTTTGCAAATTCGTCTATAACTTCACTCAAATCCAACTTTGATGCCGCCTTATTTTCTATTGCAATTAACGATAAATGTCGGAGGCGATCTTCTCCAATGCTGTTTCTTAAATAATTTTTTATAATCTTCAGTTTACTGAAAGATCTTTCAGCTGCCGCGGAAGTAACAGGAATTGTATGAAACAGTAGCATTGCTGTATACACTTTCGTAAGGTCACATTCGAGCACGCCAAATTTCGTTACAATTTCTTTGCAAAGTTGCCGAATGGACCACGTCTCCGTCAATTGAGGAAGGACCAGATGGTAAACATTAAGAAATTGGAGCGAAAAAGTGGGTCCAATTATATCGGAATATTTCGTCTGAAACTGATCACATTTCATTCATGCTAAGCAAATTTTTTGGAATCAAAAAGTCAAACGTTTTACAATTTGCACTCACACCAGAAAAACGCGCATCTAACTGATTGATTATTATGTCGAGTACATTGTTGAAAATGGTTACTCTGAAGACTTCTTCCTGATTTTGGAATCGGTGATCAGAAGCCAATTCATCGAAATGCTTTTTCGTTTTTCTTCGTCGCTTTTCTGGAAAGGCAGGATCGATATCGTATTTTTTCGCGGTTTCGGTGGCCTTGGATTTGAAGTCATTCCTGTACTCTTTTAATTTATTCGTTGTTTCGTCCAAAGCCTTACTCGCCTCGTCCAAAACGATATCACGTTTTTGCAAAATTTTGGAAACATAATTGATCCTGTTCAACACGCTGTGCATAAATTCGCAAAGGAATATAAACTCAAAATTCAGCATTTTTGATTTTATAACCTCTGCTTTACTACGTTCGTCTTTACTTGAACTCTTCAGCGTTATTTCGGACAATGCTTTAATAATATCGAAAAAACGAACTTTGACTGCTGCTATCAAGTTAACCCTGCTCGACCATCTTGTTGGATTCAATTTTTTTCAAAGTGATTTCTGATTCGCCAGTGAATTTTGATAAGAGGTCCCAGCGCTTAATGCTGTTTCCAAAGAAGTTGAACAAGTCTTGTATTATTGCAAAGAACTTCTGAATTTCAATAGAACCTCGAACAGCATCATTTACTACCAAATTTAAATTATGACTGGCGCAATGTACGTACTCTGCGTTTGGTTGAATATCTTTAATTTGTTTTCGTACGCCATTATACGCACCACTCATTACACTGGCTCCATCATAGCCTTGCCCGACACACTTTTTAAAATCAAGACTCTTTTCGGAGAACAACGTGGTTACTTGATTCACCAAATCCGCAGCGCTGTGTTTAGTGACTGCGTGGAAACCGAGAAACACCTCTCTTAAGAGGTAATTACCTCAATATCGATTGGTTGTCCATTTTCCGATCTGACTATAACTGCATATCTTTCGACAATGCTAAGCTGATCCACTTTTGATATGTCCTGCGTGGTATCCATGATGATGGTGAAAAACGGTGATGCCCTGATCTGATCCAATAGATGATGTTCAAGTTTGGTGCCCAAACACTCGATCATTTCATTTTGAATCGTTGCGCTCAGGTACCTTGTTGATCCTAAAAACATAAGGGATATTAGAAAACATTAGATTATGATAACATAAATTATAAACGCAGTAAACGAAATCATTTCTTACCTTTAGGCATATCCAAAACTTGACGCAAGACGTGATCGTATCTAGCAACGAGTTGTACGATTGAGAGAAAATTTCCGTGGTTTCCTTCCTCACTCAGATCCTCTCCATGTCCTCTCAAAGCCAAAGAACTTTAAAGTTGCATTTTGCAAGAGTAATTAAAGTAATTAAAGTTGCAATTTTGCAAGAGTAATTATGATGTCGAATAATCTACGAAGAACTTGTCTCCAAAATGATGCTTCTTTGCGAATTTCATCTTCAAGTTCTTTGTCAATGGTAGAACTTTTTTGCCACGCTTCATATACAGCACACGCCTCCGTGTGTGCTTTCGAGGAACCATGTTGCTTAACTCTATCCGATAAATGCCTCCAGTCGCGAATGCCCGTGCACCATACATTCTTTTGCGAAGCAAACAACCAGCAGGGTTGGCAGTAGGCAGCATCCAGCATTTTTGAGTAGCAAATCCAAAAACGATCAACTGGACCATATTTTGACGTAGAAACGTAATACGTTTCTGAAAAGCTCCTGTGGTCTTGGTGGGGATCCTTCGGAAAAGGTCCCGGAGTTTTCAATGGTCCCTTGTCAAGAATCAGCCGTTTTTCGGTGTCGTTCAATTTCTTGTTTATGAACTTTCCCAAGTCAGTTGAAATTTCAAGAACTTCCGAAGATGTAGAAATGGATGATTCCTCTACTGTTGGTTGCACGGAAGCGTCGACATAGTCATTTTCAGCGGTGGCATTGATGAGAATTGTTGAATCCTGATATTCCTGATCTTCTAGAGTCACTTCATTCACTGACACAGCCCTGTCCACGCTATCAGTAAATAAACTCTTGTCACTTTTGGCCGATATTTCGGCTGCTGAAGGAACTGTAGCAGAAAGCGTTTTCGCAAAAAAGCTTCTCTTTCCTTACGTTGTTTTCGCTTTGAAGCTCCGCTACGTTCCTTTTTTCTTTCCATAATTCACAATTTTCAACTATCGAAATTTTATAAATTCGGAAGTATTAATACTTACCGGGATTTTCGTACTCGTAAATTGCTTGTCAATGTAGATTAAAGATTACGCAGCACGTTCAACAAAAAAAACCACAGAATGATAGAACAGCGTAGCTCATCATTTGGCAATTTAAACGTGAGTTCAGAAAAATGTTCTCTATTTTTCGTTTTCGATCAAGTTGAGAGTTATAGGTTATACCGTTGCCGTTGTGCTGCAACCTGTATCATACATGTTTTATCATCGGACATTTTTTTAGCGAAAATAAGTGTTAGCAAAATATGGTGCCAGATGGATGAATGTACCTACGGAATAGAAATAACAGGATTAGTGGTAGGCTGGTAGTAGGGAATTACGAATTACAACAGTCAGAGACACACCTAGCGTCAACTATCACAGTGCATCCCAGAAAGTTGAAAATATCGCAATAAATAATATAAATGAGAACAGATGCAAAGAGATGTAATAGATGAGAACAGAGAAGAGCGGATGAAAACTTAAAAAAGAGTTTACGGGTGGAATTGTCGAATTGATCTCACGACCTTGACGGCACGTGAGCTAATGAGCTTCAGAGCTTATCGCTGACGCAATGGGCGTACTCAACCAAACTACCAAATAGCAATAACAAATAGCACATGCTTATCGAGGACGCTTGGCGAATGTGTTGAAAGTCTCAAATCTGGAGTTCTCTGATTGTTGATGTTCACTAATCATTAAATAAAAAAAAATCTTGTGAGCAGGGTCGAGTTTTTCTAGCTTCAGGAGCTGGCGAATTGGCGGACCTGCTCTTTTCAAAGCTTAGGTTGGAGGGCCCCCTGAGCTCCGGGGCCCTGGTGCACTGCAGCAGCTGGCCCTATGATAGCTACGCCACTGCTTACTGGGCTGGATTTAAATCATAAATCTTGAATACACTTGCAAAACAGATTTAAATCCTAAATCCATAAATAAATCCAGCTATAGCTGGAATAAAAAAATAAAATCATAATTAATTTAATTTTTTTTATTACAAAACTTATGACAGCTATAAGTTATAACTTTAAAAAAATTACGTATCCGCCATGTTGGCGTGCCGTTACCAAATTATGTCAACTGGCAGTTGACAACTGCGCCACTGAAGTTCAGTGACTGAACCATGGAGCCTACACATGTATATATATAGGCTCCATGGACTGAACACATAACCAGAGACTGACAGAACTGCGCCAATTTCTTTCTCGCAAATGTCTTTGCGCAGTTGACATAATTTGATATATTTTGATTGGTGCATTTAAAATGTTCAAAAACAAACAGTAAGTAAATCATACTTAAATTTAATTTTTGGATTTAAATCTGAAATAAAGAAATGATTTAGATCCTAAATCATAAATCAGGATCGGATCGGATTTAGAGATTTAGATCCAAAATGATCTAAATCATGCCCATCCCTGGTTATATAATTTTATATTTTTATATATATATTTATATATATTTTGGCAATATTGTTAAAAAAAAATTTAAAGATTTTTTTATTAAAATTTATAGGATTTAAAAATAAAACAAAGTTTAGAAAATAGTATAAACCACAATCCACACAACAAGGTCTGTTCTATCTCGTACTAAAAATCACTGCAACACTGCACAGTTTAACGGCGGCCATTTTTGTTTACAATTTTTGTGCTTTGGGTTTGTGCTCTGTTTATACAGATTAATAATCGTTTTAAACGTTGTGTTTCTCATAGTAAGCCTTAAAAGAGGCTAAGAACAACCATTTTACTCTATTGTAAAAAATAAACTTTATTCTATCAGGGCTGTCATAAAACTGTCAAATGTCAATTTTAAGGTTAAATTATAACCCACAAATTAACCTTCAAATTGTCATTTGACAGAATAAGGTATATTTATTATAAAAGAGGAGTAAAATGGTTGTCCTTAGCACTTAAAGGCCTTATTTAAGGCTTACAAGTGCCTCTGTAAGAAACTCTACGTTTAAAACAATTATTAAACAGCACAAACCCAAAGCACAAGAATTGTAAACAACAAAAATGGCCGCCGTTAAACTCTGTACTGATTTTAGTATGAGATAGAACAGACCTTGTGTGGATTGTGGTATAAACATTGACTCAACGGTTTAAATTAAGACCGTGGTATAAATCAATAATTTGTCATACAAAATAATACAATGTGGCAACACTGCACAGTAATTTTAGTGTTGTCAAAATCGCATAACCTCAAAATGATATTAAGTATAAATGAATTTTTATGAAGTGTGCTAATAAAGCAATAAATTGTGGTATTAATTAGTAATAATAATGTGGTTTTTAACAATAGTTAGTTATTTCGCAATAATTATACAAATATTTTTCACAACAATAGCAATAGGTAAAAGGTCAATAAATTAAGTTTTTAATTAATTTAAAGCGATATTGTAGCGGCCGGATTGTATTACTTGGCGGAATTGGTTGAGGAACACACTATTGTTGCAAAAAAATGCATTTCGTCAATGAATTTGGTGAGTTTAAAAATTAAATATAAGAACCCAGCAAACACCAACGTAAAGGTTCTATAATGGCCCCTTATAAACATGCCTTTAATAAACTACCGGCCCTTTAAAGGCTAACTTTAGTGGAACTTTCCATATTATGTCTCATTCACCTTTAATGGGCATGTAACAGAAGTCAATAAAGGCACAAGAACCATTACAATTTTGATATGGCGCGCTAAAGGTCCTGATATGGCAGATCAAAGCTACAAATGTGGCAAGCTAAAGCTTCTGATATGGGGTGTTAAAGTTTCTATATAGTGGTTATTTAATAGTTATTTATGTGTCAAGCTTTGTAAATGAATCTTTACGGGCGAGCTGAAAGTTTGTGGGGTGAGCGACGCAGGAGCGAACCCCATAATACAGTGAGCCTAGTAAAGATTAATTGCAAAGCGTGACACATACAAACTTTTATTTTCACCTTTAGATAAAGAATTTCAAATTTAAAATTTTAATTAGTATGTCAAATGTGACATTTCATTTCATAAATTGCTTTTCTACAAGCCTGTAAAACTTTACAGGTCTTTTATACAAGCCCGTAAAATATTACAGGTCTGTTCCCATAATGTATCTTTTACTTGGATACAAAAACAACAAAATTAACCTATAAAATGTCATTTACTAAGAAGGTGGAAATAAATAATATTTAATGGATACGTGAAGTATCTATTATGGGGGAGGGTCAGTCCATGTCAACTTAACACACCCATTTTACCACACCACCTCAGATTTTCTTAAAATTTGGTATACTTATACTTTGTACTAAGACCAATTTTTAAATTTTTATCTCACCGTTTCCGTTTTCAAAAACTCTCAAAAAAGTGTGAACGTTTATTTTTTAAATTGCTTTGGAAGCTGTCCTAATTCAGCTAGAAAGCTGGGAGAGGTCATTTTGCAGCATTTTAAATGCTCTTTCAACTGACAAAATATTTTGTTCAAAATCTTTTATCTTTTTATAAAAAGTACATAATTTAAAATTCTCAAAATATTTGTATAAATACTTAGTAGTACTGTTGTGAATCAAATAGTAAAATATAAATGTGGGGTCTTAATGGGTCCATTGTTAAAAAAAAAAATACAAGCCAGAAAAACGTTGAATATTGTCAAAATTAGTTAAAAGTGAAAAACCAGCATCAGAAATATTCAGAAATTGTTATCCCTTCCGTCACAATACAATTTCTGACGGTCGGGATAAAAATTCCCGATTATCGTGGATTATCTGACCTAATATAAAATAAACTAATACAAACAAACCACATTTAATCCACCATAATAAATACTTTACTTATTAACTACATTAATTTATATCCAATATCGTGAAATGTAATACTAAAACATTTATAAAAATAAACATAACATTTATATTTTAAAAATTGATTAATAATAAATGGAATCCATATAATTTAATTTAAAAAAATCTTTAAACTAAATAGAAAATATTTAAAATTAAAATATATATATATATATATATATATATATATGCAGTTTGACCCATTTGTTTGCGACTCACCCCTGTAAAATCTTTATTTATTGTGCGATTTTAACCGGATTTGTTTTAAAGTGTAGATCTTGATAAACTGTATTTTTTGAGCAAAAGACGCCATATTATTACAAAATACAAGGCCTACTATGTCAGTTTTTAAGAGTAAATTTTTAAGAATTCATATTAGCGATTTTTTTAAACAAAAGCACGGCACTGGATTCATCACCCCTCAAAACTATCCTTTACTAAATTTTATTGAAAAATTTTAAGAAAAAAAATGCACAAAAATAACTTCAAAAATTTATTTTGTCAAGTTATCCATGAAAAAACACTGAAATAAAATTAAACTTATATTAACATGGTAAATTTTTAAGAATTCATATTAGCAATTTTTTTAAACAAAAGCACGGCACTGGATTCACCACCCCTCAAAACTATCCTATACTAAATTTTATTAAAAAATTTTAAGAAAAAAAATGCACAAAAATAACTACAAAAATTTATTTTGTCAAGTTATCCATGAAAAAAACACTGAAATAAAATTAAACTAATATTAACATGGTACTATTACTAAAAGTTTAATTTTATTTCAATGTTTTTTCATGGATAACTTGACAAAATAAATTTTTGTAGTTATTATTCTGCATTTTTTTTCTTAAAATTTTTTAATAAAATTTAGTTTAGGGTACTTTTGACGGGTATTGAATCCAGTGCCGTGCTTAGATTTTGTTTAAAAAAATCGCTAATATAAATTCTTAAAAATTTATTCTTTAAAACTGACATAGTAGGCCTTGTATTTTGTATTAATATGGCGTCTTTTGCTCCAAAATTACAGTTTATCAAGATCTACAGTTTAAAACAAATCCGGTTAAAATCGCACAATAAATAAAGATTTTACAGGGGTGAGTCGCAAACAAATGGGTCACACTGTATACAGGGATGGTAATGTGCTCTTAGGCCGTTTAATAAATAAAGAAAAATGCATTATGAGACGTGGGAGTGGTGGAGTGACGTAAGAGTAGTGGGGCAAGCCAGACCGCGCCGCGCGGCTACGATCATCGCCCGACCGCAGAGTCTGCGGCGCAGACAAGAGAATGTGTTGTAAGTAAGCGGTAGTACGTTTGTTATAATGGGTATCACCCATACAAATTAAAGAGGAGTAATGAGCTATTTCCTGATGATCCATACCGTCGCATTGAATTTTGCGAAACCGTTATAGAAATGGCGAACCGGGATGAAAATTTCACACGAAATATCCTTTTTACCGATGAGTCGTCATTTTTTATACATGGTAGGCATAATTCCATGAACCATCGGTATTGGTCCAGGACGAATCCTCATCAGCATTATGCTGCCAATACTCAACGACCACAAAAATTAAATGTTTGGTGTGGAATGCTGGAGACCATGTTATAGGTACATTTTTTATAGATGGTACCTTAAATGGTCAAAAGTATCTTGAACTGCTGCAAAATGAAATTGTTCCCGCAGTTCGTGCTCTGCCTGTGCCTTTTGAGTCAGTATGGTTTCAACAGGATGGATGTCCCGCACATAATACCCTATTGGTAAGAGAATATTTGCAAGACACTTTTGCAGACCGCATAATAAGTGGTCACGGAAATATTCTCTGGCCAGCAAGATCACCGGACTTGGCTCCGTGCGATTTTTTTATGTGGGGATATGCCAAATCCAAAATGTACGGATTCCAGCATATCAGGGCAAATAACGTTGATGAATTAAGAGAATTAATAATTAATACATTAAGGAATATCAGACCTGAGATGCTGTCAAATATACGACAAAATTTTTATAATAGGTTAACCTATTGTACAGCAGCGTTTGGGGGCCTATTTGAACATTTACTTTGATTTATTTATTTTTTTATTTAAATATTTTAGAACACCATTTTTGTTTGAACATTTACTTTATTTATTTTTTAATTTAAATATTTTAGAATACCATTTTTGTTTAAACATTTACTTTAATTTATTTATTTAAACATATTTGAATACCATTTTTGTTAAAGAATATTTGTTTTTTTTATTAAAAGAATACTATGGTTTATTTTCCACATTTTCGAAAAAAATTCAATAAGTATTCGTTTTTGTAAACAAAATCATAGTTAAATTTTAAAGAAAATTTAAAATTCCTCCGTCCGCACTCCAACGTGGACCGAATAATACTGAAATTATTTCGAGACTCGTTTGCGAAATTTGCTTTAAGGTTATCTAGTAGTGGGATTGTAAAGCAGTTAGAGGAGGGGAAGTAAAACATTGGCGGACGTTTAATTGTTTTGATTTATTCGTTTTAAAATCTTGTACTGCACGCTTATGGCAGAGGGGAAATAAGTATTTTGTTATCCTATTCGTTCAACAATGGTTGTTTGTCTCTCTTATTTATACGTTTATCTCACTTATTCGTACGTTTTATATAGCATGCATCTTTGTTTATTAAACGGCCTAAAAGCCCATTACCATCCCTGTATATATTTATATATATATATGTGTATTTACAAAGAAGTACACTTGATTTTTTGGGTAGACTAAAAGTATAGGAATTACAATGGGCGTCATTTTTAAAATAATGCGTTAATTAAATGATAAATAAAGGTTCATGTAAGTTTTATATACAAAAAACATTTGGCACTTCAATGGTGTTTTAGAGTCCCATTAACTTGATAGGTACTGAAAATTGTGTGGTAAAATATACAAATATTATCCTAAAAAGGGCCATTACAAGACCTTATCAGGACAGCCTATTATCAAAAATATTTTTTTTTATTAAGTCCATGACTCTCGGTGCAACTTCTCGCGGCGACTTTGTTACACGCGACCAGTTACAGCGACTTTCTCGCCTCTAGGGCCCAGAGTCTAGGCCCTAGAGTCTAGGGTGTTCACACGATGCAACCAAATTGACGCTATTTTCTACTGGGATTGCCAACTTAACCGAAAACTACGAAGTTGAAAAAATTTTCGTTGTAGTATTTTGTGGTGTAAAAACCCCATGAGCCTGTTTGGTTTAATTTTACAGGCATGGACATAAAAAACGCATAGATTATAAACGCAAATCACAAGATAAAACTCATCTGTCATTCCACAGCTGATAAATATTGAATACCACCCAAAATATTTAGTAAAAATTCGTAAATCCCTACAAAAAATACTAAGTCGCCGCGACTTTATTGCATGCAAATAGAACATGTTCTATTTTAGGACAGATCAGCTGATTAGTAGCATCGTGAGAACACCAAAAAGTCGCGTCGACCTGGTCGCCGCGAGAAGTTGCACGGCCAGAAATAGGCTTAATGAAAGCTTTGGATAAAAATTCCATTATTAAGCCATGAAACTATGTAATGGGCCTTTACATATGTGTTTGTTGGGAATGTAATTTAATTTTTGTTTAAATTTTAGGTGGTTACTGTGCTTTATGTGCTTTTATGGTTACTGGAAAGTTTTCCAACATCTTTGATTGTTTGCGGATTAACAGCTCAAATTGTTCATTTTATTATACTTAAAAACTTTCCCTTTGTTGTGTTTTTATCTCCTCCCTTTTTGGCAGCTGTAACTTTAATTATTATAAATCATTATTTAGCATTTTCACACTTTGGTGAATTTTACTACCCCTTTTCAGAGGTAAATTTTTAATTAACGTTTTTAATGTGTTTTATTCTAATCTTTAATGTTTTAGGTAATCGCCTATTTCACACTATTTTTGTGGCTGGTCCCTTTTGCACTTTTTGTATCTCTCTCTGCAAATGATAATGTGTTACCAACTTTATCTGAAAGAGCAGGTAATAAATTGTTAATACTACTTTTACTAAATTTAACAAAAAAATAATGTACATTGATATATTATATTATACAGGGTCTACTAAAAATGGGACACTGAAGGTATACCATATTGTAGGGAGTAGTACTCCCAGAATAGCCTAGTCATTCTAGCATTTAAACTGAAAAAAATGCCAACACGGAAATTTTTACTTTAGCTGTTTCTTAAACAATAAGAGCCATATTTAAATAAGAAAGTTATTGCTGACTTAATTTGCAACAACTTGTATTTAAACAATTTATATGCATGCAGTTCGAGGTATCGCGTTTCGCTATTCTAGCGCAGTTGGCGAGCAAGGTAGCTTGTTCAATACAAATAGCTGTATAAATATTTTGAAAATATGCAATTACTAGAGTCAGGATTATATGTAACAAAAAAGATTGAAATATGTGTATAAAATGCTTACAATATACATGAAAAATTCTAAAATATGCATAAAAATGCTTAAAATATGCTGGAAGTGTCAAAATTAAATGAAAAAAGGAATTTTTGCCTTGACACTTAAAACTGTTTTTGTGCACAAAATATTTTTATCCCAAAACTCTACAATATAAAACATTTTTGTCGTAATTAAATTGATAAGACATAAGAGACCTTTTTTCAGGAGGCATGGTACACATTAAACTAAGCACAAATAAATAAAAAAACTTGCGTAATTAATTGCCTAGTGAGAATAGTGCTGTAGTAGTCAAGAGCGAAAATACAATAGATACGCGGCTGCTAAGTGCCCCACATTTTCCGAAAATAATTCCTGTACATTGATCACTGTGGATCAAATTCCGTTTTACATCCATGTACTCAGTGGGTAATCAGTGTTTATGTATTGTAGTGATTACTAATCACATAAGAATTATATATTTTTATATTTCAAAAAGATTTTTACTGGTATTTTTTTGGAACAAGCGTGATAGAATTGCAAAAAGGAGCGTGTTTTTTGTGACACCTCAAACTTTGGATTGATTTGATTTGAAGGGGAGCCTCTGCTGGCAGCACGTTGGCACACATACGGCATTGTGCAAACCCCCTTTTGGTGAAGCCCTGCCTTACCTTAGAAGCCCGCAACTTTTAAGAAAAGCGCAGACTCGCTCTGGTGGGGCATGCATTATTTCCTTCGCTTCCAGATACCTGTCCCCGAGGTGTCTTAGTCTGTTATTGACTAGCGCGTCGCATTCGCAGAATTGGTAGTTTCGTCTACCTCGCTGCAGTACCTACAATCCGTCTCGTTGCTGAATCCGTTTTTGTGTAGGGGGTATTTAACTACCCAGTGTCCCGTTAGGACTCCTGTGAACCCGAAACGAAAGACGGTTTATATGACTAAATTGTGTTGCAAATTGATTCGATAACAACTTGCCCTTTTAAATACGACTCTTTTTATTAAAAGAAACAGCAAAAAATTCAAAAAACTGCAAACGTTCAATGCGATGTTTTCCTTTTTCAAAAAAGTTTATATATAAATTTTAGGAAATTTTATTCTCTACAATTTTGCTTCTCTGAGTAAGCAGTCGGCAAACCGTTGACAGGCGTTTTGGCTTGCCCCCAGCCGGCCCGCGTTATGTTACCTCGGTACTGTTTGGCCATTTCCTAACCGGAGTAGGCCAGAATACGACATGCCTCGGCATATGCGGTACGGTTTGCCCCAGCGGACTCGCTTAAGGGCCGCGTTATGTTACCCGGTTACCGTTTGGCCACCTACTAACCGAAATCGGCCGGAATACGACCTGCAGCGGCATAAACGTATCATCACACGGCTGATTATGCATGCTAGCTAATTATAAACAGCGGCGCATTGCATGTTTAGTTGGAGCTGTGCGTCTGTGATGGCACACGTGGACATTGATCGTTGTAGTAGTATATTTTTGTATATTACCTAGAAAATTATATATTATCTGTGATTATGAAATACATATTTTTGATTTGATTTGATTTTGAACATCAATCATTCTACAGTATGCCCACGGATTGAGAGGTATTGTATTTTTAATTTATCAGAAAAATTTACTCCTGATGAAATGATCTGCTGGTCTTTAAACCCTTAAAACTCATCTCGTTTTTATTTATTTATTTATGACCTCAAAAACAGTTATAAAAAACTGGTACTTAGGCCTATTGGCACAACATACAGAAAAAACCTAAAATTAGGTAAAAACCAGGGGCGTAGCTACCGCGGTATCAGCCGTATCAGTGATACGGGGCCCCCGGCTAGGGGGGGGGCCCGATTGGCTTCGACATGTGTAAGCAAAAAACATATTACCCACAAAAAAATTGAGGCATGAAATTAAATAAATAATATTATTTAATTGTTTATACTTCGATTTATTGAATTACAATATTCCTGAATACCCTCCTGTTCCAACGAAGCCGTGAACTCATACGAATTGTTTCTGCCCGCACCTTTCCGCTATGCGGCGCAGTATGCGCATATTGTTCTGTGCTCTGCGTCGCGGAATACTGAGTCTGCTTTGCGTGTTATTATCATAGCTTATATTAATAGCAAATTAGAAATAATTATTAGCGTTACAATTATTTCAAATGACTTGCCTTTATTTTAAAATAGAAAACTTTTAAAAGATGTTGAAGAACGGTCAATGTCTAAAACCAGACCAAATTTTAAAATTTGCCTGTAAATAAAAAGCTATGTATACATATATTATTTATTAAATTATAAAAAATTGGTAAATGCAAAAAAATTATACCATAATAATTTTTTTAGTTTGCCTAAAATAGACTTTAGACGTGACACCCAGAATTTTTTTTGCCAGCATCTTTTCCCGTATAAGGGCCCCTACCAGATTTTTGGTACGGGGCCCCCTCGAGGCTAGCTACGCCACTGGTAACAACTTATATAATATACTTATTTTTATTGTAACTTTTGTAAGTTAATTTCTTTCTCACATTTTTATGCCAAATTTTGTCAAAATTTTATTTAAAATTGAAAGGCATACAAGTAGGCTAATTTAATTTTTCAAACGTCAGATCGCTTATCGAACTTTACTTTCGCTACGACTAATCAAACTAGAAAAATTATTGACTGGAGCAAAAACTTAGATAATCCAATGTTATGGTACCGTAAACACGGGTGGCTTTGGCTCACTTTCAAACTTAAGCTTAACATTTTTGTTTTAACAATCATAAACATTAAATTTTGTATACCAAAATTTGAGTCTTGAGTTGCTCTTTCATAATAACTATGTTATAATATTACATAGGGCTGAGTTTCAAAAATAAAAATTAAAAACTGGGTGTGCAAAGTTACCCCCTGGTTGCTGGTTACTTTGTCTCACAGTGTATTTTCCGTATAAAATGAATTCAATATTATATTTTATTTTTATTAGACACGTGTTAGCAGCGACATATATCTATTGCAAGGAATTCCCAATAAAAAAATAAAAAATCGACCTGTAGTTATCCAAGGATAATCATTCCAATGGATTGCGCATAATATAGAAATTTTAACGCGTGTATTTCTAAGAGTTTTGCACTGATGCGATAAATACAATTTTAAAGTGTAATAAATCCCATTTCTTTCTTTAAAACACTGATTTTCCTGTAATATAAACTCAATAGAATCGCTCAATTGACAGGTTTAGACCAACAAATTATAAATGTTAATTTTATCGAGCGCGAAAAGATTTTTCATAAATGGGTTAAAGTCACCCGCGGGGTGCAAAGTCACCCGTATTTACGGTAATCAATAAATTAACTAATTCAGTAAATTTCCTACTTATTTTTATATCAAATTCCAAAGTGGAACGTTTTTCTACGGATGTGGGCAATGCGCACGCGTTATTTGGCAATAATTTAGCTGCATAAAATACACACCTTGAATTAGCTTAATGTTAATTTGTGTTGTATAAATCCACCATATCCAGTCACAAATAATTTAATTTAAAGTTCAAATTTGCTATACAAATGTGAGTAGAGAATTAATAGAGTAAAAACGAGAACAGATTTAAGGGTTTGAAGACAAGCAGAACATTTTATCAAGACTTGATTTAAGAGTAACTTTTTCTGATATATCAACAATGAAAATAAAACCCTCTAACTCAGTCCGTGGACAAATTGTATACATGTAGAGTGAGGCTGATCTGCTTAGTAATTCAGGTAGGTTATATCCAGGACGTACATATATATATAGGCTTTTTTTGGATGGCCAGGAGGTTAAAATTAAGTCGGCCTAATGTTTTAAAACGCTGAATTTTCATCTACATAGTTGTTTACTAAATTAAAAAAAAATAGAAATGGTATAAAATCTGTAATACTTGATTTTTTTTAATAAAATTTGAAATTTGTTGATAAACTTGAATTAAATATTGTACCACTTTAATTTAAATTATCTTAATTTGGGGGGACAGGAGGCTGGGGGGGCACACTTAAAAACTAACTTTTTTTCGCAAACTTCAATTTGAATTTGCTTGCGTAGAACTTGTCTATATAATGTCTTTATAAACTCATATAAATTTGATGTGGGTCCCATGTCTAATAACTGAGATATGGGTGTGCCCAAAATCCACCAGCCGCCACATTTAAACACATATTATAAAGCTTATAATACCAATACATGATATGTATATTATCAGAAAATTTCAATAGGAAGGAGTGACCAGTGTTGCCGGACTTTCAAATTTTCAATACCCACACCAACCTCACCCGCTTTTACCCGCCCCTCAAAATAAAAATTCTCAAATATTTACCCACACATAAAGTTTAATTAGCAAGTCTTAAAATTTTTTCAACCCCGTGATTAAATGATTAAAACTCTTAATACAATTATTTAAATTCAAACTGCTTAACTATAATAAATGGCTTAGGTATGTCATATTTGAGGAGCATCCGTGCAAAACCGGCTATATCCACTTTAATAAAATGTTGGGAAAATGGCAAAAACTCTCGGTTTCCTGGCCTTTACAGATAATAAAAAAACCAACTTGAGTTTTGTGAGCTTTGTGGTACTTGATTTATAAGACATACTTTCGTTTTCAAAAACATTATATTAAGGCTAAAATTAAAAAAAATGTTTTGTATATAGCCAGTTTTGCTCAAAAACCTACGAATAAAATGTGAAAAAACCTCTATTATTTAAAAATATTAACAAAATAAATTTAGTGAAAACATGAAAAAACAGAACAAATTTTAATAGTAGTATCGACATATTCAAGCCACATATAGCCGGGTTTGCTATAAAAACGTGGATTTGGCCGGTTTTGCTCCTAAAGCTACCTTTTAAATGTGATTTTAACATGAATATAGTCGGATTTAAACATAATTATCTTGGTTGTCGATAGAAATGAACCCCAAGATGCGAAATCAAGAAATTAAAACAAAAACTGAATAAAATGGATTTAGCCGGTTTTGCACGGATGCTCCTCATTTATTCTCAACCATATTTTTTTTTAAATTCTATATTAACCTCAGAGCTGGGAAATATCTAGGAAAAAATATTCCCTAAAAAAAATACTGTTATTTTGTTATTAGTGGTTTTAAATCCTGAAATTATTTAGTTTATTGTATTATTTTTTATTACATAACATTTACTGTCAATCCTGTCTTAAGGCATGAATTCATATATGCTTAACAATTAATTAGGTACCTACCTATCATTTTTAACAATCGTCAATAACTACTTTCAAAGTATCAGACTTCACTTTAGATATAATAGGGTTTTTTGAGGGGTATTTTTATTTCCTTTTCCTTTGTAAGTATCTGTTATCTTAAAAGATATTTTAAATACTTAAAAGTATCTTGTACTTTGGATACTTTTAGGATTTATCTAAAATATCTTATTTTTACTTTTTATTTAGTATCTAGTAGGTATTTAAATACTTTTAAAAAGTATCTTTCCCAGCTCTGATTAACCTACCTTTACAGTAAAGGTATGAGTATTTTTAATTAATTGGATTTTAGTTTAACCCAAATTCATTTTATTTTGCTTGTAAACATCGTCAAAATTTGCCAATTTTACACACAAATAATAATTCTTTGGCATATTAAATGCAATATATATTTTCCTGTATTCTGAATGCTAAATGGATTACTTAAAAACGTAAAAATATAATTTACTTCACACTTCTTTTGTTGACTGTAAGTCGAGAGGACCCAAAGTCAAGATACATACACCTAGACATACACATAGACCCAAAGTTGAGTGACGTCACGAAAGTATGGCGGCAATTTGCAGTAGATCCGCTGTTTTGTTTAAAGACTGCTCGAATCTATTAATTTAAATTTAAATTGAAATGACCCGCCCCCAGGTCTAAATTTCCCGCTTTTCGGGGAATTCCCCGCCCAACGGCAACACTGGGAGTGAATCCACAGTTAAAGCAAAATCCAAGTGGTGGTAAATAAACATAACCTACAATTTTTAAATCCTATGATAGGTTGCAAGACCTGCATGTAAGATCTTAAGATCATAATTTTGTTCTTTATGTTGACAACCAAGGTTACTAATACAAAATGGAGGTAAGTGCTGGAAATGGGAGAAAAAGCGCTACTTTCTCACTCTCATGTTTGCGGAAGAGCATACCTTGACTTATTTAAGTGGCTCAGTGCCATCCTTGTCTAACTCTTCCAATTCATTATTTACAAAATATTAATAGAACACAAAATAAAATGGTGATAAGAAATAAACAATGTTTCGATTGCCAAATTTGCTCATAGATGTCAGCATCGTATTGGCTGAACATATACGTACCACACATATACCGCTCATTCCCTATATTTTAAATAGATTACCTTGTTCCCGTTTTTAAGGGGAGGCTGGCTACTCTCTACCTTTTGCGCACGTGCAGTTTAAAAGTGGGAGATTAAAAAATCAATAATGTTTGTTGGTTATGAATAAATACAAATGTCAGTTTAGGAATTTAGGTTATATTAAAAACATATTAGAAAACTAGTTTTAAAATGCGAAATGTTTTTTTGTAAAAGTTATTACATTGTTGGTCAAGAATTGGGAATGAGATAATTGTATAGGATTTGAAATTGTATTGGTAATAATAAGTGCCCATGAGATTAATAAAACTGAGGGTGTGGATGCTGCTTCACAGAACATAAGCTCCTTGAATTAATTTAAATATATTTATATAGTTATATTCCATTCAAATTTCAAATCGAATCTTTAAACTTTTAGAATAATTTAAATGTTTTGAATAGTTAAATAAAATCGAAAATGTTTAAGAATAATAAAACTTGTTCACAAACGAAAAACACTAGCCTATTCTAAATCTAAAAAATCCAAACCATAAATTAACAAAATTATTCTAAATTAAATTAAGGAGTACAATCTATATAAATATTTATGTAAAACATTCCAAAACAGAAATAAAAATGGTACAAAAATCATAAAAGCTCAAAACAAAGCCAAACAGTAAACCAAAAATGGTTTGTTCTGTGACCAAAATGTTTGATTATAATCTCCCATTTTGTGTTTTAATTATTGTTAAATGCTTTTTTTCATACAATTTATTAAATAATATTTATTATACTTGCAACTCAAACACACAAATAACGTGCGCGATTGAGCTGTGCAATTGAACCAAATGTGTCGAGTAGGACTTCTGCCTTCCTCTCTTTTGTGAAAAAACTACTTATTTATTTAAAAATGCTTTAAATGTATTCTTGTGCACACAATGCTATCGTACTCCACCAGATAGCGCGCGCGTTGTTCGCGATGCTATAATTTTTGTATTACATAAATAGGAGGAGAGGTAACACGCGAGTGAAATCTCCTCTTTTGTCGCACACAATATTTTATTCAAGAACCACAATTTGATATTTTATCTGGAATCTGACAGCTGTCAATTGGTTTTAACCTCACTTGTTTCCAAATTTAACTTAAAACCCGTGGGCGACAAGGTATTTCGTCCTCTAGTGGGAAAAGTAAAATTTCGCCCACCGGTTTAAGTTAAGAAATTAAATGGGAGTTGAATAAATGTTGTTTCTTAAGCCCGTATTACAGTCCGCAATTCTACGTGCAATACGCAATATTCTTGCCCGAAGGCATGCGCATAGCGAGGTTTCGTGCAAGTCCATTGCCGTTTCAAAATATCGGTCCTGCTCGATTTTTATTGCCAGTTGCATGCAAGTCTAGGGAGAAAATAGGTAACTTTTTTCATATCAATCCCCACTTTAAATTCCGAGTTAAATTCCCTAGAAACGCTAGTTTGTTTTTTGAAGTCATTTAAATGTTGTTTCTTTGTATTCTAAATTCTATTACATAATATATTATTAATATATAGCTAGGAGGACCGATGTTTTGAAACGACAATACTTGCACGAAACGTCGCTATGCGCATGCCTGCAAGCATTGCACTGTAATACGGGCTTTAGATTAAATTAAACATTACACACAATATTCTGAAATAAATATTTTTAGATGTGGATGTAGTTTCAAACTACTTTTCAAAGAAAAACAAGAAATATGGACTTCTAACATTTTTCAATTATGCCAAAGACTCTCTTCTTCCAGTCCGATCAAAAAAAGGATTTTAGTTTTGAAAAGTGTTTGCATCATTTTGACTTAAGTATAATCGCCCATTAATTGTTTGTGCTTTTAAACTTAAATTAGCCAATGGAATAAAACTAATTGTAATAACTTATTATTTTGTATATATTTTATTTTGTAAAATATAATTTACTTATAAATGTAAGAATTTTTATTTATGAATTATAAATAAATTGCATCAAATACCTTTTTAACAAGATGAAATTCGCTGTGATTTAGGTTTTTTCTTATATAAAGAACAACAGTGTTCATATAGTAACTTAAAAATTCTGTTTCTGAAAAACATTCTTTTAAAAATGTCCTAATTAACAATAAAACATTTATAATGCTGTTTTTTGTTAATACGGACATCATTGGAGAAGAATAAGTTTTTAATGAATCTAATAATAATGTAGTTACTGAATACATATTATTAATTTCATTGTCAATATTTTTTCCTAAAAGGCTTTTTAAAAGTTCCTTGCTTATATCACTGGTAAAAATATTTTCAGCATACAAATTTAGCTCTCCTCTTTCAAATATCTAAAATTTAAATAATTACAAATTTGGAATTAAAAATATTTAAAATAATCAATGTACCTCTGATGTATCGGTTGACTCTTCTGGAAAATGTCTACAGGACCAAGAAAAAAGGAAGTTTATGGCGCATTGTTTAGGTAAAAGTTTTGTTGTTAAATTTAAAACATCCTCCTTTATTTTTTCAGGTGTCAATGGGTTTAAGTTAAATCTAAAACAATTTACTGATAATTACTATTATTATATTACCCTAAATAGAATGTACAATACTTTTTTCCTAGTTTCTAGTAGTTCTTAAAAATTTTCCCTTAAAATAATTGGCTTATTTTTTCATATTATTTAAATCTTAAAGATATGGAAGATTAAATTCTGGCATTTCCGCATTTTAATAGACTCACAAATAGGGATGGCAGATTAAAATTATTTTTCGATATATCGTATCAATTCATTTAAAAAACGGGTTTGTTTTTTGGGAAAACGCTAGGACACGTCGATTTTTATTTTTGGCTACGATATACAAAAATAAGTGACTACCAACTTTAAATGGAAACACCTTTTTTAATTTCATTTTTAATCTGCATCAAACTATAAGTATGTTTCATGTACCATTTCGGAAATGGCGTTTGTTTTTTTTGTAAATTTATTAAAAAACAACAAATCAAATTAAATTTTCGAATTGTTGACCATTATCTTCCTGACAATAGGAAAGTCGATTCTCGTAACACTTCAGTTAACGTTTGTGGCTCAAATTCTATTCTTTAATTCTTTAATATTTTGCGGTTTATTGAAGTAGGCTTTGAATTTCAGATGACACCATAAATAAAAATCTAATGGGGTTAGGGTGGAGACCTTGCTGGCCGTTAGATAAAACCTCTCCTTTCGATCCATCTATTTGGGAAAATATTGTGAAGTAATATCGTACTGTTCGCGAATAGTGTGGGGGCGCTCCATAATGATGGAGCCATATCGAAACTGACGGTATATTTGGGTTCTCACAATTTGTTTAAAGTACAGTTAAACTGGGTATCATGTAATTTTGTAGGTCTTAATAATTTTCAGATGTTTCCTCAATAAAAAAGGGACCTACAATTGTGGTACCCACAATTCCGGCCCATACTTTCTGAGGAAATTGTGTATGACTTTTCATACTACAGTGTGAATCATTCAAACAAATTGTTGCCTCGTCAGAAAAACTATCTTTCTTAAAAATTGCGGGTTGGCATTGCATATATCCATCATTATTTTGCAAAACTAAATGTACTTTCTATGAGTGCCATTTGTTCTTGTGTACATATTTTAGAACAGAAGATTTACATACTGATAGGTCTGCAGCTGTTGAGTTGCTTTTTGAGGATTTTGTTGTAAATCAAGCAAAATATTCAATTGTGTTTTCTGGAACTGGAAGATTGTTGGTTTTGTAATTGTCTCTTACGTGGCCAAAGTCTCTAAACTGTTTTTATATCTTACTACCGATCGTATAAAAGGCCTCTCCGGGTACTTATCATTAAACAATTCAGCTTGTGTTTGAGTCCTGTCGCCATATCCTACCGTCATCAAAATGTTGTATTCGTTGATTCTCATTTAAACGCGCTATTCTTTGCAACTGCACTTGACAATTACTTATTTGAAGTGGGACTAAACGGTGATAAAGTTAACAAACAAAAATACCAGAATTAAAAATAAACACAAAATTGAATGTTAAGTTAAGGTATAAGACGTACTATATAATTCGATAACTAATTTAAAATTAAAACAAAAAATAAGTGTTTCCATTTGAAAAAATGAAGCTGGAGGTCCCCTTGTGAAAATTTTTTCCTTAAAAAGTTTTAATTATTAAAAATAATAGTTTTGAAAGTCTTATTTTCTCTTGAAAACTCTGAATTGATGGGAAATATGCTTTTTATATAATAAACGAAAAATTATGTGTTCCATTAAAAAAATTGGTTGCCATAGAAACAAAATAAAAAAAGATATAACAAACTAAAAAACTTAAAACATGCTTGGTAATGAACCAAATAACTTTTATATTTTATTTTATTTTTTAACATTGCAAATAACAAAGTTAATGCCATTATTTGATACTTTTGTTCCACCCTGTTGATAAAAAAATCATAAGAAACATAAAAAAACAGTTGTTACGGAACAACGGATCTACATGAAGCAACTTTAAGTTGACAGATGTATCTTCTGGCAGTTTCTGTCAGAAAACACCAACTTTAAATTATCATAACTTTGTTATAGTGTCTTAAAAATGAAAATAAAAAATAAAATTCAATCCTATAACTCAAAAATTATTTCTTAGCAAAAAAACGTGGGAGCGGTTTCCGGACAATGGACTTGCAATACAATTTTACAGTGCTGTTTGTTTGACAAAATTATTATTATAAAGTGGCCAGTTTTAAATTCAAACACCCATCAAATACTTACAATATTGAAAATTTCTTATTCACATTGGATTTTAAAAACAAATTGCTTAATCCATTTCTAACATCACAATCATCATCTTCCAAAAGCACCATTAAAATATTGAAAACATTAATTAAATTATCATCTAAAAAATCAAAAAATAGTTACTCATATAAACAAATAACTTCGATTCAGTACTTTGTAAAATTGGTTCTTCTACATAAATAAAAAGTGAACTCATCTTCGTCAAAAATTGACACACCGCTAACCGTCTACTGACACTTGCAGCTGGCGAAGCTGACTGCATAAGTACATCGGTAATACCATTGTAGTCCAAGCTCTTTAACACATTATGACTTAAATTACTCAGCAATGTGGCAATGCAGCTTATGACGGGACCTATTAGTTCATCGTTTTCACTTTGACAAATACCCACAAAGTAGTCTACGGTTTTTTGTTTTTCTTGATAAATTGATTTTATTAAACAGGGATAGTAGTTTAGTAATGTAAAACTTAAACAGTTTTTGGGCCAATTTGGGTTAAATTTGTTGCAAAAGTAGTGCCTTAGGTGTTTGTGGGAACTCAACAATATACTTTGTAAGCATTTTTTATCCATCATATCTACTATTTTCTGAATATCTTGCGGTATCGAAAGTTCTCCAGTTTGTAATATTGATTGTTGACAAACATGACTATAATAAGCATGATTAATGGCAATTAAGAAATATTGACAATATTGTTTTCTGTAAATATTTAGACTGAATAAATTATCTAATATGATTTGGTTTGATATTTTTTCAAATGTGGAATCATTGATTTTAATTTTTTTCAATAGCAAATATATGGTTAAACTTGTTACTGCTTGAAAAAGGCCATTTTCTGTGGTTATTAAAGAACTATTATAAAAAATTTTGTAATCCAGAAGCCCAAGAAGTTTTTCAAAAAGTGGTTGGTTGTCATATTGTGGATATCTGGAATTAACGTTAAATGTTTTGTTTTAATCAAGGACATTTATATTAATTTTGCTTACCTTTTTAATAGTTTTAAAATAATTTCTAAGAGCAAAGTTAGGGACAAATGAGAATACTTGGTTCCTACATTTTCTATCATAATTAAACTTTTTCCAATACAAATATCAATGGGTAAATTCTCCGGTAGATTATCCAATTTTATTAAATGAAAAACCTTTAATTAAATGTATTAGTATACTTTTTAAAAAACGTGTTAGTGATAAATGCCTTCTTTTTATTTTACAGTTTTAAAAAATTTACGTTTAAAATTAATGGCATCCAATGCTTAATTTTGGTAAATTTGAATAAGTAAATACTTACTTGTAATAAATAACCATGGGTTATATTATCATTTTCCGCCTTTTTAATTTCTGAAAGGCAATTTTCAATTGTTCTTATAAGGTTTTCTTTACAAATCAGACCTACTGAGGCTCTTGCTGCAAGTTCTCTCGTTTTATAAACAGAATTTGCCAAACAAGTTGAAATAAATGGAATATATTGTTCAATCTAAAAATTAATTTATCAAACTATATTTCAAAAATAAAAGATTGGGTACCTGTGAGTTGTATTCCTCTATGTGTGAAGGGTACAACCTGGCCAAAATTACCAAAACAGGATGTAAAACTAAACTGTCTGACTTTTCACATTCATTAGATAGAGTTTCCAATATAAATTGAAAGAGTTCAGGATATCTCATGAAGAATACTCTTACTGTAAGTCGGTTTTTCATTGTAACATCTTCCGAGTCTTGTGTTCTTTGCACTCCAAACATTCTGGTTAACAATGCTGAGTAAAGCAAAGTTGAGGAATTTCTTATCTAAAAAATGTAACGCACTATAATTTGTATTTTATGTTCAGTCACGTGTCGAAGTAAGTCGTATCGTATCGCTTAAAACATACAAGCCAAAACCAAAGTGTAACAACTTCAAAGATTAACCCTACGGTCTGGAAAATGATAAAAAGAGACCGGGCGGTCTAACCACCGGTCAATTGGATGGTCTTCACGAGACAAATAAAAGAGACTAACCAAGGGAGGAAAGGGCCATCTGCAAAATAAGTAATCTTAGGAACTGCATGACCTAATACATAATTTGAAACACTAACCACGGCAGGTACCGTAACAACCCTAAGTGAGGTACTAGTAAAAAAAATAAACACAGTGCAACAGTAACATTGGTAAGACAATAATAACACAACAACAAAACAAAAAAAAACAAATTAAACCCGTCCCTTCACAGGAAAGCTGAGCAGGACAATAAATCTAGCAATAACAAACGAGCAAGTCACTAAACCCATTAGTTTAAGATGACGGCCCCAACAAAATAAAGTCTTTAAAATAAACGAGACCAAAAATGTCAAAACATTTGACACTTCTAAACAAACATACAATAAATTAAGAAAACCAAAACAAACAAAAAACACACAAACCGAATTCTAATGAATTTGGCAAAAAAATACCAACCACCGGTAACTGCCTAACTGCCAAGGCAAAAACGGCTTTTGGGTAGGAGTGGAAACAATACTAGCCGCCTTAGACTTATTTAACTTCGAAATGTAAATACACCACGAACAGGGTGGGAAAGACATGATCTCCGATATCTTCCCTACAATATCAATATGCTACCCTGCTTAAAATACCCCATATAGACCCTGTTCAAACCGATAGATATTTGTATCGGAATGTATGGTGTTTCTATAGGGTGTATCGGTATGTATAGGACCCATAGTTGGGATTTATGGTTGTTCTATAGGGATATCCCTATATATCCTTCATTGAGTTATTTGCTATCGGTCTCAATAGGGAAAATGTAAAAGTTATGGTGTGCCTATAGGTAATTTCCTTTACATTTTCTATCGGACCGTATCCGGAAAAAACCATGGACAAATGCACATATTGAATCCGGTAGCGCCCGATAGATTATTTTTTATAGGTCCCTATGGGGTATTTTAAGCAGGGTACAGACTTGGTACATTAGGTACCCATAACCCCTACGACAGCATCTTAAAGGGATGGCCAAAACAGCGACTGGCACCAAGGAACATTCTTACCACGTAAACACTAGAGCAATCGGTTATGGAAAATAAATTATAACGCAATCAACAAACAACTCCAGGACTGAATTAGAGATAAACACGGAACTCGAAAAGTAATAATTAGGCACACTTAATGTGGACAACAAGAAAGACAAGTCCCTACAGCTAACTAACAACTCCCCAACTTCAAATAGTAATCCCAAACGTTTGGAGTAATACTAATCTCCCGTACGCAGATTTGAGTCGGCGTCCCCTAAAAACCAAAATGTCTCCCCCCCCGTCTCCACCTCATTTTGTTCCTAATGGGCGTATAGCAACGGCCCGGCGAATCCGGGAAAGGCTTATCAAACTATTCGCATGTCGCTCTCGAGCTGTGCATTTGCTGGTTGCGGAAAAAATCGGTGTACAATAACGGAGGATTGTGCGAGGCTCTGGAAAGATGAGGCAATGGGGCCGGTTATACTCTTAAACTCATACTCATAATTTGTATTTTATGTTTAGATATTCAAAAATAAAGTTGGCGAGTCAAAACCGACAGACAGCCTGTTACGCGAATTCGTTCTTATTACACCTGTGCCGAATAGCCGTGATGTGTAAAAGCAAAAAGCACGGTGACGAGGTAATAGGCTTCATCTCTTCACTTCTAAATCAAGTCTCATTAAGTAATACAGATTTAATTTAATAAACTATTTTTGATGCTCTGTTTAAACTTAGGGACTGTCTACGTGTCCTACTAGTAGGATTTATAGCCTGTTCGCTAAATATCCGACTAATAGGACAAATAGTAGTAAGGCTAAATATCCTACTATTATTCAGAATTCGGCAAAAACAACACTCAAAAGTGAGGTTACTTTAGGTTTTTACGCCATTTGTTTGACTGCAATAATTAAATTATAATGGATTGCAACGTTGGAGAAAAATTCAATTCCTTTTTCGAGATACAGACATTTAGTATGAAGATCAAAACTACTAGAGGCTAAATGTAGCAAAGTATTCCTCAAGGTTATGACGATTAGCTGTCATTTTGGTTATGCAGGTACACTGCATTGTGCCATAACAAACTAACCCAAACTTAACAACCCAACCCAACCGACCCCGCCCCATTGGGCCCCTTCACATAATAGTATCAAAACATAACCTATATTTTGGTACATTTAAACTATTATGTGAAGGGGCCCAATGGGGCGGGGTCGGTTGGATTGGGTTGTTGAGTTTGGGTTAGTTTGGTATGGCACAATGCAGTGTACCTGCATAACCAAAATGACAGCTAATCGTCATAACCTTGAGGAATACTTTGCTACATTTAGCCTCTAGTATATAAAGGGATTTAATTTCGCAGTGGCTATTTACACGTCCGACGTGTCAATTATTATTTGTACGTCGGACGTGAAAAATCCTATTTCCGCGTCTGAGGCGGCCGGACGTTGCCCTGCGTTTTGTTTATTCGTTTTATGGGTGTGGGGCTGTTTTGTGCTTTTATTTACTTTTTAATGTAACTGTGGTTACGCAGGTACACTGCATTGTGCCATACCAAACCAACCCAAACTTAACAACCCAACCCAACCGACCCCGCCCCATTGAGCCCCCCCCTTCCCCATTGTCACAATCCAGCCTGCCCTTAGATATACTATACCTCTATTGCTCAATGGGGAGGGGGCCCAATGGGGCGGGGTCGGTTGGGTTGGGTTGTTAAGTTTGGGTTGGTTTGGTATGGCACAATGCCAATGCTAGCTGGCTTAATTTTTTTCTTATTTGATATTGTAGATGAAATACGCTGAATGGTAGGATATTTAGCTTTGCTACTATTTGTCCTTTTAGTAGGATATTTAGCGAACTGGCTAAACATCCTACTAGTAGGATACGTAGACAGTCCCTTAAACTTATGCCTAATAAGTTATTACTAATAACTGGAAATGGTATTAGAATTTCGCTAAATAGGCATTTCCCTTGCGAACACGAGTGGTTTCTGTTGTAGTAATATTTTTAGTAGTTTTAAATTTACTTTGACAAAGAGTTATATCAGTAGATACATACCCCCCATATTTTACTTTTAAAACCTGTAATGGCAACTATAACTGCCTGTCCAACATAGGAAGAAACCAGGTCCCCCAATTTGCTATGTCTAAATAAGGCTCTCAAAATGTTAAGACAATGCATTTTATACTCGTTGTTGCTTTCTTTAGTATTGTTTAAAAAATCCAGTAATGTTTTCATGGTACTATGAAAAGAAATTTGGTTATAGGACGGGTCGGTACTCACTATCGACTAAAAAAATACGAATAAATACTAGATTTTTTTTACATATGTAGACAAAATACTAGAATTAAAAACGGTAAACCAGCACTGCGTCTGGTAGCGCATAATTTGTCAGATTCCTTTATTCCCACAGATAAATGCAAAGCCTCTTTTAGCCACAATTTCGGCAGACTTGATAGATGTTGATTTCTTGATCTAAAAAACAAATTAAAAAATACTCCTTATACAAAAAAACAATCTACTTACATCCAAAAAGCCTGTGAAATAATGGAAAACCCCACATACGCCTGTTCAAAAACACCTCTATGCTTGCTCTCAATAAATATATTGAAAAAAAACTGTCCAATTAAAGTAAGTACTTCCTCTTTTAGCATACTTATTTGTTCCTCTAATTTAATACATTGTCTGACAATTTCCGCCAATAGCAATGTCAGTTCTTTCATAGTTCTCCAAGCATAAACCAATACCATTTGAGCCAGTGATGATTCGTCTATTTCCAAATCGGCGTTATCAGGCAAATATCCTTCAGGAGAAGAATTGCATACCACCGGCATAATGTTGTTTTTCATTTGCAGGCAAACATCGACAAGTCTTTGGAATAACACACTAAATTCTTTGTTACTCTCGTGTATGTTTCTGTTTTTTAACAAATAATTTATACTTAATATTATTCCATACTGAGAGGTTTTCAGATTTTCCATAACAATAACTTTGTTTCTTTGTTTTTCAAGCATCTCTGTCAAAATGCACAAAATAATGTAGTCGAAATTATCCAGTTCTACTGAGTTTTGCAAATATTCTTTTGCTGTAACTTCAAAATAAGGGGATAATGTACAAACTTGAAAATGATAAGCGGCTGAAAGGGTTTTGCTTGGTTTAATGTCTTGTGCCATGCTAATGGAGTTTGCTAAATATTGTTTTGTGTATGTCTCATCCTAAAACACATTATTTTTAGTATATTAACAGCTGGTAGGAATTAAACCATTTGGTAAAATATTATTCTGACCACAATTTATTTATTAATAGAACACTAAGCTTATTTATTCATTTATGAATAGAACACTTAGCTTATTTATTCATTTATCTTATTTTGAGAGCTTAGTTCCAAATCTCAAACTGGACAAATTTTGAGATGTGTAACTCTTGCAGAAAAAGTCTCAATTTTAAGATCATTTATAAAGTTTTTTTAAAGTCCTTAAAAATCAGACTATACTGTCCACGTTATAGCGTTTTTTTTGAGTAGTATTTTAGCTGGTCACCCTGTATAATATTTAATTTTTTTTTTGTTTTTTTTTTTCATTAATTTATAATATTTATTTGAGGTCAGAAACCCGAAATAAAGTGTCAGCAAATATTATATTATTGTGTTTTATTTATATGAAAGGATAGAAAACAATTTTTTAATAACGGTTCAAAAATAAAAATGTTAAATTAGCCATTAATAAGAATAATACAAATTATTTAAAAAAAAAAAACTATCAAAAAACATCAACCATGTCAACCTTAGTTTTTTAAATTGTTTGCAAAATAACTACTTTTAGAGGTGTTATACTTCAACTTACCAAACATGTAGCATAAATAATTGATTATATTCAAAAAGAAAATTGGCTAAAAAATTTTTAATATACATATTTGGAATAACCCTCTTAAAACAGTTTAAGAAATTATTTATTAATATTTATAAATAATTTATTATTTTTTTATGACCTTAATAAGTAATTATTAAAAATTAATTAAAAGTAGAATAAAAATCTCAATAAATTGTAAGAATAATAAAAGATAAAAAATAACAATTTACTACTTACATTAAATCCCATCAAGGTTGGAGAAAGTTTATGTAAAATAGCGACAGCCATCTTTTTGTTACCCTCATAACTATCATAAAGTATATTTTGTAAATTAAAAACAGCATCTTTATTCCAACAGCCAATCCAATCATCTTTTAATATAGGTTCAGCCAGTAGAAGAAGTTCCAGTGATGCACATCTTCTAGGATAATTGGCATCTCTTGCCAGATTTCCTATTAATAGTTTTGTAAATGATTTTAAAAATTTCGTGTAATATTTAGCTTTTTCATTATATCCGTAGATTTTTTTAATGTTCCTTTGTATAACATTGTAACTTGCCTCATATCTTGCCAATGCATGCTTGTAGTAAGTTATAGTCTCTTTTCTGATATGGGGCACTTGAGATGAAATGTTGTAAAATAAATAGCTCAGTAAAAAGTCAAACTCCCATTCTAGAAACAATTCCGTACTTTTTTGACTTTCAACAATGACGCCCAAAACAGAAATTCTAATCTAAAACATATTTTTGTATGTAATTTTCTTATAAAATAAGACTGCATTGAAGAATTGTTGTTTAGTTGTTAAATTTTACTCAAAAGTTAGGATTATTCTTTTTCTACTCCTATTACGGAATATGACCGTTTTAATATCACTTTTTAATGTGGAATTACATACATTCCTTAAAGTGTTAAAGAATGAATTCATTTTATCACCGGATGAAGAAATAAACACTGGTGGTGACATCTCTATGGTCTGAAATATTAGGGATTGTATATTCCACTTTTGTAAAACCGTCAAACTTGCCTTCGGCTTGTGTGACAAACGTTTCACTCGAGCGGAATATTCCGTATTCCAAACTTGTTACAGAATATACTATTCTTTGGATATAAAAGACTTGAATATGTAATAAAAATGAATATTTATACCTCATCATCCTGATGCACTTTGTACAAATTTAAGAGGTTTTTGTCTATTAAACCTCTCCAAAAGTTGTCGTCATCTTCTTCAGGCACTGCAACATTTGAACTTCTTGCAAGTTTAAGGATTTTTAACATCACACAACTTTGTGCTTTATTTGATAAACATTTATAATATGAGTAATTTGGATGCTGTTTTTCCTTAATATTAAAACCATAAAGCTTTCGAATGACTAATGGATTAATTTTAAAGCTGATTGTTAATATATTTTGATAATGAATTGTGGCACCAGAGTCTTCATTTAATAAATTGGTTAGTGGTAATATCCATATTTTAAACCAATTATCTTTATCAGTTTCTTTGAAATGCTGTTCCATTAGAGATATATATGTTTTACAGGCCTAAAATTTTTTTATTAATTATTTTATATATATATATATATATATATATATATATATATATATATACATATATTAAACTGGGTCAAAAAAATCAACTATTTTGATGAACCGTTTCCTTAAAATCATGCCTTAAAAATTGGTATAGTTTTACATTTTGATCTTTTAAATTGGAATTTTGAAATTAATGTAAAAATCAGTACCCATAAAAAAACCGATAAATATTCTTATAGGAAATCAAATGCTTTACAAAACGCCTCTCAACATTTTTGGCTAAATTCACTCAATCAAAAGTTATTCAGGGTTAAAATTTCGTTTTGAGTTCAAATTTAACCTTGAATAACTTTTGATTGAGTGAATTTAGCCAAAAATGTTAAGAGGCTTTTTTGTAAAGCATTTGATTTCCCATAAGAATATTCATCGTTTTTTTCTGGGTACTGATTTTTACATGAAATACAAAATTCCAAAGTTAAAAGATCAAAATGTAAAACTATAACAATTTTTAAGGCATGATTTTAAGGAAACGGTTCATCTGACAGAAAATTTCGTTTTAACCTTTTTTGTAGAGCATTCAATTTTCTTCAAAAAATATTTTCGAGTCAATTTTGTTAAACTCAATGGTTTGGGAGTTCTGAGACAAAAACTTGCTGAGGAAAAAAAAAATTAAAATTGCGATGATAGACCTCTTAATATTAATATTATGGACTCAAACTTTCACAATAATTTTTTTTGCTAACCCAAACCATATTTTCGATATACTTTTCAAAAACAAAATAGTTGATTTTTTTGGCCCAGTTTAATATATATGGCATAAGTATGTTTAAATAAACAATATATTAGTTCACTAACAAAAATTTTTTTTTCCCACCTCGGCCGGAAATACGTTGTTTCGTCCCCGATTCCACGGCAGAAAGTTTACGTTTGATGCATTGGTCAAATTTACGTTTGATGCATTGTAATCGGGGACGAAACAACGTATTTTCAAGTATATTACACTACAAGGGCTACGAAGGCTTCGCTCGTGCCGCAAATGTCGGGGCAGGCATCAATATGTTTCGATATACACATTTAATTTTTTCCCGTATTTTCGGCCGGGTTGGGTTGTATTTTCGGCCGAGGTAGTAAGAAAAATAGTATACACTACACGGGCAGAAAGTGTGAGAGCCCTGAACTGCGCGCCATGAGGCACTTTCTGCCCTTGTAGTGTAATATACTATTGTTAGATTATACCAAAATAAAAATTCAGTTAAAATCCCAGTAGTTACCCAGATAGACAAAGTATCATGGAAACGCGTTGCCGTGAATAAGATGTGGGTACATTTATTGGAAGTGTAAAACCTTGTCCATTAGTTGGACGCGCATTTTTAATAGTTTCTGATCAACATTTATAGGCAACCGGGGTTCAATCCAAAGTGGTAAACCGCTTTAAAATCAGCGAGACCAACGTTCAACGTTATATAGACGTTGTGTTCTGATTTTTCATTATCAGTCGTTATCAATAAGAAAAAGAAGGCTACACCTTCCAGGATTATTTTACCCCCTTACGATTGTCCTACGTATCCCGCCACTGCTCAGCGTTACCTGTGTTTGGTGGATCTGAATTTTCACCCTGGCAGGAAAATCTTCCCTAGGAGGTCGTGGATGACAGTGTCGATGTTTAAGGCCACTCCTGGAATTTTTTCATCGGGCCGGTCCATACGCCCGATTTAGGCTAGTGGAGTGTAGGACAAGGAGGGAAAACATTTTGGTTTTTGGGGGTATTGAACTGACCCATTTCATTGGGGTTCATGAATGAGGCTTGGTGTATTTGTACGTTGCTTGGGCATCCTTGCTGGTCTTTTATCCGGGTGCAATCCATATCTTTGCTTTAGAGGACTATCAATAGATAGTCTTTGGTTGGCAATTTTTCGGATACAGATACAGTCTTTATTTTAAAGTATAAGTTATGTATGCTTTTCTTTGCCACGTTTTGTGGTTGAAATTGTGTTTTTCTTTTCTAACAATTATCGTGCTGTAATTTTTTTCAGTCCTACCCATAACCATTTGTGAGTGGTTTTTTAAGTACGCCTCTGTATTGTGTTTATTTTTCATCGGGTGTTGTTTTTACTTTCCCCACTCTCTTAGAATAAATCACTCAAAAATTACTCGTTATAGGTTATTTGACTCATTGTCCCAGTCGAAAGGCAGTCGCTAATGATTAGACAAATTTTAGCGGATGCAACAGTTAATGGTGGATTTGGTTTAAAAAGTTTTTTTTAAATAGTTTTTGTTTACTCTCAGAAGCAATCGCCGGTGACTTATTTTAATTTGTCTAATTTAACTATCTTAGTAGTACGTGTTGTGGTAGAAATTGTGTTTACGTTTTTTTCTTAATTAACAATTAAGAAATTGCATTTATTTTATTTTATAAATGGTTTGCTTACTTAATTAAGATTTATGCGTTTATTAAGTACTACTTGTCACGTCCTATACGGCGGAGAGTACCTAATTTTAAGTCGAACTTGCTTTACTTTTAAGTCGAACTAGATTATGCATTCGTTTACCCTGTTCAACGTTTTAAGTTTAGCGAATAGCGACGTGCAAATATTAAAATAATTATCAGAATTTTGCAGATGGCATTATAGTGAAGAAAACTGATATCGCCACTTCAAATGAGTGGCAATAACGTTAAAATAACTAAATCTACCACGATACAGTTGAAATATCTCCATATTATAGGTATTAGCATAGTTGTAATCATGTGATTTGCACCAGCAGAATATACTTCATAGTTTAATAACTTTTTTGTGTATCAGTCTAGTATCTGAAACGTTGCCACCACGTTAAAGTTGTTTAAACTTTGTAGTGAATTATGAATAGTAACGGCAACCAAATCACACCACTTAAGTATTACTTTGAAGTGGTAGTAGTAGTAAAGTGGGTATATCAGTTTTGGCAACGTTTTCGGAACTTTTCCCAAACCTTGAATGTGGCAAAACTTGATTATATAATTACGGTGGTGATTCCACGTTCTTGCTACATGTTTCAGTGATTTCTACGTTTTGTCTAGGATTACCACTTTAAAGTTTCCTTCTTCGAAAGCAGCCATGTTTACAAATAATCTCCACTGCAGGAAAATAAATGTGAAGTTTTAAACAAATAATTATGGTTATTAACGCACCAAATTTAACACCTTAATACATAATTATTGGTTTCAGGTGACCAGAAATAATAAAAAAAAATATTTAAGGCCTCTAGATAAATAATTTTTATATCTTAAGTTTATAGATTTTTTATTTCCATATATTTCAACAGGGCGTGCTTATATTTCGAGCTATAACACCAATGTTTGACACTAAAATTTTATTCGCGTGGCAGAGATTTTGGCAATACACTTTACAGTTTCAAGTATAAGTGGCCAACACGTTTTATCCACTAAAAATGCTACTTGGGCTTGTCCCCTCGTAATTGGTCTCTTCCAGGTTCCAGCCATTGCATCATTGCGTAATTGCATCTTAACTTTGGTATTTCATTAATATATAGAGGGTCTGCAGGATAATATAATCAAAGATTTGGAAGTTACTCAGTATTCAGAACTTACTTAATATTACGAATTATTCAAAAATAAACGAGAACATATAGTACAGAATATGTACTACAGATATACTGTATAAGGAAAATAATTTACTAACATGTAGACAAATATTAATATTTGTGATAAATATTAATATTTGAATATCAAGTTCTTTTGTTGACCTATAAAAATAAAACCATATCCATATCAAATTAAACACTAAAAACCAGATCTATCATAAATCAACATTTATCCATTCTTTTATTTAAAAAAACAAATCAGAGATACTTATTTTACTTTGGACCAAAATTCTATAATATTTTACCATAAAAAGTTTTAAAAAAAATTTAAAGCAAATCTAAAAACTGTTTTTATAAATAATTAAACTTTAAGATAAATAATAATTATTATAGCTGATTTATTATATGGGTTTGATTATATTTATTTAATCTTTTTTTATTTCGAAAAATACATCTTAATGTGCCCTAACGGGCCACTACAGACAAATAATATAATATAATATGTCTATGCTATTTACAGTCTTTTTACAAATATTTTCCTTATCGTCCGAGTTGTCTACTCCCCTCACCCTTTCTTTTCCCCGACAATAATTCATATTATTCCTTTAATTTGTATTAATGAATTAATAAATAAATAAAAATTGTAAAATCTATGGATATTTTGCGATACTTAAGAGTTTAAAGATCCGATTCCAGAGCACGTGACAAACTAGCTAAGAAGATCAAAAACGGCTCAAAGGTAAGGTCTTTAAGTTCCCGATATAAAATATAGTCCACTATAAGTACACTAAAATAAATTCATTAAGGTGAAATACCGGTCTAAACACTTACTAAATCCTTATTGGTACACTTTAGGCTGCTCAAAATACTAGATTGAAATAGTGGATATGTTTTAAATACAAAATCACAACCAAAATGTTTAGCAACTTGTTCTATTGCTACAAACCATACTGTATGAGATTTAGATGTTGAATTTATATTATGCAATAAAATATCCAAGCATCCACTGGAAACTAAAACAATAATGTTCGTATATTAATATCATGAATATCATAACAGGGTGTTTCACATTCGTGGTCCATTAGAAGTTTTCAGGGAACGGAAAAAGATATCAATTTGAAATTCTAAAATCTTTAATAATCAAAGTCTATTTTTCTAAAAAGATTTTGAACAAAATGCCACTTTCGGTTTAACCGGAAGTGACATCAACTTTGTTATTTCAAATAGAACACCCCATATATTTTTACATTTTTAAATTCTTTATAAAATACTGAGTAAAATTACTAAACCATATCCAATACCTAAAGTGAATAGTTTTCAAGTATTTTTTTTCGTTAAAATTTGACAAATTAAAAAAAAAATGTAATGTTCTTTAAGACTTCCTAAATGAAATTTTATTAACATAAGAAGAAATCATAACTCGCAAATAAATAAAGGACAATATATGAGATATTGTGTTAGGTAATTTAACACTTTACAAGATATTATATTTTTTTGTAAAACCATTCATTTAAATAATATCAGAGGTCGAAATTTTATATAAATAGAAATAAAAAGTATTGTAACTGTGATTTATAAGTGGCTTTTTTTACTTGGGTTAATTTATTTATTTATTCTAAAAACAATTTTGAAAAAAAAATCCGACGTCGTTTAACACTGCCTAAATGATAAAACTTTTATTTTTTAATTATTTTATATATTTTAAACTTTGACCCCGATATCCAGAGGCGGATTAAATGTCGAGAGCGCCCTAGGCAAGCACCTCATCGGCGCCCCTTTATCGGCCATATATTATAAATTGTAACTAGTACTTAGCTGTGCCCTTCGGTTTCACCCGCGTAATGCCCCATACCGTGGAAATTTCGGTCTCCAGCTATCTACATACCAAGTTTTATCACAATCGGTTTAGTAGTTTTTGCATGAAGAAGTAATACACACACTTTCGCAGTTATAATATTATTAGGATAAGTACAAGTGTCCTGGCGTATACTTATAATTAGGTATAGGCCAGGACACGTGTACTTACTCTTAGGCGTGAATGAAATATGTGATATACATTTCTATACAATTAACTTATCTTTTACATGTTAATTTTAAGTATATGTTAATTAGGAGTACCAATACAGACGGCCAGTCGAGTAAATGTGCTCTCGAATTCGATCGCGCAAATTGCTCAAATACAGTGTAGTATAAGGAAAATAATGGGCGAAATTAGAGCCAAGATTTACTACTTGGACAACGAAAATGAGTGTACCTGTTGTCCAAAGTCTTAATAGAAACATTAAATTAGTGCATTATAAAGCAACCCCAACAAGTGAATATAGTGAATAAAGACCATACGGACACGGAAGTAATTAAGTAATAAACGACAGCATACCTAAAGATCTAACCCTAGGCCAATATGAATCACCTTATGTAGGGAACAAACTAGCCTAGAGTGGAAGGGGCCATCATCTGCAAAAATCTGATAAGTACCAATTAATCGCATGACCTAATACGCAAATTCGCAACAAAAACCTAACAATAATCAATCATTATTACTGAAAACAGCGTAACAGTGTAAATTATTCAATTATTAGGTAAGAACGTCACAAAACATAAATAATCATAAACTTAAGAGGCCAGCCTCAACAAAATTAAAATGTAAAAAACTTAACAAACGAAAATAAAATAAACAAACAGTTCCGATATTTTCCTAACATAAACATAAACCACTAAACACCTTTAAATTTTAGGCATTGCATGCTGCTAGCTGTATAAGAGAATTAAAAAAGCAAAGTTAAGAGCAATTATATAGAATAAATATTATAAATGTAACTTCTAATGGTTAGAAAAGAAAAAGAAAACGTAAATACAATTTCTACCACAAAACGGTTTTCGCACAGTGGGGCAAACAATTGCAAACAACAGTTTTCGAATTTCAGCAGACTACAAGACCAGCAAAGATAGGTCCTAGCAGCGTCTTAACCAACCAAACCTCATTCATGAACCCCAAATAAATGGGGGCATTACTAAATCCCTGGTTGAGAAGGATTCCGGATTCTACTTAGTTTTGCCTCCTTGTCCCGTACTCCACTAGCCTAAATCGGGCGTATGGCCCGGCCCGGCGAAAAAATTCCGGGAGTGGCCTTAACCATCCACACTGTCATCCACGACCTCCTAGGCGAGATTTACCAACCGGGGTGAAAATGCGGATCCACCAAACACAGGTGATGCTGTTGAGTGGCGGGATAAGTAGGAGAACTGAAAGGAGGTAAAATAACCCTGGTAGATCAGTGCAAGGCCTGCCGATGGGACCTGCCATACGTTCCTTGTACTCATACTCATACTCAATTTTAATTTTATGTTAATTATTTTCTTCGTTTCAAAACTCACGTGCGCGTGCTGATTAAATAATCAAACCAATAAGTTGTAAATCTTTCTTAAATAAATACCTACTCGGTGTTCATAAAAAATTGCGTTTTTATCAAACAACGCGCCCCCTTGTAACCTCGCGCCCCTAGGCACGTGCCTAGTTTGCCTTAGGGATAATCCGCCTCTGCCGATATCATTTAAATGGATAATTTTAAGAAAACACGTAAGACATTTTTTGTAGAGTGTAACATTTTCTACAAAAATTTGTCCTGTGTATTGTGATCAACGGTTAAACGACATCGGAAAAAATAAAACTAATAAACAAATAATTTAGACGATACTCAGTTAAAAAAAAAAAATAAAGCCAACTTATGAAATTCAGAACCACAAAAATATTTTTTTATTTATTTTAAAAATTGATCTCCATTAGCGAGTTATACATACTTTCTTATTTCATTAAAATGTTATTTAGGCAGAGTTAAACGACATCGGAAAAATATGTTTTTAGAAGAAGTTTTAACATATAATTTAGATGAAAAACAATCAGTGGCGGCTGGTGGATTTTGGGTATACCAATATTTCAGTTATTAGACATGGGACCCCCACCAAATTTATAATAGTTTATAATGACATTATATAGAAAAAGAATTTAAATTGAAGTTTGCGAAAAAAAGTTTGTTTTTCCTGTCGCCTCACCCGCCTCCAGGCCCCCCTATTTAAGATAATTCAAATTAAAGTGGTGCAATTTATTATCTACTATAATTTATCGACAAATTTAAAATTTTATTTAAAAAATCCAAATATGTAATATTTGGTTTTATACCATTTTAAATATTTTTTATTTTAATAAAATAAATAATAAAAATTTAAAATCGAATAAAATCTGTAATATTTGGATTTTTTAAATAAAATTTTAAATTTGTCGATAAATTATAGTAGGTAATAAATTGCTGGAGACGTGGGTGAGGCGACAGGAAAAACTAACTTTTTTTCACAAACTTCAATTTAAATTCTGTTTGCGCCGAACTTGTTTATTTAATGTCATTATAAACTATTATAAATTTGGTGTGGGTCCCATGTCTAATAACTGAGATATTGGTATACATAAAATCCACCAGCCGCCACTAAACCCAATTCAAAAAATGTTGGGAAATAACGGACTAACCACTAAATATTGCAGCAACGTTGCAACATCATTGCCATGAAACTAAACTCAGTATTGCACGGCAAGCAATACTGCAGCAACCTTGTACCAATAATACTCACGTGTAAGTGTGCGTGTTTGCAACAAAAAAATTGGTTTCTCGGAAACGGCTTTATAATTCAGCCATTCCACGCTACTCGGGAATTTTTGTAGCGTCCGTTACAATAAAAAATTGTGAGTAAAACTACCGTAATTATGATGCTTATAAGCTTAAGCCTAATTATTACAAGCATAATAGACATGTTTGCAATAGTAACGATTGTAACGGACGCTACAAAAATTCCCGAGTAGCGTGGAATGGCTGAATTATAATTTTTTATTTAGATATTTTGAGGTCGCTGATTACGAATTTGATATCCATTTTTACAAAAACAAAATCGCGGGCGGGCATTTTTCGAAAAAAAAGTTCTGATTTGGCATAAAATGGCGGGTTCAATATTTTCCAAAAAAAATTCCACTTTCCAGCAAACGGCTCCAATATTTAAAATCTCCAAAATTCTTAAAATTTCTTAAATTCTTAAAATTTTTAAAAACTTAAAAAATGGTAGGATAAATTGGCACAGTAGCTCAAAATTAAAAAAAAATAATGGAAAAAATTCGTAAGAAGCATAGCATCTGTCGTGTTTCTACTTACAGAAACACCCGGTTTTTTACGTAAAAGTATCACACTGTTTGTAAAATATCGCACAATGAATGTTGGGCTAAAAAAAGGTAATTGCATTCTAAGAGTGACTGACTAATTTTCAATCCAACATCTATGGACAACATTTGAAAACAGATGGTTCTGCCCAGTCCTAACACTATAGTTATAATTGTTAATATATGAGAAATTATTACATTAAAGACAATACCTATTGCATGAAATGTTGCACGCCACGGACGCAAAATTGCAGCCTTGTTACTTGTAATCTTGCTGCAACATTGCATGTAACCTGAGGGCGCGGTCATAGAAACATTGTATCAACGCTGCATCAACGTTCCCTGCAATATTGCCAACGTGCCCTGCAATATTGCAATGTTGCAGAAATATTTAGTGCTTTAGGGGAATGTACATGGAAGCGCTCCAAGAAAACAAATCTTAGGTCCAAAAATGATTTTGGAGTTTATGATTGTTTTAAAAATATTGGCACACAATCTTTGGAAGAGTCCAAAAATAGTTTGTTTATCTCAAAAATGGACAACGCTACGAGTTTCAGGTGTCGAGCGTTACTACACAAACGCCTATGGACCTAAGGTTCATTTTCTCGTAGCGCGTATTTATATATGATAAATATATATAATTATATATTACCATTGTTTTTTTGCAAATAAGCCAACTCAACTAAATCTCCACAAATTAATTTGGTGTAACTTCTTACTGTATCAACAAAATGATCAATATGAGACCAAACAAACTCCAAACCTTGCTCAAATATATTTTTTGTAAAGTCCATGGGTATGGATTTTAAGTTTTTTCCAATCATACTAAGGATTCTACTAACTTCCACTATTTGAGGTGGATTTGAGGTTGTCCTAAAAAAATACATTTACAACCTAAATAATTATAATAATATTCTTTATTTAGCAAAAGCTATTATACAATAATTAATATAAAAACATGTAATCAATACATATATATATATATATATATTACTGTGTATGTAAATTCTTAATAGTGACTTAAATATAATTTTTTCTCCTACCTTACTAGAAAACTTAATTTTCCACCCCCGAGCGAGGGAGGAAAATGCATCTTTTCCTCCCCGGGAGGAAAAAAAATGTCCTCCCTCTTTTTTTAAACAATTTTACATTAGCAAGAGTTTTTGTACTTTGTCTGGCCCTATTTGATTTTGTAGGAAAAATATTTACTCCGCGCTTGACCAACCATTCTTTTAACAAACTATATTCATTTTCATATCGTTCTTTCGATTTTTAAGGAAAGAAATTAATTGCAACTATTCTTGCATTTTTTAGCAAGATCTTGCGGCAGGTCTTCTTCGCTAGAACTCATTTTCAAAACGTAGGAAGAATTTCAAATTTATGATAAACAGCTTATAATACTATATTATGTATCAAGTTTGATAAACGCCATTTTATAAAAGAATTTAATTTAGACACGAGCGAGTTCTTAAATTAATGAGTGTATAGAAAAGTTTATAAACGAGGTGCATACTATACTTTTTCTACGACAAATACTTATTATTATCTTAAAATGATTTAAATCAAAAATTTGTATAGAGCGCCATCTATGAAACAACAGGGGAAACTGTAAAATGTCACATTTTTACATTTTATAAACACAATTATAAAGGTTATAAATCGAAATGTATATTGAAAATTGACAGTTTTTCACAGTGAAAGTAAAGGAAATGTTTTAAGAGGACTTTACAGTAGAGTCCATGCCCGAATTAAAGTTATAGTTTACTGCCGCTAAGGTCAGTACAATGTTCATATAAACTTTTCAAATATTGGCGTTGAGAAACTATTAATATTTTTGTATTGAGATAATAAAATAATTTTCACATTTAGTATTATTTTACAAGAAAGGCACTTTATTTTAACGATTGTATGACATTTGACAACTGTCAACTAAATTAAAACTAACTTCAGCCCGTGACTAAAAACCTGTTGCTAACTTCAGCCCGTGACTAAAGTGCCGTAAAGCCACAACTTGTCAATGTGTATTTAAAAGGTCACTTAGTGTCATGAAAACATGTACGATAAAGGGCGTTTTAAAGGTGGGAGCAGAAAATAGTATATTATGTATCAAGTTTTATAAACGCCATTTTAGTTACGAGTTTAATTAAGCACGAGCGAAGCTTGCGAGCGAGTGTTTAATAAAAACGAGTGTCTAGAGAAGTTTATAAACGAGTTGCATACTATACTTTATCTACGACGAACACAAAACAAAATTTAAAGCCAATTTTATTTGTTAAAATTTTGACATCTGTCAAATGTCATCCGAATTTAACCTCACTTTTTCCCAATTTATAATAAAGCTAACTTCAGCCCGTGACGTAAAATGTCGAAAAGCCACTGTTGTTAACTTCAGCCCGTCAATAACACTCCATAAAGTGACAGCTCGTCAATGTAGGAGTAGATAATAGTATATTATGTATCAAGTTTTATAAACGCCATTTTAGTTACGAGTTTAATTAAGCACGAGCGAAGCTTGCGAGCGAGTGTTTAATAAAAACGAGTGTCTAGAGAAGTTTATAAACGAGTTGCATACTATACTTTATCTACGACGAACACAAAACAGAATTTAAAGCCAATTTTATTTGTTAAAATTTTGACATCTGTCAACTGTCACCCGAATTTAACCTCAATTTTTCCCAATTTATAATGAAGCTAACTTCTACGCCATAAAGTTACAGCTCGTCAATGTAGGAGTAGATAAAAACTGTTATGTTTGTATTACCAAAAATACCATAGCAACAAAGCGTTGTCAACATAACGTCGGCGACGCAACACCTACTAAATTTTTTGTCATAATTTTATAACCCCGTACCGGGTTAGTAAAAGGAAACGGAACGCTTAAAATGTCTTAAACCCGTTAAAAGGTAATAGAAAAAACTATATACATACCTCAGGAGGAAAATGCGTTTCCTCCCTTGAAGTATCTAACAAGTATATATATAGGGTGTCTCATTGAGACAGTCTCAATATACATGTATATTTTCGAGGGAATAAACGAATTTTATTTTTGTTTTGAAAATTATACTACAGAAAAAATGCAAAAGGAAAAAAGTTGTATTTTTAATTGCCCAATTTAAAAATAATATTGAACCTATAAAAAAGCAGTAGCGTAACCAAATTTCATTTTTTAATATCTAGTTGGGGTGCCCCAGCGCCGCCTCTGGATTAACTAAATTAAATTTAATTACATTAAGTTAAGCCTTTTACCATTTACTAAAAACTGAAAAGTTTTATTTAAATCGGCCAAAGAGTTTTTTGGAATTTTGAAAAAATAAATATATTTTTTTCAAGCGTAAAATAATTTTCTTATTATAAGACTATGAGTCTACAGGGTGTTCCACATAAAATTTGCCCCTTCCCCGAAACTTTTGAACTAAAAGGTTTCATAAAAAGTCCTAAAAATCAAGAGTGCTTTTGGAGCACTAGTAAAATGATGCACTAACGGTATGCCACGCTGCATGAGAGGATACTTTAAGTACCCCCGCCTCGGGACTCTCGACAACGTTCAAATAATTCAAAAACACTCCCCAATTTTATTCAGATTTTTTGCAGTGTCAATCTTAATTTTCAGACGCATATTAGGCATACAAAATATTGACCAGATTACAGCTAAAATCCAATGTTACTTAAATGGGGAAAAAAGAATGGGTCTCTTGACACAGCCCATTGTAACAACCACTCTAATATGTAGATATATGATTATATCACACATCTTTAGATTTTATTATGAAAACCAAATAAACAACGCATCTACTGCGAGCTGATAAAAGGCAAGATACATACACCTTAAGATAGGATGGTGCGCATGTTGGGCCGGGCTTAATGACGTCACTTGATAAGTGTTTTTAAATCTTTAACGTGCTTTTTAATTATCTACTGCTAAAATTCTTGTTTTTGCGATGCTTTTGGATGTTAACTTGCTCTACTTTTTGTTTAACTTGTCGTTTTTGTGTTCGGTAAGGTTCGAATTACTTTTCAGCGTTCAAATTATTGTTATTGCGTTAGGTTAACCTGTTAGGTTTGTTTATTATTGTTTTTGTGTTGCGTTAACTTGTTTTGTTTGTGTTTTAGATTGTATAGTGCCATTTGCATTTATTAAAATGCGGTGTGGCATATTTGGATGCAATTCGGACAACCAGTCCAAGAAAAACCCTTTAAATAAAAACATTAAATTTAATCGATTCCCGAAAAAGTTTGATTTGTGGAAACAGTGTTTAAATGCCACAAAAATAATAGACAATATTTACGTTAAGACCGCTTCTGTTTCCTATAAACATTTTCTGGACAGTGACTATAAGTTTAATTTAAAACACCAACGCTTAAACTACAGCCCTAAATGTTATCAAGGACTGAAAGCATTTATTATCCATATTATAACACTTTCTTCAATATTAAGTTTAATAAAAACTCACTATGTCCAGAAATTTCTCTATTTTCTTTGTTAATATTACTATTATTGGTGTATTCGCACGGCAACTACTCATCAAGTGACGTCATGCGCGGGACGAACCAAAACTCGTACACGGGAGCATCCAGCCCTGATAAAAGGGTAGTTCTAATCAAGTTTCAAAAATAGTTAATACATTTTTTGACACAAGGGCACCCTCCTGCTTAAAGAAAAAGTACGATTAAAAATAATTAAATACCGATTGCGAAAATGATTGACATTCAATCGTTGTTTATTACTTTGAATTGTGTTTTGGTATTGGGATAAATCGTTCACAGTTATATTGAATCGGAAATTTCAATTTGAAAATAATATTTCATTTATTTTGAATCGGAAATATATTTTTTGTTTCAATTGGTCTGAATCGGACAACATTAAACAGTTCAACAGTATAAATTGGAAAATAATTTTGAAATTATTGAATTAAGATTTCAATCGGTTTTATTCGGCGTTTTATTTTCTCAATTTCAATTGGGCTGAATTGGAAAATAATTTTAAATTATTAAACTAAGATTTTGATCGGTTTTATTTGATGTCAATTTCAATTAAAGTAAATTAAACTGAACTAAGATTTTAAAGGGTTTTAATCGACATTCGATGTCGTCAATTTCGGTTGGTATGGAATTGGAAAATAATTTTGAAATTATTGAATTAATTGATTAAAATGTTGGTTTTAATCCGCGTTTGATTTCCTTAACTTCAATTGGGCGGAATTGGCGTTTTATTTCCTCAAAGAAAAATAATTTTGAAATCGACAAGCGATTTAGTCGTTTTCAATTGGTATAAATTAAAATGTAAATAATGTAAAAATTATAATTTTTAAACAATGATTTCAATAGAATTTAATCGGCGTTCCTTGATTTAAATTGGGTTGAATTGGGAAACAATTTTAAATTATTAAACTGAGATTTTAATCGGTTTTATTTGACGTACGATTTTGTCAATTTCAAATAAAGTAAATTGGAAAATAATGAAGTACAGTCAAGTGCAATAGCTCAGTAGCAAGGCAATTCAAAAATCGCTTGCGATGCTCAGTCATAGCTCCGCCTACTCTAGAATCTTAAACAATGTAAAACGGTGGTACATCACGCAACGGCTGCAGTACAGTGGTACTGATCCAATACACGTGACTGTACCTAAGATTTTAATCGGCGTTTTATTTTCTTAATTTTAATTGGACTAAATTGGAAAATAATTTTAAAATCATTGAACTCAGTTTTCAATCGGTTTTAATCAACGTTTGATTTAGTCTATTTTAATTGGGCTGAATTGAAAAATTATTTTAAAATTATTGAATTTTCATTATTGTTAATAAAATTCCTACCTTTTTGAGCATTTAATCAACTCTTCATATAGAATGGTAACTAAGTTTTTAGAATGAACTTGGATATTCAGTAATTCATTTGTGGGTATCACATTAAAAATAGCTGAATAAATAATAACTTTGATACTATCATTTGACAAAATATTTTTTAAAACACATTTTTTTAAAGGAATCCATCTTTCTTCACAATTATTTTCCATTAGTTCCAAAACTGGATATTTTTTGTGCTTCTATAAAACAAAAACATTTTTTATAGGAATTGTCATGAATCTCATAAAAAATATCTTACAAATTCATCCAGTTCCTCTTGTGTTAAAATCATCAAGGAATGTCCTAAAATTAAACCACATTTGGTCTTAACATCATAACTGACAATTTCAAGGCTTAAAACTTCATGGGAGAGTTTAATAAAGTCAATAGAATATTCTTCCAAAACATTGTTTTTAAAAGTATCTCTCTTTGCAAACCCTGACAAAATTTGCTTGAATATAAGATTTATAAGCTGCATTAATTCCTCATAACAGGCAATGGCAGGAAAATTTAATCTAAAACAATTAAAAAATACAAATTAAAATATTAATATAATATACAAAATATTATAACATAAGCCAAATCTGGCCATTTACAAAATCATGATTTTAAAGGTGAAGGAAAAGAATTCTCCATTGATAAAGATAATATATAATAATAATATAATATAATTATTATATCATACAATTATTATTACATATTATCTTATTCAATGGAGACTTACAGTTTCTTTTCCTTCACCTGTAAAATCATGATTTCCATTAGAGTGATAAGCGGCACGGTGCACATCGCTCGCAATATTACCAAGTTTATTTAGCACTTTTTGTTTTAAAAAATGGATGAAAGTGAAGAGGATGGTGATGGTGGGATGTTCGAACCTGTCAAGGATAGAAACAAACGAGGTAGAGATCCCGATAGCTCCGATATTGAATTAATAGGATTTGATAGAAATGGAGAACCAAAACTTCAACCTCATAAAAAACGAAGAAAATAACAAAAACAAACCCACAAATAACAACAACACTGCACACAATTCCAACCAAAACAAAAACCAACATCCACAAAAAAACATCAACTACAGTGACAACATGAATGCTATTTTGCACAAAAAACTTTACATGTGGGTATACTACCCCTATGGATTTTGAGCCGCTGAATCCGAATCCGGTCTCAGAATTTCCCCTGGACCCCCCAGTTTTCCCCTACCCTAGGGGAAATGCTTTAAATCTTAGAAATTTCTGTATCTGTGAAGCCAATTTTAACTATAGCATACGCAATATTAAATTTGGGGCCGTTCATAAATCTTGTCCATAAATCTCAGAATGTGACGATATACATATTAGGGTATTTAAAAAAAAAACAATTATTTTGCCTCAATTCATTTGTGGTTTTTCCATTTCAATAACACGGGATTTTTTTTTATAATTTTGATTTCTTATAACTTTGGAATGGTTTGTTTTCGCAACCCCCAAGCAAGAGGATTTATAGGAAATTTCTCGCTCTACAAAAAACATCTGAAGTTCTTCAGAGGAACGTTTCAAAGATATCAGCGATCAAAAATAACACTAATCAAAAAATTTCAAATATTTTCCAATAAAACTACAAAAATATATCATATGCCATATAAATATAAATTTATATTATTTTTTTATGTAAAATCACTTTAATTTTGTTAACCTGAGACTGTAAACTTTTTTTGCTAATTAATTCAATACGTAATCACAAATACATAAATATAAAGATTAAAAGTATAATACTGGTATAAATGATTTTTGGGTCTCTTTTATAACAAATTTATTTTTATTTTATAAAAAGAAAATGCAAAGTTCGTATTACACTAACTAACCAAACACTCATCATTGCATTTTATTCAAAATAATAGAAAAATTATCTAAATATGTTAAATCAATTAAATCAACTATAAAATTTTATCAAATTTTTTTTATTTGAAAAATATCGACCCCGCTTTATTTAGCAGATTGTTTGTTTTGTTGATTTTATGTTACGATAAAACTAAAACAAACAAACCAAACCAACCAACCGAATACAACCCAACAAAGAAACAACAAATTTATAAAATAAAAAAAGTTCGATAACTAGTAGTATTAAACCCGGTACCTCTCGCATGCCAAGCGACCGCCCTCAGAACGCGGCGTGGCATTGATAGAGCAGTATAATCGATGCTTAACGAAAGATGAAGAACAACTTTAATATTTGTTGCAAGTAGTGATAGAACATAGAAAACGATATCCTAATTGCAATAAAAGTAATTTTATACGACTGTAATGTTTTCAAGTTAAAAAAATGTCATAACTAGTTGTTAAGTATTGTTTTTTGTTCAATAAAATTTAAATTCTTAGTATTTAGCAGAAAATAAAATAAATAAAATAAATTTGTTAAAAAAGATACCCAAAAATCATTTATTTAATATTTTTTCTTACTACCTCGACTGAAAATACATTGTTTCGTCCCCGATTTCACGGCAGAAAGTTTACGTTTCTTGCATTGGTCAAGCTATACGCGCATACTCTATAATAGCGGGAGTAATAGTATATTACACTACAAGGGCAGAAAGTGTGAGATTCCTGCACTGCGCGCCATGATGCCCGAGGCGAAGCCGAGGGCATCATGGCGCGCAGTTCAGGACTCTCACACTTTCTGCCCGTGTAGTGTATACTATTTTTCTTGCTACCCCGCAGAAAATACGGGAAAAAATTAAATGTATATAAAAAAACTTGTGTCAAAATTAAAATCTGACGTTTAATTTAATTCTGACGTTTACATTCAAAATCAATCAAACTGTAGCGTTGTCATGGTAATTCAGCGGTGCCAATACAGTAAAAATAAAAGGTTGTATTTTAATTAACAAATTACTACTTTATAACAAATAAAAGTACCATTAAACACTTAAAACAACATAAAAAGTAAAAAAGTAAAAACATAAATTGTTTATTTGTTGTTATAATTGCAAAATTATGGTTTAAAACTGCCATATTTTTGTGTTTCTCATGTTGGCAGTACGAAATTTGAATGTTAAGCACACGACTAAAAAATTTTTACTCCCGCTATTAGAGTGTGCGCGTATAGCTTGACCAATGCAAGAAACGTAAACTTTCTGCCGTGAAATCGGGGACGAAACAACGTATTTTGAGTCGAGGTAGTAAGAAAAAATTTTTTAGTCGTGTGCCCAACATATACAACTCTGATTACGACACTAATATAACCTCAAAATTTGGGCAGGCATCAATATGTTTCGATATACACATTTAATTTGTTCCCGTATTTTCGGCCGGGTTGTATTTTCGGCCGAGGTAGTAAGAAAAATAGTATACACTACACGGGCAGAAAGTGTGAGAGCCCTGAACTGCGCGCCATGATGCCCTCGGCTTCGCCTCGGGCATCATGGCGCGCAGTGCAGGAATCTCACACTTTCTGCCCTTGTAGTGTAATATACTATTAATCTTTATATTTATGTATTTGTGCTTTTTGTGAGTTACGTAATGAATTAATTAGCAAAAAAAAAGTTTTGTGTCAGGTTAACAGAATTAAAGTGATTTTACATAAAAAATAATATAAATATGGCATATGATATTTTTTGTAGTTTAATTGAAATTTTTATTAGTGTTATTTTTGATCACTGATATCTTTGAAACAGTTGATCTAAAGAAATTTGACCTTCAGATGTTTTTTGTAGAGCGTGAAATTTCCTATAAATCCTCTCGCTTGGATGTTGCGAAAACAAACCATTCCAAAGTTATAAGAATTCAAAATAAAAAAAAAATTCCCGTGTTATTGAAATGGAAAAACAACAAATGAATTGAGGCAAACCTTAATATTAAGGGCTCAAATAGGCCAACATTTTTGTTTTTTAATGTTACTATTAATTTCTCAACACCATTGGAAAAAAATAATTCTTCTTTTTAAATATATATACATATATATATATATATATATATATATATAGGAAAAGAGGGCGTGCCGATAGCAATGGAGATGCCAAATTTAAAAATTAAAAATTTCTAGGTAATAGTGTAATCGAATGAGAGCAAAAAAGCGGCAGCCAATACCGAGAGCTCTCGCCTAGGTTAAACGTAAGAGCTTTAAAAATTGCTAGGAGACGATAGAACATTGTTGTATTAAAAACATTTAAAAATCTTTTGGCCAACTGTATTTACTAAGTTGTCAAAAGCTTTCAAAAATGAGGTTATTAATCTATGACTTATACTTCAGAACGCCAATGTTTTAAAATAACGATTAGGAAAGGGCTGGGAAAAAACTCGCGTTGTCTCCCTGGCGTTGCGCCCACACTAAATAAATAAATAATTATCATTTCAGTATAATCATCTAAGGAAAACATTATTTATAATAACTTAATTTATAACCTAATATAATATTAATGACAGGAGTTTGACAGCAGTGTCACAATGAATTGGATTCCAGTGGACCAAATATTTTACATATTTTTTTATTATTAACAATGCAACCTAAGTATCCTAGCAATTTAAAGAATTCCCTATGGCCATCTATTGGGATTGGCTATCGTTTTTTATTCTTATCTCGCTTATCCTTTGCGTTAGACAATTTTAATTTTTAAATATGTGGTTCACGTTACTTTCGGCACGTTCCGGTTTTCTATGTGGCGCGAGTTCTGGGACACCCTGTATATTTATATATATATATTCACATATGTGAATTATTAAACACCCTATTTTTTCTGATTCTTTTTTGTACTTAAAGAAAATCACGTCACGTGACAAAGAAAATCGAATTAAATTGCTTATTTTTTCCATTTTTAGTCCGATTATTATGTTAACTTTATAAAACTCTTTCAAACTTTATCCAACCACCTCCCCCTATTTTTTTCTGATTCTTATTTGTACTTAAAGAAAATCAAATTAAATTGCTTATTTTTTTCATTTTACGTGAGATTATTACATAAAGTTTACATAATAATCTGACTAAAAATGGAAAAAATAAACAATTTAATTCGATTTTCTTTGTCACGTGACGTTTTAAAAACGCTTCCCCCAGGGGCGTGAAATAGTAAAGCTCCTTCAAAACCCCCCTTCCAGCGTCACGAGATTTATGGACGGCCCCTTATAGCGGTCTCAATTGGGACTTATTTTGGAAGCAAAAATTATATTTTTTAAGTAAAAGTTGATTTTTGTAATGGTTGTTCCCGGATTAATATTAAAAAATGTATTTATTAATTAATGAAGTAATAAAGGTCATAAGTTTTTGATAAACTAGCAAGGTTGTGTTAAGTATTATTTTTTATATGATTAAAATAATACAGAGCTTACAACTTAAGTTTTATGTATCACTTAGCTCTGTATTAATTTATTCATATAAAAACTAATTTATACCTTGTCTCATCTATTAATTTACCTTGCTTGTGCTAAAAACCCAATAAAAATGGTATGGTATAATGGAAGCAATGTCTTCAATATAAATTCATTATCTTTCTTTATATTTTGAATTCCATACAAAAATTGCTGAAGTTGGGTAAAATGTTTCATGTTACATTTTTTTTCATTCTTTATTGTTAATTGTATATCATTAACAGCATCTATCACAAAATCATTAACATTTATTTTGTTGGTTTTGTCCAATATACATTTCTTTATGTTCTTTTTGGAACTAAATGCATAAAACTGTTCCAAAATTAGGTTTCTAGCCTCCTTTTTCTTGGATTTATTAGATTCATGGTAAATTAAATACTAAAAAATATATTAAAATATGCATAGAATACTAGACCTACTAAAAAAGTAACACAATTAGCGAAATACATGTACCCATGTCATAATTATGCTTTAAAGCAGCTTTATTTGATATTTTAGGGGTGGTCCTTAGTCATCAGGTATTATTTGATATTCAATCTATTATTCCACTATCAGCATTGTGTTTGTGCAGCTCAGTGATGAATGTATATGTATTTCTTTAATCATGTTCACTCTTGGGTTGCCACCTGCCACTTCTTGGTTTAAGGGTAAACAGGATCAAAAATACATGCTTTAGATTTTTTTATTGTTTTATGAGAAATCCTGTTTTTTTAAATATACCTAGGTATATTAAATAAATTTAATTATTTAATAAAACAGCTTGCAAAACTCTTTGTTTTGGAAGGCAAATGCATAAAAGTCTTTTGTTTACTCTATATTTTATTTTGCTAATTTACCATAAAACCTAAAAAACGGGGTAACCCGTAAAATATGGGGCATTTGGCAACCCTATACTTTAACATCATTGGTCAACAATAATATCACTGTGTTCGGTGATAATATAATATTATTATAGTACATCCTTTTTTAATAACTTACCAATTTGTCTATTAAATCCTTAAATTCAACATCCTTGGTGGAAGTATTGAATAAACTTAATAGATTAGCTAAATTTTCATCATTAGGTATATTTTGGTAAGATTCAAAGGTAAAATCCATTTTTTAATTATTATAAAAATAATATGATTCTTCTTCAAAATGTTTTGGCATTTAGCAAATTCCAGCTATTTGACCAAAATAACATGCTGAAACCTTTTTTAAAAAAAAAGTGAGGTTAAAAATACATTTGAACTAATTAATACTTGATACCACTTGATACCAACCAAAGATATACAGTGGTGGAAAAAAGTATGGAATATTTTTGTACTTTGTATTATTTTAAATTAACGTTGTCCATAATCTGTTTAAAATCTGAGCAAGTTAATTTAGCGTAGAAATAGTCAATTAACCAATATTTCCTTTATATACAACGGCTTATTTCGATATTTTGTAAAAAAATGCAATGTGTTCTGGAAAAAAGTATGGAATATTTTATTCATATTGATCAAAAATTGACAAAAAATCAAATAATTCAATATTTTGTGGCGTAACCTTTCGCATCTATAACCTCTTGACATCTTCTAGGCATAGAATCCACCAGTTTCTGCAATGTGTCCAAAGGAATTTGTTGCCACTCTTCCTTTATGGTTTGGAGAAGTTCGTTTTTGTTTGCAATGTTTTTTGTTCGAATTCGACGGTCTAATATTTCCCAAAGGTGCTCAATGGGATTGAGATCGGGGGACTGAGAAGGCCATTCAAGCACAGTTACGTCTTTTACCAAAAACCACTCTTTAACAATTTTCGAGGTGTGCTTGGGATCGTTGTCTTGTTGAAATATCCAAGAAAGTGGCATCTCTTCCTCGGCAAATGGTAACATCCCAGGTAGCACAACGTGACATTAAAAATTGGAAGTGACGAAAACGAGACAATATTTCGTTACGATTAAGGAAATTTTAATAAAAAGTAAATAAATTGCGTGACGCCAAATTCGTGACGAGGGGTCTATGAAAATACGTGACGAATTTTTTCATAAAGTCGTTAGTCACACGAAATAGTGATAATTTTACTTTAAATTTTGGTATAAAATTCTTGACGTGCAGCTCGTTACAAAAACGTTACAAAATATTTATACAAATCGTCACGAAAACATCACGTTAAGTCGTGACACCAATGCGCAGTCGCCAATAGTCATATGTTCTGTGCATCTCCAGTAGGATCTCCATTTTGAATGATTGGTAACGACCCAAGCCATTGGTTTCTGTAGGTTTTTCTATATTTCTGCAAAGTTTTTAATGGTAAACAAAAGGATAGTTTAAAACCGTAAGTACTTTTGCTTTTCTATATTTCAGTAGCTTAAGACAATTGTCTACAATGCTAAACAACTCCACACTAATCTAAGAAATGTTTTGCTGTAGCAACAAAATATAAGTAACCACAACATTTTTAGTGTGTTAATATATCCTTAACAGATTTATTATTATAGCTTAAGTATTTTAAGTTGAATTTCTACTGAAAGAGGAAAAAATACATTTTTTTGTACGTGAAATAAAATTTAACAAAGCCATGGAGAAAACTACTTATTTCTTCTCATTTTGCAGGTCAATTAAAATTAAAAAATTGGTAACCAACATAACATACACTGTTTTACAGTCGACCCTCTGGACACACTCCACACATCTGGATAGGGGCGAACGAAAACTTTAGACTAAAAGACATATTGATGGCAAACACAATTGTCTTGGGTTGTCTCGGGGGAAAGAAATATTACAAAGGATGACGTTGAAAAGCACATTATGCACATTAAGCATACATATGATAAGATGAAATCACAGGTTTGTACTTCAGCTGAACCCTAGTGTTATTTAGGTAAGTTTATTATAAATAAATGTTGCAGTTAAAGAAACTGCAGAAATAAAATAAAAATTGTATACCTACTACATGAATTATTAATTGACTTCATTCATTTCATTTTTTAATTTATAAGAGAAATACTTGTTTATTTTGTTTTACTGTTTTTTATATTAGGTATATTCTAATAAAATAGTGTTTTATTCTACAGGAGAATTATATTTTTGTGTACTGTTTTATCCTTAAAATAGAAAAATAATTTAATTTTTTTTTTCAAAGATATGAAATTTGAAAACTAATTGCAATTATTGCTGGTTTTCAAAAGTGGAGGTATTTTTATTGTATAAGAGTAATATTTTTTTATTTTGTTAGTGTTTTTCTATATAATATATAGGTATTATAGTTTATTGTAGAATATGTTTTTATTGTTTTTCTAATAAAATATAATTCAGTTAAATGTGCTTTCTTTGCATTAACATTGCAAAACTAAACAATCCTAACAACAATATGTTATTATTTGGGGGTGTAATAATATTGTGTAGTGTAATGCAGTGCAGTATAGTATAGTGGGTTGTTCTGTGTATTGTGGAATTATTGCTTACCTTCAAAGTTTTGTAATTTGATTTCAACCTGATGATGAGGTTAAAATCAAATTACAAAACTTTGAAGGTAAGCAATAATTCCACAATACACAAAACAACCCACTATACTGTACTGTACTGCATTCAGTGTTGCCAACTGCTTGAAGTAGCTATGCACTATATAGCAATGAAAAATCCACTAGAAAAGCACCAAATTCACTTTGGTGTAAATCCACCCGATCAGTAATCTATGCAGTAGTCTGAATTTCACTCTAGATGAACTCAATGTATGAATGAGCAACAATGAAATAATTTCAAAATTAAACTTTATTTTAAGCATAGACATTTCCACACTGGTAAGCCATTTCTTTAGGGCAGGGTCCTTTAGCCACACTGTTCGACATTGTGGTTTCGGCATCTAAAAGTATAAAAACAATAAAGCGCTGATAATTAATCACTATTGAACTAGACCATACCATAGAAAAGAATATACTATTCCATAGAATAAGAATATACCATACTAGACTTCTTTTGTTTTTTGAAACAAACATAGAAAAATAATACATCGAAACAGAGGTTCTGTGAAAGAATTCAACAATCAAGCCAATCGCAGAGCAGAGGCAGCGCAGTACTACATTTATAATCTTTGATACTACCCTAAACCAAGTTTAGGGGTACTACCACCACGGGTGGTGGACTGTTGGACAGGGGCGTATTCAGATTTTCTGAAGGAAATGTGGGCTGTGGCTGAGTTGTATGATTGAAAAATTATGAAAATAAAACCATTGTATGAACGTCTTTTCATTGTTATTTACCAAATTTGGTTAATGATCGATGATGCACTAGATTTTGCACTAGCGCACCAAAATCGAATTCCGGGCACTAGATGGAGGTTTAATCCACCAGATCTAGTGCAATATGCACCGACTTGGCAACACTGACTGCATTACACTACACAATATTATTACACCCCCAAATAATGCAACTATACGCCACAATTACGTGACCAGTTCAGTTCACTATTCGGTAACGAAGCGTCGTGACGAAACCGTGACAAATCATCGTGAAGAATCCGTGGCGTATTCTTAACTACATCGTGAAGATTTTTATTCATATTAATGTAACGTATTCGTCACAAAAACTATGCTTAAATTTAGCGCGGTTTGGCAACTGTTTTTAATTAAATACGTTACGATTTTTAAATAACGTCCAAGTCACGACTGACTGAAAACGTCTCGTTTACGTCAAGATTTCGTTACGTTGTGCTACCTGGGATGGTATTCTCTAAGATGTCCCTGTATTGGAAACGATCCATTATACCCTCTACTTGAATCAATGGTCCAGCCATGGATCCAGAAAAGCATCCCCAAACCATAATGCTTCCTCCACCATGTTTAATAGTGGGAATTTGGTATTTAAAATTGTATCTCTGTCCTACTGGCCGTCTCACAAACGTTCTACCATCAGAACCGAATAAATTAAATTTACTCTCATCGCTCCAAAGTACGGAGTTCCATTTTGCCTGAGTCCAGTTCAAGTGGGATTTGGCAAATGCCAGACGGGCAGTTCTGTGTTTCTTCGAAAGCAGTGGTTTTTTAACGGCAACTCGACCATGTAGTCCCGCATCAATTAGGCGATTTCTCACAGTTCTGCTCGTCACATCAAGATTAAATTGTGTGGATATTTCTTCAGTAATTTGTCTTGATGTCTTCCGAGGATCTTTAAGAGAAAGTCTTTTTATTGTTTGGTCTATCATGACAGTAGTTTTTCTGGGACGTCCTGACTTGCGTCGAGTCTCAACACCACCTTGAGTATGAAATTTACTAAAAATTTTACAAACAGCACTCTGACTAATATTTAATGTTTTTGCCACATCAGATTGCGTTCGGCCACTTTGATAAAGTTCAACTATTTTTTGCCTAAATTGAACTGAAAAGTAAACGTGTTTAGGCATGATTACGTTGAAACGTACTAGAATTGTGCGAAAATATTAAGAACTAATGCAAAACTGGTCGCAATTGAAAGATTATTCCATACTTTTTTCCAAGCAAAAACTCAGAAGATAAAAAAAAACAAACAAAACAATGATATGCAGCAATTAAATAGTACGCTACACATTATAATTAAACAAGATTTCTTGTAACCAAATAACAAAAGTTTTAAAAATTGTTAGGGGCCTAAAATCCAAATATTAAAAATATTCCATACTTTTTTCCACCACTGTATACTTTCGATAATGATGACCATAGAAATAAAACTATAATATTATTTCTATGATGATGACACATTAATATCAGAAATATCTCTACATAAATGTTTGTGAATTAATATATACATGGAAATAATACTCTGGAGTATTATTTCTATGAATATATATGTTTACAAATATGTTTACCACAGACCAACAAACAGGTATATTCTTTTTATATGTCTATAGTTCCTTGGTAACCACAGTTCAAGGTTGGTAACTGTCTTGGAGAACCGTCAGATTTGACAAACCTGTCAAAATTAATTTGTTTATTTCAATTTGGGTAAATCAGAAATGGAAGAAGCTGAAATTTATATAGAACAAGTAAGTTATTTGTTATAAAACTGTAATTATTATAACTTTAATAATAATTTTAGCTTAATAGTATTGAAAATGCTCTAAAAACATCAACAAACGAAGCTGAAAGAGAAGAGTTATTAGGTTTAAAAAACAATATACAAGAGCTTTTATCTTTAACTGGTTATAATGGCAATGAAATAAGCTCAAAAGCTCCAAGAAACCAAACATTGGATGAAGAATATGCCATTTTTATGGTAGGAAAATTATTTATTAGTTAAACTCAAAATTATTTATTAGTTAAACTCAAACTTCTTTAACTCAATTTATTTCCAAAGTCGAATTTTTTTCATAAACACCGTTGTTTTGTTCCATTTTTTAAGTCAAATTTCTTTAACTAAAATATTTATAAAAAAACAACTTTCCTTGTAAACACAATATTGTGTATTTTCTCAAACTCAAATTTTCTCTTACTCAAGTTTTTTTGCTGGTCCCTTCAGATTCAAGTTTAACTAAAATGAAAACATGGTATATACATTGTATATACTCTAGGTTGTTTAAAAAAAAACAATTATTTTTTTCTTCTAATGGTGTTGTAAAATTAATAGTACATTAAAAAACAAAAATTTTGGCGCCTATTTGAGCCCTTAATATTAATATTATGGTTTGCCTCAATTCATTTGTGGTTTTTCCTTTTCAATAACACGGGATTTTTTTTTAATTTTGAATTCTTATAACTTTGGAATGGTTTGTTTTCGCAACACCCAAGCAAGAAGATTTATAGGAAATTTCATGCTCTACAAAAAACATCTGAAGGTCAAAGTTCTTCAGATCAACCGTTTCAAAGATAATATCTACACTTGGCTCTGTGATAATAAACTTTGTATTAATATAGCAAAAACTAAAAGTATAGTATTTGGAAGTAAAAGCAATGTAAGTAAAATTGGTAACCAAACTTTGTTACCTGTCCATATTAATAATGTAAAAATTGATTTGGTAAAAGATATTAAGTACCTACTAGGGAGTTAAACTTGATGAAAATCTAAATTTTCACACACATGCACTTTATATTACCCACATAACAAGAAAATATACATAGGATATACATAGGATATACATCTATGCATATTCGTATATTCGCGAATATCGTATGTATATACCATGGATATCCATAAAATATGATTTTGTCCTCTATTTGGATATCCATAGTATATCCATGACGTATATCTTATGTATATTCCTGGATGTCCATAATATATCCATGACATATATCAAGTACATTAAAAAACTCGTAATATGGACATCCATAGTATATCCATGATGTATATTCCTGAATGTCCATAATATATCCATGGTATATATTATGTATATTAAAAAACCCGAAAATGGATATCCATAACATATTGTTATTATATTAGGGTATGTAATAAAAATCTTGAAAAACAAAAAAAAATATTTTTTAAAAATACCTAAACAAACAAAAAAAATATTTTTTTTAAATAAACAAAATAGAGACTCTTGATTTTCCTAAAAATAAAAAAAATATAAATGCACTTCTCATTGAAAAAGAAATAAAAATAAATTCTTACCCATAGCGGATTTTTAAATTTAGCAAGGAGGCGCCTTACCACTACCAAACCAGTCATAAATCAAAAACATACTCAATACTTAAAAACTTAAACAAGATTTTCTGCATTTTCGATAATTAAACGTCAAGTCAATGCGCATGTCACATGGTGTTTGTGCATTATTTTTAAAATTTAAACTACCTGTCATATTTGTTAGGTTAAGTTTAAGTTTGTTCTCTTATAAATACTGTGAGTAAATAGTGCAGACGCGTAGCGGGAATTTTCAACACAAAATCGTTGGAAAAAGTAGCTCAAAACGGGATTTTTTTAAAACTAATTCAAATACCCAAAAATTTAAATAAATTTTACACAAAAATTAAACAGCAATAATAAAAATTTAAATTTATATTACAGTGTTTATGTTTCCACATAGTTTAATTTTTTATACGTTTGTCTTGTACTTAGTTTTTTGTTTAAAAGTTATTTATTTTTTTAATTAATTTTATTATTTTTCTACACAAGAGGGAATTTTTCAAACAAGTGGAGAAAAAACGATTTTTCAAAGGATACACTGATTCCAGTGTATATTCTAAGCTTATAATATAAAATTAAAAAATTTCAGTAAAAAATTAAAACTATAGTATACTATTATAATATAATATACTATATTTATATACTATAGTTATAATTTTTTATTATATAAAAGTTATACAAAGTATGTCCATAAAATATCCATAAATGGATATACATGAAAAAATGTATCAAGTACATCCATTTATGGACATTTTATGGATATACATGAAAGAATGTATCAAGTACATCCATTTATGGACATTTTATGGATATACATAAAAGAATGTATCAAGTATATCAATTTTATGGATATACATGAAAAAATATATTCAGTAAATCCATAAAATATTCACAAATGGATATACATAAATGAATATATCAAGTATATCCATAAAATATCCATATCCATAGCATGTTATGTGGATATGAATAAGATGTCAAAAAAATCATTCTTTTTAAAACGTGTTTTAAAAATCTCTCCCTGTCAACAAAACTTCTTCTATATAAATCGACAATTGCCCCACACATTGACTTTTGTTCAACAATTCTCTTTAACTTACCTGCATATAGAATTGGGAAATCCAGTGCATACAAAACTGATGTATGAGAACAGTATTGTATTGTAATAGATATATTCCAATTAAAACTATGTTAAATGTACTAAATTTGTTACCAGTTTGTGATAGAATATTGTTTAATACTTTAATGTTTATATATAAAATGAAAAACAATATTTATCAGTATTTGTGCCAAAATCTATCATTGGTTTCTGACAGAAACAGTTACACACTTATAAGTAGAAGTAGTAATAATTTTAATATAGGTATTTGTAGAACAACTCAGATGAAAAACACTGTATTTTATAAAGGATTGGTACAATTTAATTTACTACCAGCTAAAATAAAAGAAAGCTTTAATATTAAACATTTTAAGACAAATTTACTTGAGCACTTCCGTAGAATCCGTGATTAGATATATAAAAATTATTTATATTTTTATTGTTATACTGTACATATCTTGTGGACATTTTATATTTATATTGTTATGTTATTTTTTGTATATGTATGAGATAGCTTTCTTGCTAAATAAAGATTATTATTATTATTATATAAGCGATCAAAAATAACACTAATCAAAAAATTTCAAATATTTTCCAATAAAACTATAAAAATACATCATATGCCGTATTTATATTATTTTTTATGTAAAATCACTTTAATTCTGTTAACCTGAGACTTTAAACTTTTTTTTGCTAATTAATTCAATATGTAACTCACAAAAAGCACAAATACATAAATATAAAGATTAAAAGTATAATACTTGTTTAAATGATTTTTGGGTCTCTTTTATAACAAATTTATTTTATATTTTATAAAATTTATACATTTTTGTAAAAAGAAAATATAAAGTTCCTTATTACACTAATTAACCAAACACTCATCATTGTATTTTATTCAAAATAATAGAAAAATTATATAAATATATTAAATCAACTATAAAATTTAATCACAATTTTTTTATTTGAAAAATATCGACAGCTTTATTTAGCAGATTGTTTTTTTACGATAAAACTAAAACAAAAAAAACAACCAACCCAATCCAACACTTTTTAACAAAGGAGCAACAAATTTATAAAATAAAAAACCCGGTACCTCTCGCATGCCAAGCGACCGCCCTCAGAACGCGGCGTGGCATTGATAGAGCAGTATAATCGATGATGAAGTATAAGAAGTATAGAGCAGTATAATCGATGATGAAGAACAGCTTCAATATTTAGAAAACGATATCCTAATTGGAATAAAAGTAATTTTATACGACTGTAATATTTTCAAGTAAAAAATTTTTTATAACTAGTTGTTAAATATTGTTTTACTAACAGGACCAGTTTGATACAATTTTTATAGTTTGAAAATGAAGTGTAATCAATATTTAACCAATATTCCTAGACCATTGCGGTGTGTGTGAGTCATTTAACTTGAAACTTTGAAATATCTCAGTTAGTATGCATTTTACGAAAAAATGTTTCAAATAAAAATTAAATGATTCGAGGGGGGAAATCAATCAGTACTAAAATTGGTCCTCATACTCTCCCCCTTATAGGGGGAATAGGAAGTAACTTTAAAATTTCCAATGGAAATTTTTTATTACAGATTTGGATCATTCGACTAAAAATAGGTAGATTTTGTCTAAAACATATTTCATATTTGTAATAGATGGCGCTGTAATGAAAAAAAATCAATTTTCGATTTTTCTTCTTATACAATACTGCAATAATGTTTCTATAAAAATATCACTTTTTTTGGTAATAATTATCTTAAGTACCCACGATTTTTTAACTTTATTTCAAAGTTTCCTTTAGTTTAAGTTTATATATGTACATATAATATATATTATATATATTAGGGTGGTCGTTAAAAATTAATTTTTTTGCGACGCCCCCTATAAAGCTTCTTTTTGATGAAAAAACACAGGGAATTTTTTTTTTATTAAAAACAACACGTGCGTCAAGACGATCTAAGTTAATTTTTTGGTATAATCATATTTTTTGGGAATTTTTTATGAAAAATAAAATTTTATTCGAAATATAAACAATTATAGAACCCAAATCAATAAAAAACAATAGTTAATCGAAATAACAATAGACAAAAATTTAAATTCAAAATTTTGCCCAGTTGATTTGGTCTATTAAATAAAAAAAATAAAGATATTCAAATTGATATTTTTATTTTAAAACTAAATTAGTACAAACGTAATTTTAATATCTAGATTTCTTCACTCCAAGGTAAAGTTATTTCATTTTTAATAATTTTTAAATTTCAAAAAAATTATTATTCCATATTTTCAGAAAAGACATGATTATACCAAAAAATTAACTTAGATCGTATGGAGGCACGTGTTGGTTTTTAAATTAGTTTTAAATCTATAGATCAATGTATTTATAATTATATCCGTATAACTAGCGTCCGCTCTACGCCCAAGGGAGGCACGCGCTTTTTTGAATCTTACGTTCTCGTTGCACTTATAAACGGAGTGAAAAGTAACCTGCCCGTAGACAACCGGCCGCTAATTATCCGTATACATATTTGTGGACATTTGCAAATGCGTTTGCGAACAGGATATCATAAAAGTACTGTTTTGCCTTTACCCACAATCCACACAACATGGATTGTGCCTTTACCAGTCTGTATTGATGCCTGAACATTTTCCTAGAGGATTATGGACACAAGAAACGTTTCCCACATACTTACAGAAAATATCAACTTTGTGCACTCACGTAAACCGATACATAATTTTTGTTTTGTTAGCCCATATTTTTTTTATAAAAAAAATTATTTTGTACATTAATCGTATATTACAAACGTACGTTAAAGTTAAGCCTAAAAGTGAAGTTAAGTTGCATTTAGTATAAGTGCGCTTATTCCTCCTGCACATTTAAAAATATATTTAGAGTTTTTCTTCCTACATATGTAGAAAAAATCACGTGATAGTGGTGATATTACCGCTATAGCTATAGCAGCTATTATAAATACATATACCTAGAGCTCTACCCTATTAGTATATAAATAGTATTATTATTAGTATTAGTATACAAATAAACTAAATATTGAGCTTTATAATATTTAAAAAACACCCGCTTTCAGGAAAATGAAGATCAACATTTTTTTTTGCTTAAATTGACTTGGTTGGATTTTTATAAATGTTTAGAATTTTGTTTACTTACATTTAAGACAGGCAGTGCACTTTTTTATTTTTTTTACATTTTTTTCAGAAAAATGTGTTTAGCTAGCTTAATATGTATATCTCCACACAGCTGTGTTATCAATTTGAAATCCAAAATTTAATTCAATAAAAAAAGTTATAAAAATAATTTGAAATAAAATGTACTTAGTTCACAAACTTTTGACTCCAATTTTTTATTTTATTTTTTAATAAAAATTGTATGCTTTTTTTAAATATTTATGTTCGTTAAGTTACTTTTTAAAAGAAACCATTCCGATTCTTTGTTAAAAAAACAATACCATTAATATTTTCTTTTAGTCACTGTATAAGTTAAACTCTAATTTATAAACATGTATTACCAAGTGATAGTGTATAAAAATCATTTTAAGTATTTTTCTTAACAAAAACTAAAAAAAGTAACGAAATAGACATTGGTATCACAACGGACTACGATTTTAGAGTAATGCATAAACAAAATCCCTTGTAGTGGAGCTCACTTGCAGAATAACAACTTAGATTTCTAAATTGTAGACACCCTTTTTCTTTGACTATAAGCTGGTGAAGGTCCCTTTTAGTACTTGTATATTGCGTGGAATTTTCCCTTGGATGTAATCTATATCATAAGATGTAATCACAAATAATTTTAAATTCGTTTATCATAAAATACTTTTAATAAAAGCGACGGTAAATATCCACTTTGTTGTCGAAAAATTCTATTGCGTTACCCTAAATTTCATTGCGTTACCATAAGGTAACATAATGGACTCGGTAACGCAGTGGAAAAAGTTTTGTGAAACCATATTTAAAAAATAATAATAAGATATTACAGTAATTAATTACTCTCAATGAACTTTAGTGCCCTAAAATAAACATAAACATAAAAATAGTATTTTTTCTTACCTTATTTTTATTATTTTTTTGAGTAACTTAGCGGACAAACAATTATTACATTCGCGTTACCCGCACCTGTTTCAACCGATTGAATAAATAAATTCAGCTGGGTAATGTGTAGGTCCGAACATCATTTGTGGATCACGTGAGTGCCAAACAAGTTGCCATATATATGTTTTTTTTAATATTCTATCGGTAACGCAACGGAAAAAATGTCTGGGACATGAGTCAAATTTAAAAAAAGTATATAAAAATTAATTATTTTATATATAAATTATTTACTGTATTAACTAAGGATGTTATGGATTGCTATAAAGCAACACAAAGTTATGGTTATTCAATATTTAAAAAAAAACATGTATGTAAGTTTTATAAAACGCTAATGGGACATTCGAAAATGTGTGTTTCACAAGTTTCAAAATTAAAAAAAAAATATTCTGAAATAACTAAACAAACATTTTATTCAAATTCAAATTGGAATTCAAACTTACGGACAGCGGAAGGCGGGTGTTTTTTGAAAACGACCCATATTACACAGTGTGTCCACGAATCGGGCTGCCAATAGAAAAAACCTTTTTAATTCTAGTAAAATCTTATTTTTTAAGCATTTAGGAGTTTATATGAGTAATGCCTTTTTTGTATAACGCAGGATATTATTTTTTTCTTAAAACGCATAATAAAAAAGATTTTCCTATTGGCAACCCGATTCGGTGACACACATTATGTTAAAAAATGTTAAATCTAATTATTATGTGATATAATATGCATAATGATATTAATTCTAGAAAAACATGTATTTTTTAGTCTGAAATGACAAAAGATGGTGCAGTGGAATGTAGTAGTAATAATCCAAGGAAAAAATATGACTTAAGTAAAATAGAAGGTATGAAATGCCAAGCACCCCACACGCATCAATGGGGAAATACAGCTTACCATAATGCTATGGTATGCAGTGTTATTTCTGAAGATGTAAGTGATGAGGACAAAATAAAAGTAAGAGTTTTATTTATGAATCCAACTCACAAGGAAATGGTTCCTTGCCCATATTATTTTAAAAATGAATGTAAATTTTCTGAAGAAGATTGCCACTTTTCCCATGGAGAATCAGTATTTCTCTCTAGTTTGCAAGAGTACAAAGAGCCTAATTTCGAAAATGTTACTGTAGGTAATACAGTTTTAGCAAAGCAGAAAAATTTATGGCACAGGGCAAGGGTAAAAACCGTTTTTGATGGAAAATGTTTAATCAAATTTGAATCAAACCAAAAAGTTGTCGAGTTGGCATTTGATCAAATACTTCCTTTAACTGAAAAGAACTCCAATGAAAGTGACTCAAATTCAAGTGATGAAGATTTTGATGAAAATGAAAGGGATGATATTATAAACATGAGCTTAATGCTAACACCTGGGTCACAGGCTCTGGGAGACTGGGAAAAATTTACCAAAGGAATTGGGTCAAAATTAATGCAACAAATGGGTTACATAGTTGGATCTGGATTGGGGAGAAGATGTGATGGTAGAGTGGAGCCAGTTACTGCAGTAATATTACCGCCAGGTAAATCACTAGATCATTGTATGAAACTTCGGGAAAATGCAGGTGGCGATGAAAACTTATTTAGCGCGGAAAGAAAGTTAAAAAGAATGCAAAGGAAACAAGAAGAGATCAGTAAAAGAATGTATGAAAAAGAGAAAAACAAAGTGGATGTTTTCAACCTGATAAACCAAACTCTGTCAAGTTCCTCATCAAAAACACAAACAAAAAGTGAACATAGACAAGAAATTAAGAAAGAAACGTCGAGGAATTTAAATGTTGCTAGCTTGCAGATTGATGAAAATATCAGAAAAGTTGAGCAGGATTTGTATAAAATAAGAGAATCTCTAAGTAGACACAAAGAAGAGAAGTCTGTAGTTCATAAGCAGTTACAGGAAAAGTTGTTTGGCAAACAAAATGACCTGAAAACGTTAAAAACTCAGGCACTTAATATAAAAAATGAACAGAGCAATAGAAATGATAAGAAAAAATTAACAATATTTTAAACGTTTTTTATTTAATTAAAACTACCTCACAATAATGTTGAATAGTTTGTATTTTGTACTAGGTCGAAAATATAAATATAAATAAATGTTTTGTCTCATTTAAAATGTTTAAATTTAAAAAAAAATGTATATTTTATTGTTAAACTCACTTTTTCCGTGGATAATTAGTATTAATATATATTTTTCAAGAGTAGTAAAATGAATAAATTAGGCAGCAAGGATCAAAAACACTTTGTTGGAAAATATTGGAGCAAAGTTTATTCAAACCAGTATTTGCTTGAAAATCCTTAAAAAAAGGTATGGAATTAATCTGTATACTCTTGCGCAGGCGTGTGCCTGCCCACACAGAACACGCTATCCAATGGATATCCAATGGCTATCCCAATGTCCATATAACATCCATGCCTTTTACGATATCCATTGGATATCCAATGGATATCCATACTGGATGTTCAAAAAAAAACAAAAACATTAAAAATATTTTTTTCTTTTTTAAAATAGCCCCTTATAGGATAAATTTATGTAATGATTAATAAATATGATTTAAATCGTTATTAACCCAATTTCAACAAAGTATCTCTAATATATATCCAATGGATAACTAATGTATGTCCAAAGTATATCCACTGTACATCTAATGTATATCCACTGGATATCCACTGGATATCCGATGGATATCCATACTGGATGTTCAAAAAAAAAACAAAAACATTAAAAATATTTTTTTCTTTTTTAAAATAGCCCCTTATAGGATAAATTTATGTAATGATTAATAAATATGATTTAAATCGTTATTAACCCAATTTTAACAAAGTATCTCTAATATATATCCAATGGATAACTAATGTATGTCCAAAGTATATCCACTGTACATCTAATGTATATCCACTGGATATCCACTGGATATCCAATGGATATCCATACTGGATGTTCAAAAAAAAACAAAAACATTAAAAATATTTTTTTCTTTTTTAAAATAGCCCCTTATAGGATAAATTTATGTAATGATTAATAAATATGATTTAAATCGTTATTAACCCAATTTCAACAAAGTATCTCTAATATATATCCAATGGATAACTAATGTATGTCCAAAGTATATCCACTGTACATCTAATGTATATCCACTAGATATCCACTGGATATCCGATGGATATCCATACTGGATGTTCAAATAAAAACAAAAACATTAAAAATATTTTTTTCTTTTTTAAAATAGCCCCTTATAGGATAAATTTATGTAATGATTAATAAATATGATTTAAATCGTTATTAACCCAATTTCAACAAAGTATCTCTAATATATATCCAATGGATAACTAATGTATGTCCAAAGTATATCCACTGTACATCTAATGTATATCCACTGGATATCCACTGGATATCCGGTGGATAACTGATATGGATATCTTGTATATATACTTGTATGTATACATGTGGGATTTTGTGATGGTTTAAACTAGCATATGTAAAAAAACGACTTTACGTTAAATTGATTTTTTGCCAAGAGCTACGAAATTTTTAATTTTGAAATGTTCACTTTACCCAGATAATAATATTTATATATTAATAATATTATTTCTGTTAATAATATGACTATGACAGTCTGCAATACAATAAAAAATTACTTAAAAAAGTCCTTTTTGTTTATTATTGTATTTCATATATGTACTACGCACGCGCTGAATTTGAGAATCTTCAGTGTTGCCGGTTATAAGCAAAATAACTAAACGAAATATATTTCCGTACTTTATTAAGTTTTAATAAATAAATTAAATAAATTTAAAATAATTATTCACCACATTTATGTCAAATAGGTATACTAGGTATACTAATTAATTAAGTATTAAAGATTTAATAATATAACCGCCATTTTGATGAGCTTTCTGAAATTATTTAAACGTCTGACAACACTGCCGGCGAACACAGAAGATAAATGTCACCATATTACCTTGCCGCTGCATCTCGCCGCTGTCCAGGTCGCCCAACTAGTATATAGGTGGGCGGTTGCTTGGCTTGAAGCGTGTCTCTCGGCACCAACTGCCTGACACTGATGAGACCCAACAGGTCGAAACAGTCTGTCTGTCAGTGTTGGTGGGCATGGTACATTAGTCATTGTGCCATGTTAAACAAATGGGCTGATGGATTGGCCAAATTTTGGGGATCATAAGGAGACAGGTGAAATAGGCCCTAAATGATTAGGCTGATAAAAAGGCAAATGACAGCTGGAGGAGTGATGGCAAGCACTTCTTTAGTTATATGTAGTTTTCTGTTCTATTTTATGTTTTCATAAAAATAAATATTTAAATTAAAGAATAAGACTTTTATTTTAAAACCCAATGTTATTTATTGAAAAGTAAATATCCATTGATTCACCATATCCAATACAGATGACAACCATATTGCATACAATACTATATCCACTGGGTATCCATTGGATATCCACACTATGTCCAGGAGGGTCGGACATTTATATATCCAATGGTTATCCATTGGATATCCATACAATCTCCATATTGAATACAGATTACAACCTTATTGCATACAATACTATATCCACTGGGTATCCATTGGATATCCACACTATGTCCAGGAGGGTCGGACATTTATATATCCAATGGTTATCCATTGGATATCCCGGATATCCTATGTATATCCTGGATATCCATAAAAGAAATCCATTGGATATCCATTGGATGTAATTGTTCCGTGTGGGTGGTTAGTAAAAGTGCCTAGAATAGTCGGTGTTGGGTTAGGGTTGCCACGAGGGGTCAAATCCCTGGAAATTTTAGAGGGAATAACAGGAATAACAATCCCTTGCGGCGTCCATTTGTGACATTTGTAGACGGTAATTAAACGGTAAACTCACGCTGTTTTTGCGATAATTTCACGGTAAATTCACAGTGAACTCAAGTTTACAAAATCACCGCAAATTCACTGTCAAAGTACCGTAAATTTATCGTGAAATCACCGTGAATTCACCGTAAAAGCGCTGTGAGTTTACTGTGAAAACATCGTAAATTACTGTACAGTACCACGTGGTAATGTAAATAATAAATTATTTTAATTGTTTGTAAATGGTTGTTTACTTTTTAATAAATAGTAATTTTGTTGCTAATTATTAATAGACGGTATTAATAATTAAATAAAAAATTAATATTAAATATTAAGATTTTTTTATTTATAAACATTATTAAATAAATAATTTGTTTATACTTAAATATTGATGAAGCGCATTTATTTTACAAAAACTAAATTCACAAGTTCAACAGTAAAATTTAAAGGGTTTATAAACTTACCTGCCTACTTAAACATAATATTGTTATTTTGGAAGTTATAAACTACCAGTACATATTTAATAAACAAAGACATTGAAAAGCCAAGTCCGTAGTGGTTCCATTTAAAAAAGGAGGGATAGTATAATCTCCCTTGCGGCCTTGAGTTCACGGTTTATTCACCGTGAATAAACCGTCTGTGAAAAGTGCGTGAATTCACCGTCTAACTACCGTTTACAAATGTCACAAACAGACGGTTTATTCACGGTGAATAAACCGTGAACTCAAGGCCGCAAGGGATCTCCAACACCGGATTTCCTTCTTCTCTGGTAGAACTCTAAGAACTTTAAGAACTCGCCTGATTTCTTCAATTATACTGGGCTCCTCCTCCTCTTCTTCGACTTGCCGCCTCGAATTCCAAAGCTCGAGCCAATGCATCAACCAGTTGGCTCGGACGAGCCAATGTCAGAGCCTGTCTTGTTTCGTGTTCCCGAAGTCCATCCAAAAAGGCTTGAACTGCTAATCGTTCCATAACGGTCGTTGGAGTAGCTGGATATGCTAGCCGGACCAAGCGTGCAATATCAGCTTCGAATTCTTGTAAAGTCTCGTTTGATTTATAGCAGCAGTTCTTAGTTGGGAATGGTACACATGTTCCAGATGTGTCTGGCCATATCGCAGTTCCAGATGTTTCACCAACGCTTCGCAATCTTCTTGATCGTTGGGAGAAAGTGTTTGCAAGATGTCCATTGCATCTCCGCGTAAAGCAAGAGACAATACTGTAGCTTTTTCTTCTGGTAGCCAGCCATTTGCGTTTGCTGCTGCGTCAAACTGACGGATGTAGTTGGTCCAAGAAGTTTTTCCATCGAACTGAGGTGGTTTCATCCGGACTCGGCTCCCCTTTGACTTCCAATTTCTCGTTCAATTTTTCCTCTCTCGTATCCAATTCCTTACTTACGTCATTCAATTCCATCCTTACATCCTCTTTTAATTCCATCCTTACGTCGTCAAGTTTTTGTCCTATAGGAAGAGAAAGTATATATACTTTCTCTTCTAATTCATTGATATTTTCTAGAATCTTCTGTTCCAAATATTCTTTTAAATTTTTGTAATTTTCTAGCATTCTGTTGAAAATCGTTGGAATTTTCCAGCATTTTCTGTTGCAAATCATCCTTTAAATCATTGACATTTTCCAGAATCTTCTGTTGTAAATCAACTTTCAAATCTTTAGAATTTTCTAGCATTTTCTGTTGTAACTTGTTAGAATTTTCCAGCAGTTTCTGTTGCAACTCGTTAGAATTTTACAAAATTCTCTGTTATACATCGCTAGAATTTTCTAGAATATGCTGTCCCTTGCGGCCTTGAGTTCACGGTTTATTCACCGTGAATTCACCGTAAACTCACCGTGAATAAACCGTCTGTTTGTGACATTTGTAAACGGTAGTTAGACGGTGAATTCACGCACTTTTCACAGTATTTTAATTGTGAATCCACCGTATTTTGGCGGTATATTCACGGTGAATTCACAGTGAATAAACCGTGAACTAAAAGTCCGCAAGGGTAGGTATATCCTATAGGTTTAACACGACTATATATAGTCGTGTTAAACCTATAGGTTATAGCTAGCCATTATTCGTTACTGAGCAGATGAGGATTAATGTTCAGCTATGCCATTACAGACGCACACTTCCAACTAAATATTGCAACCCAACGCTATTTATAGTTAGCTCGCTTGCGTAAGCAGCCGTGAGATGTATTGAGTTCACCGTGAATTTACCGTGAAATCACCGTGAATTTATCGCAAAAACAGCGTGAGTTCACCGTTTAATTACCGTCTACAAATGTCACAAATGGACGGTATATTCACTGCACATAAACGGTGTATTCACGGTGAATTCACGCAAACGGTGAATTTACCGTAAACTCAAGGCCGCAAGGGTATATATTGGGCAAGATTATTATAATTATAATTTATGACAAAAAAATTGTCTAAATAACATGTATTTTCCTATAACGTATAGAAAAACCAAGTATGGCTAACAATTGTTAGATGTTAGGTGTTTAAGATACATCTATATACCATTGGCCATAATGGCCAAGATCAAAGCACAGAACATAAGGATTAAAGTATAGTTCTTGTAAATTTTTTTCTGACACCAACATGTGGCATTTTTACATCCACTAGCCCTGAACAACCCTCAGGCCAGCCCAATTTAGGCGGCTTAAAATTCATTAAATTTTTAGAAAATTCATTTATTCTTTTAAGCCCCTAATAACTATAACAAAGGTCCCTCGTACAAATACGAGATTTGTGTTCTTTCGTACGAGGTACGAGGACATTATCAACCGCTTCCAATTATTACAAGGGTCAAAATCGTGTAAATATCAAAATAGAAGATAAGTAACACATATTTTATGCAGCCTTACTTAGGCCAGTAAAAGCGTGTTTTGACCTAATACCGTTGAAATTTATTTTTTTTAATCGAAAGAGCCTAAATTTTTCGGATTGATCCGAACAACCCCCGCGCCGCCATTTTAAAAAAAACCTAAATTTTTGTTTTAATAACCGTTTATCGTACAGAGGCCACATACTTATATTTTATATTGAAATAAATTTGATTTGATGCGCTAGCTTAGCATGCGAGTGGTACCTGCATATACTTTTTGTGTTTTTAAACACCAATGTTTTCTAGAAGCAATTACGTGCTCAATACCAGCAACTGCCATTTATTCATCACAACATTGAATATAGCCTATACTCAACCCTCAAGGGTTAAAATCCTCAATTCACTGTAAAGTGCTTTGAATACAGTCAATATTTATTCGTTTAAAGTGGAGGGGACGCCACAATCCTCCGTCAATAAAGACATAGCCTCTTCCACAGTCGGTATGCTATGCAACCACGAATGCGCGGAAGTTGTATTCTATGATACAAAACGGCCCAAAGGAATTAAATTTGGCAAGGCTTTAAATTAAAATTTTAAAAAAGTGACGTTAGCAGATGTCAAATGAAATTGGCTTTAAATTCCTTGCACCATAATTGCTTCAGTTCTTTAATTGTTCATAATTCGTTTTTACACTTATGTATATTTCTTGTGTGCGACTATTGGTCAAAAGAGAAATCTTCCCTTTCTTTACTATTATATGGGGTTCTTTGGTAAAATTTTGTAAAAAGAACACTATTAGTATTTTTAATTTGGTTAAGACTTTATTTCACATTAGTTCTCCACAACTTTATTTACAGTATTATTAAATGAACCTACATGTTAAACTATCTAAGAATTGCATTATTTCTTGAAATTTATCACATGTTTTAGTTTTACCTTAACATGTAGGAGTTTGTAAAGTCACAAAATTTTAACTAATATCTACACATATAAATCATAAATAGAGATTACAAGGAAAAAAACAATTACAATTAATAAAAAGCAATAAGCATTAAAAAGAGATTACATAACAGACAAAAAAATATTAAAAAATACAAACAATATAAAAAATTATGTAAGAAACATGTATAATATTGTATAGATAAATATATAATGAATAAGCAAGTTATCCATGCAGTTCCTGAATTCGTAGTAAGATTCTTCGTTTCATTTCATTATATCTAAAAAATTGAAACATGTTATTAATCTAAAAAAATAAGTTCCTAAAAAGCTTACTTTTCTTTTAGTCTGGCAGCTTCACGCTCCTCCTGTGTATAATACTGATTTAAAATAGCACGACATTCAACCACAGAGAGGTTCAAAAATTGGGCAACCTCGCTGCTTACTTCGGGCGTGGTGTTTCCATCCATCAAATATAACTTGGCAACGTCTTCATGTGGTCCCAATACTACTCTTGTAAGGAGAGGGTATTCGTCGTCTTTCAAGCGTCTTTGTTCTAAAAAAAATAGGTTTGATAAATTATACTAATAAGGTTTTGTTGACGATAGAGCTCATTTTAGGTATACAAAAATTACATTTTTTTGTTCTGACAAACAGTTATATCTCTAGTTCTTACCTCCATTATCTCTGACAACAAAAAGGGCAAAATTATTCGGGTCACTGTCTACTTTGTACTTTTCCAACATCAAATTGATAATTTCCTGTGTGTTAACCAAAGATGTGACCCACACGCTCATCTGGCTACCATACGGAGGCGTAAAAAAACTCGTTTCCCTATCGTAAAAGTGGCCGTTTATGGAGCAACGCCTCTTAACCTTGCTGCGCGACAAGCGTTTGCCGGGCCTGCGCCGGATGGCTGTTGAACCTGTTTTTACCGGTCTGCGCATCACTACGTCGTCCGATTGCTCGGACATGGTCGAAAAATCTGCCGTACTCGCCAGGGAGGACCTTAAATAGGGTGAAAATTATAAATTTACCTTTAAGACAAGGGTTTTTTATCAGTGCAACTATTAATAGTAAAGTTAAAAAATAGAAAATAAAATTTACGATTTGGTAAGTAATTGTTATTTATCTTGATTTCTTTAACGCAATTTAAATATATTATAAACATTTCATGCAAAATTGCGGATTGCGGTTTTGAACAAATTATAACAAATAACTATAAATTACCGCATCGATTAAGAAAATATATAAAGTAAACATTATTCAGATGTAAATCGGCGCGTTAACGCGCAATTGCCAATAGACTTTAAAACTGTTTAAACCTCGCTAATTTTGCGAAGAGTAGGAACTATTTATAAATAGTTGTTTTGAATAATTAAAAGAAACTAATTCAATTCTCCCCATAGAAAAAAGGAGGTAGCGACAATTTTTATGGAATATTATCAATAAAGCTAGATGTTTTCCCCATGGGTACTTGCAAGTACACCAGTAAAAGCGTATATTGACTAGGGGACTCTCGGGACCAAGAGTAACTAATCCCGGGATCAGTCCCAAAAAAATATAAATCTTTCATTTTATAACCAATTTAAAATAAACGAACTAACGAAAATATAAATTTTAACAGTTTTACAAAATATAATTTAAAATAATGAACTAACTTTCAGACTTCGCACTAGTTGGAGGAATGGTTTTCAAGAATTCGGAGGCACCTTATAGATTGTACCCACGTTTACCCCCATTAGCAAATAATTCCATTTCTTTCCCTAGCTAAGAAGTTTTTCTATTTTATGTTTCAAGTTAGCGGCCGGCCTTTCCATTTTGTCGTTAGAATCCGTCGAAGCATGAATACGAGGTGTGTTCAGAAAATAACGGGAATTGTTAAATTTGGCGGGTTCGGAGGGTCCGGTTGTCATAAAATTTTCTTTATTATGTTGGTATACATGCCCCCGAAGTATGATACAAACTTTAGCTATTTTCATTGTTTACTTTGTCTGTGGCAGCCGCTAAGGTTAGACGTGTTTTATGAGCTCGGCGATTTTCGTTCGTTAAAAGAAATGGAATGCATCAACAAAAAACTAAATAAATCACAAAGTTTCAATACCTATTAAATTGCGCTCTTAACACTTTCTTTGCTGACTTAGGGAGCCTTAACGACCCCCTGGTGCTGACATATTTTTGTTTCGAATTTCTGTAAAATTCGTTTACAGAACACTTTAATAAATTACATAAGATATGTTTTGGTTAAAATCGGTGCCCGTAGAGCCATGACGGCTTGAGCCGTCAAAACTAAAACTGCGCTAGAACAACGCTGACCTCTATATAATAATAATAATATAATATATCAAAAGGTTGCTGCGTACGCATGACTGCCTGGGCCGTCAGTCGCACATATTAGCTACCGCGCATGACAGCCTAGGCCGTCAGCCAAAGTGAATGTGTTAATAGACATAATTTCAAATAACTTTAATTTGTTACCAACAAATTATAAGGCAGAAAAGAGTTAAAATCTTATTTCTAAAAAAACCTCGAAATGTGTTAGATTGTCCAGCCTACGATGCATTTTATAGGAAAGTTCAAAAGCTACAAAATTTCAATAGGAAATGTTTGTTAAAAATATAGCGCAAAAGGGGTAAAAAAGAAGAAAACCATTTTCCAAAAAAATGCTGAAGGTTTTTTAAATATATTTAAGCAACAGCTTTAGGGGGGGTAAAGAATTTGTGATATCGTCACAGCATGGTTAAACATAATCTATCAACAAAATTTCGAGCAACAAGGTTTTTTCAAAAGTAAGAAAAATTTAAAAAAATATATATTTAGTAAATTTTGTGGAACCGGGTAGATCGGAACTGCAATGCAATGCTGATTTTTAAATGAATTATTTGGGGCATGTTTAAAAATAATCCACCATCAAAACCTAGCTACTTGGTTATAGATAATTTTAAAAGCAAATAAAATATACGTGTGCGATTTAAGACCGCAACACCAAAATATATTTTTTAAGACCTGCTAAGACCGAATTTCGAAAAAGTGTTTTAAAGTGTTTTAAAACATGAGTCATGTTTTTTCATAATTTTAGTTTTTTTAAATTTCGTGATGATACCAATGGAGATGATTATCGGCCAGGTTTACGCGTTTTGCGTCCACTACGTGTAACATTAACTTTGAGATCTGTACTCTGCTATTGATGTTAGATTTAACATCAGACACTCCCGCACTCTCTTGATCACTTTTGTTCAGAACTGTTTCACCCTTGCACGTATCTTCGCTTTCCCCGGAGATGAATCCAGTGTTGCCTCAAAACAGACCCCTGCTTAAAATACCCCATAGAGACCCTGTTCAAACCGATAGATATTTGTATCGGATTGTATGGTGTTTCTATAAGGTGTATCGGTATGTATAGGACCCATAGTTGGGATTTATGGTTGTTCTATAGGGATATCCACCCTTGATTTATTTGCTATTGGTTTCAATGGGGAAAATACACATAAATGTAGAAATTAGTTTTTCCCCCATAGGACCCCATAGGTTTTAATAAAATTTTGTCAAACGTTTTATGGTTGCTCTAGGGATATCCCTATATATCCTTCATTGAGTTATTTGCTATCGGTCTCAATAGGGAAAATGTAAAAGTAATGGTGTGCCTATATAGGTAATTTCCTATAAATTGTCTATCGGGCCGTATCCGGAAAAATCCATGTACAAATGCACATATTGAATCCGGTAGCGCCCGATAGATTATTTTGTATATGTCTCTATAGGGTATTTTAAGCAGGAAATGGACGGAATCAATTCAATTAGATTAACGCCCTTATCCAGGCAATGATTCAAAGAGGGACCACTCTTGTCTCGTGCTGACGCGTCAAATACCGGTCGTATACGCGTAGTAGAATTATCCTTTATAACCGGTCGATGTGGTGAATAATGTCTCTTTCGTGAATCTGACTCCGTCACTTCCTTTATTATTCCTTCGGACAACCACAGTTTAAAAATATCGTATGCTTCGTATAGTTGGGCACCACGTAACTTTCTTACAGTCGTTTCTAGTCTCTTCGTTGCTTGCTCAAAATTAGTAGGTAACGCAGAATGATCTACCAAGCAAGGAAGCTTCATTTCGTATCGACCTTCATTATTGATAGTGACGGTATTCAAAAAGAATTTCTGTACTGACAGCGCCCAAAACTTCTAAATCCCAGAGGTCAGCTATGGGTGTGTCTTTTACCAAACCGGAAAATGTCTTATTAGTCCGCAATAAACTAGTAGGTACGTGATTTTCCTATCAATGTCCAATCCAAAATTGTTTCCATGGCCACCACACCAGATTTCAAAATTTCTCGTCGTCCCGTATAAAGAGCGCCCGCAAAATCAGCGCCTATGAGAAGCTCGACAGGGTCGCAACCGTCAGCATCCCTTATCTGTATGCCGACGGATTTAAGTTCATCATTATATAGTCCACGTGACATAGATGAAACTCCCTGACATATTAATTTTTGGTCAAGTACCTCCATCTCACAAGAACCCTTCACCAACTTAATGTCGTAAAAATTATAAGAATCCATGATTTATCGTCTCCTTTCGTTTTGGACCATAACCAAGCGACGCAGCGATGGTTTTAAGAATATGAGATGGTTGCAATCCACTATTGATCAATACTCGCACAGAACGAAGGCCATTTGTTGTTTCAATATTTACATGTAAGGTTTGCAGTAGCACCTCATTTGTCGATTGATTCTATAGCGTCTGATCAACCTTTTCGACTTTATCAATTTTATCATCTGCTGATGATTCATTCGCTCGCTTATGGTTAGGTAAATTGGCATACTTTAAGACAGCAATAACAAGCCCTTTTTCTGCTACCCTCTTTTTTCTGCTCCATAGACATTTTCTGAGCCTTGAAACAAACTGCGCTCTCATGTGAGCCCTAACAGAAAATACATTTGTTGAACTCTGCAGTTGGTATATTGTGTAGCTTTTTTGCTCCATTTGTTTTTGTTTGTCCCCCTTTTCACAAACGTCCCTTTTTATTGAGTTTGTCATGGAACGATGGCCAAAACCCTCTGCTGCAAGCGTAATGCGCTGCTCGTTTTCCACTTCAGCTTTTAGAAAGGCCATTAGTTTTTGGAGACGGTCCTCTAACGTCGACATATTGTTAGTTGAATCTTATACCGCACTCGGCAAGGCGAATGGCAACCTTTGCCAGACCCTAAAGATCTTCCGGTAAACACGATACTATAAGTGGGAATATTATCGCGGAACATTGACCAGAAGTAATTCCAAGTGTGTCCAATGCCCGCAATTGCGTCTTAAGTTCGTCATATAACGACGAAATTTCAGGCCTACTTGTTGTTGCGCTAACCAAAATTAATCGTAATAAACCGCGAACGTACACTTCGATTTGAAGATCCTCACGACCGAAACGCGCTTTAAGACTATCAACGATTTTCTCGTAATTATCGGCGATAGCGGGAAAACTATCGACGAGTTATCTTGCCCGACTACCAGGAACCGTTGTCTGCGTTAAATAGTCTATTTTATCGTTTTCGCCTATATCGGTGGGTACGTGCAGTTTTTTGAACTGCCCTCAAAAAGTCAGCCAGTCTTTAATGTTGCCGTCAAACTTTTTAAACTCAATAACAGGTAATTTAAATGTACGCTTACCCGACTGCCGGTGGACAGCCCCGATCTTCTACCAGTAGCTTTTCACATTTCACCTTTATTTGTGTAAATTTCCTGATATAAATATCACATTCGTCGACTTCGGTGACCAAGTCTTGTTCCTCCGTGTCCACCTCCAAAAGTCCAGCATAAATTATGGCATCAGCCGCTCTCGAGTCTTCGTACTTTCGTACTAAACTGCGCACCACTCAATGTGTCGCGACCAAAAAGTTCGTTCTTTTTCAAAACGACATAACTTTTTTGTTTCTTGAACGATTTAATTTTGGTTTGTGATGTCTGCTAGCCCCATCCTCTGGCAATTTATGCTATAGATATGAAGCTCACGGTTGGTCAAGTAAACTTCCTACAGGGTGATATGTTAAACGGTGAAAAATTTCAATAACTTTATCCAAGCCCCGTTTGTAAAAAAATAATTTTTTTTGTTTTTACTTTGAAATAATGAAGTATTATGTGTTACCTTGAAACGTTTTTCAAATTTTTCGAATTGGAATCTTAGCAACGAAAATATGATTTTTTTTCCAAAAGAGTACATTTAAGGCTTTTTTTTAGGTAATACACTCAGTCTTTTTAGGAACAAGAAGATAAGATGGTAAAAGATTGTTCCTTAAATAATTTTGAACAAGCGACAAGCAACAAACTTCCATTATTTTCAGAGGGCCTGCTAAGACCCCTTTTTGAAAATGACATTTTTGTGAAAGTTTGCAAAAACTAAACCTAAACCGATATTTACTTTCGTAAAATGTTTTCTTCATAATTTTGACCTCCTGATTGTGATTCAGTTGTCAAATTTAAGTTTCAGATAAAACCAAAATCACTACGAATCAAGATTCGAAAACAATTCCCGGCTGTTAAATGTGTCAATAAAATCCGATTGCTGGTTTTTACTGTTTTTTTACATATCGTAAATGAGTATTTAAGGGACCACCATATTGAGAAAATTAATTGGCCACCTTTGTCTCCGGATATGAATTCTATTGAGCATGTGTGGAGCAGGATAAAATTGAAGATGAAATAGAGGGAAGAAGGCATGGAAAATTTGGATGAATTGGTAAATGCTATTAAGGAAGAATGGGGTATCCCAGAAATTTCTATGGAACTTGGTCGAGGGAATGACCAGGAGGGTTAACGAATTATTACGGCTTAGGGGAGGGCCAACGAAATATTGAAAGGTATTATTGTTATTGTTTGTTACATTTTTCTGTTGAATGTTGAAGTTTTGATTATGATTATATCTACGCATACAATTTTCAAAAATGAACAAAAATATTTTTATTTAACTTTATTATAAATTAGGTAGGTAGGTACTTATCAATGATGTTATCACTACTGCGCAATGTAAATGTAAGTTATGTAACATTATCCTAACCACTCAAACAAATTGCAGTAATTTCGCCAAAAAAATGAATTCCCAAATGGAATTTTCATCATAAATATGCAAGAAACACGACAGCAATCGGATTTTATTAAGAAATTTAACAACAGGGAATTGTTTTAGAATTTTGATTCTTGATGATTTTGGTTTTATCTGAAACTTAAATTTGACAACTGAATCACAATCAGGAGGTCAAAATTATAAAGAAAACATGTCACGAACATAAATATCGGTTCAGGTTTAGTTTTGGCAAATTTTCACCAAAATGTCATTTTGAAAAAGTGGTCTTTGCTTAGGCCCCTCTGAAAATAATGGAAGTTTGTTGCTTGTCGCTTGTTCAGAATTATTCGAGGAACAATCTATTACCATCTTATTTTCTTGTTCTTAAAAAGACTGAATATATTGCCTACCAAAAAGCCTCCTTTTTTAAAAAAAAATCATATTTTCGTTGCTAAGATTCCAATTGGAAAAATTTGAAAAAAGTTTGAAGGTAACACATAATACTTCATTATTTCAAAGTAAAAACGAAAAAAAATTATTGTTTTACAAACGGGGCTTGGATGAAGTTATTGAAATTTTTCACCGTTTTACATATCACCTTGTAGGAAATTTACTTGAAGAACCGTATGCTTAATATCTATAGCATGAATTGCCAGAGGATGGGGTTAGCAGACATCACAGACCAAAATAAAATCGTTCAAGAAACAACAAAGTTATGTCGTTTTGAAAAAGAACGAACTTTTTGGTCGCGACACATTGAGTGGTGCGCAGTTTATTTAACATATTCCAGGCCACTTGGGTACCCTCAATGTCTATCGGTTTTTCCTTTGTGCTTCCATCATTATTATTACAGGTTAGTTTGATTCAAAATGACGTACTTTCATTAAAATACCAATGCAAAAGCGGTATAAACTCATCTCGTACTTACTCACGTAACCGTACGACGAACCAACTGTAAAAATTGTCCTGTCACGGTCGCCATTATGTTCCGTCCACAACCAAAACTACCCGTTTTGTTGTCTTACAACTTTTAACCCTGGTGTCTGTGAGACTCGAGCGTTTTAAGATCGCGTGGGAAAAGGGCAGAGGTGCAGATATATAAAACCGATTCTCAGTACCTTCCTAACATTCAGTACATTACCGTTTGTAGCAGTTAAAACATCAGTAATATTTTTCTATAAGACTTGGTGTGCGTAACATTAATTTCGTATAATATATATATAGGTATTGAGCTCAAACTTCTATCCATTTAAAAAAAAATTGCCTTATGGTCGTTTTCTAAATTTCAATTGAAATTTAGAAAACTCATTTAGTAGGGCTTAGCACAGCTGAGTTAGCAGGCCTTGAAAAAATAAAAATATGATAACGCAGAGTGCGTCCGCAAACCTTGCCGTTTCGAGAGATATGCAGCGCACAATAAAAAGTGAGAATTGTTAAATTATAATAACTCTAAAATGACAAAAACAAGAACATAACTTCTTCTCTTGAATCATTTTTGACAAGCAAAGCTATTTTATGATAAAAATAACTGTAGAAGGACATATCGTCATATCCCTGCCAAAAGTCACTAACTAACATTTTATTATTGATCTTCAAGATAAAATAAATAAGCAAATACATATATACAGATAGATATATCTATTACATCAGTTTATAAACTATAGTGATTTTTTACCATGCAAAAACGACCATTTTTTATTATTCTAGGCATCTAGTGGCTTTTAAATATTAAACATATGGTAAATTTGTATAGTTAAGTACAATTTGTTATCATTTTTCAAAATGTCAGTTAGTGACTTGGCAGGAATATGACGATATTATGGTTTTGTATAATATATTATGATCTATAAAGTTAAGCATGTATACATAAAAAGTTATACAAAACATGTAAATGGTGTACTAACGCCATACCCCACACCACACGTTTAGGAATATTTTTTTAAAATTTTTAGTTAGTTTTTGATATATAATTTATAAAGCATTTAAATTATAAAAACTTGTTAACGCTGTCTGCCCAGTAAGTCGGAATATTCTACTTTTTTTTAGTTTTTACGATTTAAATAAGGCAGTTAAATAAATTGACATGGTTTGCAGATGTATTTAGTAACAGTTTGTGTCAAAAAATTAAAATTTTTATTTTTAACCAATTTAAACGCACAATTTTGTTTGTTTTAATGGTGGATCATCATAGCATGAAGAACAAGTAAATAATATAAAACAATAGGTTCACGTAAAATGAATTTGCTGTAGTATGAAAATTTTTATATACTAAACAATATCTTTGTTACCTGTCAAATTCAGGTGATTGAGGATCTCTTATCCTACCCAAACAATCAGGCCCTGACATGGAACGATTAAGACTATTACTACTGGGTACCCAAAAATCATCTTTGCTCATTGACTTTGACATAAACGGTATTGTTTTGTCATCTGAGGTAGTTTCATTTTCATTTAAAGGCACCAATGTTTTAGTTTCTTCTGTTGTAATATCAGTTTTTGTACTGTTATGAGTGCTAAAATTATGTATTTTATTAGTATTAGGAAGTTTCCTTGCAAGCTGAGCACAGGAATTGTGAAAGTATAGGGAAATCAGTCATTGAAACATTATTTTCATTAAGGTTTAATGCAAATAATTTTTGAAATATTTTTAAGTTTGACTTTACCTCTCAGTTTTTGTACTACTACTAGAACTACTAGTTTCAATGCTAGATTGTGATGGTAAGGGCACTGGCATAGTTTGATATAATTTTTCTGTATCATCAATTTTCCTTTCCACTTGCAATAATTCATCAAATTCATCCCATTCTAAATTTTTTACAACCAATTTTGAAGGTAAAGTTACACTTTTGGGTAATATTTCATGCATTGAAGTTGATGGGCTATTTTCTGGAGTAATTGACGAATAATCAGTGCCACTTTCTATTCCTTAAAATAAAAACATAACAAAATTATTTGCATTTAAATATAAATTTAATAATACCTGTATCTGCTCGGCTTATATCACAACTAGTACTATTTGTACTATTAGAACAAGTTGAAATGTCATTAAAGCTGGTATCTCTGGATATGTTTTGTATTTCATCGTCAGTATCAAATTCAGGACTAGAACTCCGACATGAATTTCTTTTTCTAACGGTTATAACAGTGCGCTGGTCATCATTTTCTTTTAAATGTATAACACCTTGAACACCCCAGTGAATTCTTAGAGAGCCTTCCAAAATAAACCTGCCATTTACCTCTCTGCATCGAATTTCCGCACTTTTACCCTCAAAGAATTGATTGTAAACCTAAAAACTTTATTTATTAACTATTGTTTACCATTTTTACAAGACCAAAAGATTAAAATTAGTTATAGACTAGGCGGAGAAATCACATATTATCGCCGAGCATAAATATAACTGCCGAGGCAGTAGATTGTGTGAGAGGCAATAAATAAGCTTTCGCCGCCAGGTTTTTATTCTATTTGTTTTTCAAGCCTACAAAAGGAGTCCGAACTTCATGTATATAAAAATCTTACTAAGATAAGAGGGCGCTGGTGTTCCGTTAATTGTTTGATTTGTTCCGAAACGCTACCAAAACAGCAGACGTCAGTACGCATTGACAATCAGCGCCGCTGGTGGTGAAAAAACCAGACTTAATTTGTGCAATTTAGTGGGCACTGCCCACTGGGCAGGTTTTGTCAATTCCCCTATTAAGTTCTCCTTGTGTAGGCTCCATGATAAAAAAGCAAATTAATTAATTAACATGGAGCCTATACAAGGAGTCTGAACTTCATGTATACAAAAATCTTTCCAAGATAATTAATTAATTAATATGGCAAAATCTCCTTTCCTTATCATCGCCGCGGCGGTTTAATAAGAATTTATTAATATACCACCGGCGGTTTAGTAGTCACTTTCATTACTTATTAATAATAAGTTATTATTTAATTGTATTTAAACAAAAAATTAACCCATCGTGAAAATAACATATTTTATTGAAAAAATCTCTTTTGGAAAAAATATGAAACTTGAAATAAAAATTGTCACAAGGCTGGAAAAATTGAATTTTTCACATTAGTTGAATTTTGTTACTTCTAAACAATAAATATTTTCATTGAAAAGCCAACAATTTTTTAGAAAAAAGTAGGTACTGTTTGTATTTTTATAAAACATTTACATTAAAAAAAATAACAAAAAAGTTTTTAAAAAATCATTAGGTTCTGGGAAAGTAGGTACTTTATATTAAGAGCTCAAATCTTCAGTGAGTCATTATTTTGATGTTATAAATGTATTTGGTGGAATATTTATATATACATTATATATATATGTATATATATACATTATATATGTATTTATATGGATTTTATAAGATTTATTTAGTTGCTCCTTATTTTTAGAACAAACCTTAATTTTTGATTCCAAATGATCCCTGGGAAGTTGTGGTCCATTACCAATCTTTGAAGATTCTTTTTGAGCCCCAAAGCTCTTATGAGATTCTACCCTAGTGCCATGTCCAAATAATTGGGGACCAAATAAGGCCCCGTAACAGGGTACATGGCAGTAAGGGACACCTTTGTGTTCAGCATGTTGCCCAGGGTTTAGTCTTTTTCCACATTCCTCACATCTTAAGCATTCTGGATGCCAGTTGTGCCCCAAGGACTGTTTTCTCTCAGCTATTTTAAGTTTAATAAAAACATTAAATACCAGATTCAGTTTGTATACAATTTTTGATTTAAAGGGTGTTTTTTTAATTTTATTTCAAATTATAAGAGAAATTCATTGCCAAACAGTTTAAATTATGGAACACCAGCAATCAATTACAAGAATACAAGGAGTTTTGGATTTGTTTATTAATGAAAAAAATCGTAAACACGGATGACTTTAACCTTTTAATGAAAAATCTTTTCGCGCTCGATAAAATTAACATTGTTAATTTTGTTTGTCTAAACCTGTCAATTCTTTTGAGTTTATATTACAGGAAAATCAGTGTTTTAAAAAAATAAATAGGATTTATTACACTTTAAAATTGTTTATATTGCATCAGTGCAGAACTCTTAGAAAAACAGCTGTAGTTAACCAAGGATCATCATTCCTAGGTCGATTTTTTTTTATCGGTAATCTCGTCACGAGAGGGTTGCCAGATATTGTTGACAGTAAGAGCCAACCTTATAAATAATAGCCCAAAAGTAGCCGCATTGGCACTATTATATTATATAAAAATTATACTTAAACTTTACCTGCATTCAATATATCCAGCAAAGCAATATTTGTTATGTTATTTCAATTAGACTAAATAACTGTCATTGACTCTGACTCGGTCTCGCACGAGACCATAGAGACCATTAACAATTGCTTCTCTCTGGCCGAGACTAAAAAATCAGGTTCGGTCGGACAATTACAATAATGACAATTATTTAGTCTAATTGATATAACAAATATTGCTCATCTCAATTGATTTAATGCATATAAAGTTCAAATTGTTGTTTAGAAGAGATTAACATTTAAAAAAGACTTAACTATTTAAATACGTTCTTGGCAAAAAGGTAATGGTTACTCAGAGCTCGTTCTCGTTTTGGTCGCCCATGCTTCGCGCTTTGAATTTCCGAGTTCTGCGAAGTTTCGGCCATGGCCGATAATCTCTGATTTATGGCCGAGAATGAACAAGACCGAGATCTCGGTCGGACCTTAATTGGCATCCTAGATCATGGAGCCTACACAAGGAGTTGTATATAAATGATTTCCCTAAATAAAGGGGGCGCTGGTGTTCTTTATTTGGTTTGTACTTAAACATTGTAAAAAGGTAAAACATACGTCAGTAAAAAATAAAAATCAGCGCCGCTAGTGGTGAAAAAAAACACATAATTGGTGCGATCTAGTAAGCAGGTTCTGTCAATTCCCCCTATTGAGCTTATACCCATTGTGTATGCTTCATGCCCTAGATAAATAACTTTAATAATGTTCGAAAATAAAAACGAATTGCGAACTGGCAAATAAAGAAAAATAATATTAAATAAATTTATTCTTCTTCTTTTGTTGCGTAAAGTTAATATTAATCTCCCTATAAAATTTCGCGCATGATCAATTGGAAAATGTCTATTTATATACTTTTAACCAATTGCAGCCCAATTACAGCCTCTTTGCTAAAAATGTAGCCCAAAGTAGTAGCCTGTAGCCATCTGGAATTTTTGAGAGCCAAATAAGACATAGAGTCTCTATGATAGAGATACACAGCAAACGGAAAAATATAGAACTGTATAGGATGACTCCGCGTTTGAATACTAAATCTTAAAGATTTATCAGAACTGTATTGAATCGTGCTTTGTTTTTATATTTTTCGGCTCTATACCTATGCCCGACTATATTTAAAGTCAAACTCAATGGTGTCTTACAAGATACATTATTTTGATTTTCTATATATATTCAACAGAGAGGTAGAAACTCGACCCTGTCGAATGGTGCAGTCATTTATGTCTCTAGAAATTATTGAAAAAGGGTTCAGTCCAATGGTGCAGCAACTTCGGATTCCTATTCTCTTCAGAGACATAGAAACTCAAGCTTTTCGAATTTTACTGGCAATGATTTTCGTTAATGTCCCCGAGAATTAAACAAAAACAGCGAAATGCAATATCGCAACGGTTTCGACTTCTCTTTACTCTTCCAAGTTATAGAAACTGGAGTCTCTCTAATACTGTTCTAGTCAATATTTCTGAGTATAAAAAGAGGGTGTAATATTGCAAGAAGTTTTGATCTTTTGATGGATGCAAGTAGTTTGAATTTTCTCATTTCTGCATATGATTTTGTTGAAAATAGTTCCTTTCTTTGGTTCCTTTGTCTGATTTTTATTTACCGTAACAACTCGCGGGTATGTAAAGCACAGAGGATATCAGTGAAAGGCATAAGGGGATAAGTCAAAAAAAGCAATTTTTCAGTAGAGCCTTAAACGTATTCGCATTAATCCAGGAAACATATTTATGGTTAGCGGGTATACCCTTTTTTTAGCCCATGTCATATGCTAACAAAAGCGTATATCCGCTAAACATAAATATATTTCCTGAATTAATGCGAACACGTTAAAGGCTCTATTGAAAAATTGCTTTTTTTAACTTATCCCCTTATGCCTTTTACCCACAGATATGATGTAAAGTATATTTATGTATTTTATAAAGTAAGTACCTATATTTGTATTAAAAATTTTAGAGGTTATGTTGAAAAAATGATCGATATGCTATTAAACTTTAATAATTTAGTAATGAGGTCTGTTGGTAGACCCTGCACTATCTCCACTGGTATATGTTAGTACAGCAATATTTAAATCTGGTTGATGAAAAAGTACACACCAGTGCAGGTTATTGTAGCATCTACGAACAAATGAATTAATGGCCCATTGGCAATTATTCATTTAGTAAAAATATTCAACACAGCTTAATTCACAATCATGTCTTATATAGTTTTTTTTGAAGCATAAAATAGTTTTCATATTAATACTAGTTCAAAAGTGAAATTACGACCTCTAAGTATACTGTGGAGAGTATTGAAACGCTCGACTGACGAATACAACTCTATACCCTGGTGAGATTTAGAAAACTGTATTCAAATGTGGCGTCATCCAATACACTTCTATATTTTTCCTTTTGCTGTGTAGCCCAATTGGCTATAAATAGCCCAATCTGGCAACTGGATTCCCGTGCAATTGCTATTTGTTGATGCTAACATGTGTCTAATAAAAATAAAATACCTATCGAGTTATTTTATATGGAAAATATACTGAGACAAAATTATGCACAACCAGGGGGTAACTTTGCACACCCAGTTTTTAATTTTGCAACCCAGCCCTACGTAATATTATAAAATAGTTATTATGAAAGAGAAACTCAAGACTCAAATTTTGCTATACAATATTTAATGTTTATGATTGTTAAAACCACAAAAATTTTAAGCTTAAGTGAGCTAAAGCCACCCATGGTTAAGGTAAATATATTTAACCACACTACACATTTTCAGCCAACCTATCATGAACATTTTAGAAATATTGATTAAAAGTTACATTATTAAGTAAATAGAAACTTATTGAAAATACTCTTGCTTTCTGTAATTAATCTCTGATTTCAAAGTAGTAGTAGTAGGTTTTTTTACCAACTTTTTACTGAACAGTGAATTTCTTCATAATTAAAATCCTAAGTCTAGTTTTGAAATCTAAAACAAAAATAAAAAAACAAATTAATTAAATCAAAAAATTTTAATATCACTTTTTAGGACAACCTGTAATGTAGAGGGCCACAAAATAATGAAAGCAATAATAATAATAATGAAACAAGTTTTAAATGGGTTGTTTGAAACAACCCATGCAAATGTTTTTTATTTGGGTACGTTTATATAAAACTTACAAAAATAAAAAAACATAAACCAAACAAAGTGCATGACTGGAGTGTAGATATTAGTAATATTGTAAATACTTACCAAAATAAACAGGTTTTCCACACTTATGACATTTCCACATGATTAACAATTAATTTAGTAATTTAAAATACACAACAGAAAAACTAAACGTAAAATAAAATTGAAAATGAAACATTTGTACACAATTTTTTCACGGAATGTCCATCAGATGATTTCATTGACACGCCTGTTGCCAAGTTTATCACAATATCATTAGGCAACCCAGATTACACGTTATTTAAATAATTAAAATAGGGTTGTTGATATTATCGATTATTTATCGATAGTATCGATGTTGGACAATCGTACAGCACTATCGATAGTTGCCACTGCGACTATCGATATTTCACGGTTATGTTTTGTTCCTCCCTTGCAGCACACTGTTACCGAGCAAAGCAAACACTTCTTATCCTTTTCAGGCCATACTTTTAAAACAGGCAGAAAATACACTCGGTGTGCACGACTGCATAAAAAAACATCGCTATCCTTCCATTTCTATGAAACGGCCATAAATCTCAGAAGAAAATAACATAACATAACCTCAACCTCAAGACTATCGATAAACTATCGATAGTTTCGATATTTGAAACTATCAACATCGAAACTATCGATATTGATTTTTTCCCACTATCGCGAACACTAAATTAAAATAATTCCGTATAGGGCAACAGTTGTAATATTCTTACATATGTGATACAAATTCACGTTTGCCATATATTTTTAAAGCTTGGGATGCCTGATAGCAATCATAATTTTAGTGCTAGGCACAGTGTTGCCAATGCTGCGATGTCAAAATATCAAACTCCAACCAATAGTACGCTATATAGTAAATTTAAATGTTTCAAATTGCGTCAAAAACCGATTTCTCGACATACGGTTAACCTAGCGGTTCCTTGGATTATATACGTAACAGAAAACAACAATAATTGTAATGTCTGTGCTTGGTTCAGAATTTGATGACGCAATTTGAAACATTCGCCGCGATAACTATACCAATACCTTTTCCTTTTTCTATGATTTATACTATAGTCACAGGGTTATTTTATTTTATTATTTTATTTTATAACCCACAAATTAACCTTCAAATTGACATTTTTTAAAATTTTTGTTTTAATTATTTCCTTTCCAATTTTAAAATTTAGGTATTTTTTACTACTTTTGATACGTTTTTTAGCATTTTAAAATTCGCCGTGACTAGAAGTACACCGATTACCGCTATTAAAAGTACATCAGGTTTGTGCGCATGCGTGTTTCCATAACAGCTGATGGTAAAATTTCGGACATTAAAGTTGACATTAAATTGGTACACTAAGGCCCAGTTGTATAACAGTTGGTAAAGAGCTGGTTAACTCTTGATATTAATTATGTAATTATTAAGCTAACTTTCAAGTTGTATAAACATTGATTAAAATTTAATTAAGTGATTGAAATACAATTAACAACAAAATTAATGAAATGTCAGTATGAATTACCCAAACCAACCCAAACTCAACAACCCAACCCAACCGACCCCGCCCCATTGGGCCCCCCGCCCCATTGGGCCCCCCGCCCCATTGAGCGACCATTTAATATTATACAATTGACAAATATGCTAAATACGGATTTTTTTCCACCCGGTGTACTTTTAATAGCGGTACTCCCGGTGTACTTCTAGTCACTTTGTTTAAAATTTAGCCATAATCTAGCCATTTTAAACTTTACTTCTAGCTACTTTGTTGCATTTTGTTGGCAACACTGGTTGGTGCCTTGTAAAGTGAAGTGAGGTTAATTTTTGTGACACACTTCACTTAAGTTGCATAATAATTGTAACAACATTCTTTTGAAAATGCAGGCCCCAAGAGCTTTAGGCAGAGCCATTATTAACCAAGGTAGGTGACATTTAATATTAACATTTATGCCTAATCCTTAAAATCGTATTTGGTCGTAGTTGGTCGCAGAAATGCTTCCTATGGTTCCCATGTCCACTCTACCTACAATGATTTGCCTCAACCCCAAGGAAGCTGGCAAACTCAATACGATGCCAACCAACGTAAATACAATGGGCATTTAGCAATGGGTGTTGCTGCTTTGGTAGGAACCCTTGTTTTTGGAAAGGCTGCAGGATTCTTTGAATTCTACGACGATATTCCCCAACACCCAGCCAAGATTGACTCATACAAATAAATAGGTGAACTAATGTAATTTATGTGTATAATAATAGTAAATATGTTAGTTATTAAAGTCACTGTAATATAATTTTTATTTGTTAAAGCCATCCCATTATCTTTTCCTTTTGGGGTTTCAGAATGATAAATGAAGTTCATTTAATGAACAATATCATCTACTCTATTATAAATATTTCCTTTTTAATTATATCAATACTAAAAACATATTATGTAGATATAGTCCATAATTATTATTATGACATAATGTTGAAATATTACTGTGAGGTATTAAATTTCATACATTTTAAAATTTTTGGTATTATGGTCCACACTAGGGGTGTCAATCCCGAGCCCTTTTTCTAATCCCAGGCCTTTCGGGACCAAAGGTAACTAATCCCGGGATCAGTCCCAAAAAATATATCATTAATTTTTAAACCAATTTAAAATAAAGGAACAAACTAACGAACGATATCTTTTGAACTTCATACTACTTGGAGGAATGGTTTTCAAGAATTCATAGGCACATTGTAGAGTGATATTATAATATAACAAATATTAGAAATTGGCTAAATGAACAGTATCAGCCCAGTTTCTTGGCCTTCTAGGTCACCAGATTTGACCCCGCTTGACTTCTTATGGGGTCATGTTAAAGGATTTGGAAAAATACCAGTTGATTTTTCATTTAAAAATAAACAGTCAGGTTCCAGCACTTGAGAAGGAACGACGCAATGTAGAGAGAGCTCTTAAAACGTAAAAGTTTAAAGATTAAAACCAACAATAATTTTTTTAAAAGTGCAAACTAAAATGGTGTAAAGGTCAATGAGAAGTGAAGTGTTAAGTGATATGAATGAGTTAAGTGACGGGTTTCTGCTTCTGGTCCTATTTATGCCACCTGTCATTGGACGCTTTTCACTTGACAAACAAAGGAGGTCAAACAAGAGGGGAGGTGGCCATCCGCAAAAAAATTGATAAGTAACCTTAAGCATATGCATGACCTAACACATAATCTGCAAATTAAACACGACAGATATCTTTAAAACCCTAAGAAAGGCACACTGCGTAGGACAATAAATCTGTCATCAACAAATGCGTAAGGCAAACCCAAACGAGACCAATAATAAACATTAGACATACAGAATAAACTAACATAATATATTTAATCATATAACCCTAACATAGCAAAAAAAAGCATAATAATCAAACTTTATTGGATTTGTAAACATTAGATAACAGAATAATTGCGCTTGTCACTTGTTTAACCAATAAATAAATGCAATACTTAATTTTGGAATTTAAGAAAAAAGACAAAACTCTACCACAAAACGTGTTTGGGCAACATAATAACAAAAAAAATTGTTAGAAATTTCGCACTATACTGCGGCAATAAGACTGACAGGACACAAGTGCAGGAGCAATCCTACTTGGACACGAACAATAACGACAAAAACGTAGACCAAGACGTAGGCTCATGCAGCAAAATAACAACTCCCGAATTCCATACAGTAATCCCAAATGTTTGGAGTAATACTAACTGCCTGGTCTAGGGGGTTCCCCGTCGTACTTAGTTTTAAGTCGGCGTAATTGTCCCCCAAACACCAAACTGTCTATCCCTCCCGTCCCCTACTGGATGTATAGCATAGGCTCGGCGAACCCGGGAATGGCTACTAAAACTATTGGCATTTCGCTCTTGAGCCCTAATTAGGGGACAGTACGGGACGCAATGGACATTCGCAACCAGCAAACACGGGTGAAGCCGCGCCGTTGCTGGTGGCGAAAGAAAATCGGCGCAAGGAAACAGAGGCCTATGCGGGGCCCGGGAGCGATATCACTATACCATATGAGGCAATATATACCGGTTATACGTACGTATATAGAGACGTATATACGTACGTATATAGAGACGTCTCTTAATTATACTCATACTTGATTTTTCATTAAAAAATAATTAAGATCCCAGAAGAATAACCGGGTAAAAACCAGAATTCATTTTTCACAGAAGAAACAAAAAATTATTATAACTGCAGTTAACTTTAACTTTATTTATAGTTATAATAATTTTTTTTTCTTTCTTGCAAAGGATGTTTTTAGGCATGGTCGAAATCAATATTATTTTTTTTTTATTTTGTCCGCTGTAACCACCGTTCTCACGCCATCGTCCCCAAACCTTACAAATATAAACATTTTTTTAAGGTTTAAGTATATATATACAGACCACCATAAGTACACAACTACCAATAAGCACAGAAACACAGATTATAAAATAATAATAATAAAATACTTTATTCATCCCAAGAAACAATGCGAACTTGTTTATAGAGGGACATCTCTATATATACATATATATATATATTAGGGTGGTCCTTAATAAGGTTATTTTTAAATTTCTTTGCTCCCAGGGGCTCAAATACTTCCAAATTGATAAAAAAAAAATTCCCTGAAAATTTCAGCTCTTAATATTAACTCTAAGATAGTGCGCATTCCAATCTAAGTTTCCTATGGAAATAACATAGGAAAAATTACTTTTGTTGTTTATAATTTTATAACTTGGGAACGAATGAATTAAAAATTATAAATCATACATATTTTTATAGAGAATTTAACGCTCTACAAAAAAGGTCTCTTATAATTTTTCCATTAGTCTATTGGTTTAAAAGTTATTCAACGCCAAAGTTTAATTTTCATATTATTATTAATATTATGAAGGCTTTTTGCGTCAAAATTAAAAGTGCTAAATAAACTTATTTTGTTTTATAAATAATTAATTATATGCTTTACCAAATAATTTTTTTATAAAATTATTTTTTTATAAAAGAATTTTATTTTAAATTTTTTTTTTCTAAAAAATTTTATAAAATAATTTTTTTATAAAATTATTTTTTTATAAAATAATCGAGGGGGAAACCACCTTCAAAAAATATGTACACGTATTGCGGAAATCCCCTGATTTCGGATTGATTGCGGTGATTTCGGAGGATTGCGACCGAAATCCCATGATTTCGGTGATTTCGGAGAATTCTTTTTAAATTGTTGCATGCAATTTCGAAGGATTCTCCGAAATCACCGAAATCATGGGATTTCGGTCGCAATCCTCCGAAATCACCGCAATCAATCCGAAATCAGGGGATTTCCGCAATACGTGTACATATTTTTTGAAGGTGGTTTCCCCCTCGATTATTTTACTAAAAATAATTTTATAAAAAAATTATTTGGTAAAGCATATAATTAATTATTTATAAAACAAAATAAGTTTATTTAGCACTTTTAATTTTGACGCAAAAAGCCTTCATAATATTAATAATAATATGAAAATTAAACTTTTGCGTTGAATAACTTTTAAACCAATAGACTAATAGAAAAATTATAAGAGACCTTTTTTGTAGAGCGTTAAATTCTCTATAAAAATATGTATGATTTATAATTTTTAATTCATTAGTTCCCAAGTTATAAAATTATAAACAACAAAAGTAATTTTTCCTATGATATTTCCATAGGAAACTTAGATTGGAATGCGCACTATCTTAGAGTTAATATTAAGAGCTGAAATTTTCAGGGAATTTTTTTTTATCAATTTGGAAGTATTTGAGCCCCTGGGAGCAAAGAAATTTAAAAATAACCTTATTAAGGACCACCCTAATATACATATATAAATATATATATTAGGGTGATTTTTTTCACGACTATTTTTATTTTTTTCGCTCCCAACTCAAAATCTTGTTGAAAATGTTCAAAAAAAAATTCCCTGAAAATTTGAGCCCTTAATATTAACTCAAAGTACTCGACCAAAGCGTATAAAGATTTCCCATTTAAAATACACGTAAACTTTGATTATTTTTTTTAAATATCTATATCTCAGCCGCATTTTATGCTATTGGATTATTTCAAAAAAGGATTTACTCGTAATCAAAAGTTCTACAGAAATGCTTTATGTGCCATAGCTGTAATCTGCACATGTAGGATGGTACGGGTCACTAAATCTTATTTTAGTGAAAAATTATCATATTTTTGAAGATATTTCAAAAGTGACTGGATTCTTTGAAAGAATGTAAAGAACAAACTTGTAGAAAATTTAATTTTTTAAAAAAAAGGTCCTATCAGTTGAATCGCTAAGATTGATATTTGTTGAGATATAAAGCGTTTACATTGACAATTTATGAAATTTTTAGGATTTTCGTATCATACTTTTTATAAATGTGATTAGAGAAAAATAAATAACTAAAACAATCAAGCATAATTATTAATAAAATAACATGTTGTATGTAATACACCTCGTTATATCAATTTTTAGGTTAGATATATCTTTTCTCTTTAAAGTTATGTTATTAATAATTATCCTTGATTGTTTGAGTTATTTATTTTTCTCTAATCACCCGACTGTAGAAAAAACGTAATTAGATGAAATTTTACTGATAAACAATTGAAAATCATCATTTATAAAAAGTTTGATACGAAAATCCTAAAAATTTCATAAATTGTCAATGTAAACGCTTTATATCTCAACAAATATCAATCTTAGCGATTCAACTGATAGGACCTTTTTTTTAAAAAAATTAAATTTTCTACAAGTTTGTTCTTTACATTCTTTCAAAGAATCCAGTCACTTTTGAAATATCTTCAAAAATATGATAATTTTTCACTAAAATAAGATTTAGTGACCCGTACCATCCTACATGTGCATATTACAGCTATGGCACATAAATCATTTTTGTAGAACTTTTGATTACGAGTAAATCCTTTTTTGAAACAATTAATTAATTAATCCAATAGCATAAAATGCGGCTGAGATATAGATATTTAAAAAAAAAATAATCAAAGTTTACGTGTATTTTAAATGGGAAATCTTTATACGCTTTGGTCGAGTACTTTGAGTTAATATTAAGGGCTCAAATTTTCAGGGAATTTTTTTTTAACATTTTCAACAATATTTTGAGTTGGGAGCGAAAAAAATAAAAATAGAAAAAAAATCACCCTAATATACATGTATATACAGGGTGTCCGGGAAAAGGAGGTCAACCAGTTAAC